CGGCAACCGCAGAACTCCCAAGCGTAACGCGCGGGAGGAAGAAACTCCTGTTTTGTATGAGTATGCTTGTTCACCACAATCCGCAAGGGCAAAGTGAGCGAGTTGTGCAAAATTCCGCATGTCCGCTTGGCCAAAAAGTTTGTAGATCTCGAAACAGATGATGGCGAAATGGAAGTGACGGCACAGCTCGAAGTCTGTGCAAAACCAAATCTATGGGCAGCTTTACAACGCACTGGCGGTTCTCCATGGCAAAGGTTGGATCTGTATATGCTAGGTAACAAGTTTAGGAAGAAGCTCGCCGCCAGCAAGTGAAGAAAGATGTGTTTTCACGGTTCGCGCGTCACGCGGGGATAGTGCTGGACCGACAAAGTGAGGTCGCAATTGAACGGCCAAGCGACTGCGAAGGTTGGCGAGGCAAAGGCGCCAGCATGTTCTTCAAGAAACATGAAGATCGGTTTTATTCGGTCGAGTTTCACGGATGCGCAATCGGTCTCAAAGATGAGCATGGTTTTCTCATCAAGAAACCGTGGGGCCTCATGACCACCTCAAAGAGGCTTGCCAATTCCTTCGCGCGCAAGCAGTGTCCTCATGATGCTGATACGATACTAAGCACGCGCATCCTGCCGGCAGTGTATCGTCTCACACTGCATTCTATCCGGAACAGATGTGTCATCTCATCATTCGAGCTTTGTGTCCCCGCCGGTAGTTCCGCAATCCGAACAACAGGAGGAACAGTTACATCATCAGTCACCCTTACCTGGTCTTGAGGACATTGCTGTCCTCATGGAGTCAGACCCAAAGGCCAAGAAAATGTTAGAAGAGCTTTTAAACGTTAGCTTAATGGTCCAGGCAAATGGCCTAACTCCTGAAGAGCACAGCCCAGAAGTTTCCGCAACGGTAACAAGCGTACTTCCGTGTGCGAAGATGCTGTCCTGTTCGGAGGCAGTCAAACCAGTAAAAGGCAGAGGGTTTGCAAAAGGCAGGTGTTTGGGATCTGTCCTCCGCCCGGGAGCAAGCTGAGGTCGCAGCTGCGCGACACAAAGGGGCATCCGTGCACTTTTGACAATTGATGACTGTTGCATCCATAAAGTTTTCTGAGCTCGCTGCACCTTCAAAAACATAAAGGGCGCATTGTCGCTGCGATTGCGCTAAAGATGAATATGGTGCCGCAGCTGTGTGTCAGGCGCTGGGAGCAAATCCTACTTCAGTCCATGTGTAGCCTATGGGTCGCTGCCCGGCAACAGCTGCCTCCAAGCACTCCGTAAGTCGGGGTTAAGACATGGGTTTCCTTGCTGCCCGAACCCAGGCCCCGTTGGTGGCGCAATCGCTCCCAAAAGCCCGTGGTTCCCTTCATTAAGGCTGTCCACGGCCACCCCGATGCTGGGGAGTTATGGGAGGCCCGTTTCCAGGCAGATTGGAGGTTCCGAAAAAACTAGGTTGACGTTATCTACGTACGTCGACATTGAGCCGCCAGAGCCGACTTATCGTGTTTAGGCCGCAACCATGTCCATGTGAACGCTTCACAGGGCACAGACCAGCCCAACACAAACGCAGCCCATGGCGCATGAAAGGAGCACTTGCATGTGATATGTATGGGTCTGCAAAGCAGACAGTCGAATTGCATTTGCAAGTTGTGCCCCGCGCAGACATGGGATTTGGTCCCATCGAGGATAATAAGACCGAAGGCGAGCTAGGTTCTAGAGCATGTAAGCTTTTGATGAAAGCCTTGTGGCGAGGTCGATTCTCAAGACCCGACCTGACATCATGACCTCGCAACATGTGTGAACAAGTGTTCGAGGAATGATCGTCAACAAACGTGATACAGATTGGTTGGCACTTTGCTTGGTGAGCCGGAACAGCTGCAACTCGCGCTGTGTGCAGATGCTGATTTTGCAGGCGAGCCGGACGCAAAGTCCACGTCAGGGGGGTTCCATGTTCTGCAAATTTTCCCGGGCGCATTCCTTAAAACAGGAAGGGCTGCCTGCACTAGGCACGCAAAGGTTATTCCCCGAAGCTGAGAGGGATTAATCGAACCCATGAAGTGCATCTAGCATGCCTCGCTGAACCAGTGAACAACTGACCTACGGAAACATGGATGCTGTGATGCCTCATGGAAGCTTGACTCTTGAAGCCCCCCTGTTCGCGGAGGCGGCGATTACCGCGCTGTAGGCTGCAACAGGGGTTTATCGCTCAGGTTTCTGCGCGTCGCAGCCGAAAGTTGGCAGGTCTCACTTTCTTGGTTTGGTGTGTTTCTTGTCTGTTTGAGCTTGAAAACCCATAAATCCTGAACGGCGCCGGGTCCAAGACCAATTGCAGGAATCTGTCAAGGGAACCGTCAAAATTGGCTTCGGCAGATCCTGACCCTTGACAGGGGAACCCAAAGAAGGATGTTTCGACAATTTGTTTGAGCATGTTAAGCCCTGCTCACTGAGGCTGAGCGGAGCCCGCCCTGGGCTCGATATGAGTTTTCGTGAAGCTTGTGGGTGGAATTTGTTCGGAGAAGCCTTGTTTCCATTTCGGCTTCAAGGGATTCCAAAAAGAACGCACTACGATTTTGGGGTCCCGATTCTTGACACATAACCTGGCTTCAGGAATTTCAAGGGCTTTGGGAACGAACTGGGAAACTCCGGGAATGACGGGAATGAGTGCGTGACCCAAACTGAACAAATCCTTCGTGGTGCAAGGACAATTCCCATGGCTTCACGCCCAATCCTTGTGATTGGCTACCGAGAGCAGCAAGGGTAATTTGACACGTCAAGAGTTGGCGATTGTTAGATGACTTTCCTTTTGGGGTGATGCTTAAAGGGAACATATAGGGAACCCTACTACGGAACTGAAATTTGACACAAGGAACCAAAAGGGGCTCTAGGCAAGAAGAGGAGACTGCTCTACACATGATGCAGTGCTTTCTTCGGATTCCAAGTAATCAGCAGGGAAGTAGATGGGGCCTCTGTCAGGTCAGTCACCCTTTTGGAGATTATTCGAATCATCGGTTTCGGACATGATTGAACTCGGTGTTAGCCCAACCCTTGTGCACTGAGATAGTTGGGCGTAGCTCGGGGTCTTGGCAGAAGACACCGTCCGCATGTCTACCCTGGTGGGCCAGACGTATGCCATGTGAAACCTGTCTCCCGCAGTGGTACTTGTAGATGTTGTTTGCGTTGATTGTTTGTGGGTGTCCGCGTTTTCGGGGGCGCAAGGACTGCGCGCAAAGCTGAGGATAGCGCAGTCCTTGAATGTGCTGAGAAGCATGCGAGCTGGCAGCCCAGTCCAGAGGTCTCAGAAAGTAAACTACAAAAGTTCGCTAAATGGGAGTTTGGGGTGGGAAACTAAGAAAGCCAAAGGCCATTTGATTTCAAGGCGTTCAAATGGACACCCCCAACTCCAAAAAATGCAATAAGACAATATGCTCAAATTATGTTCACATGTGGGGGTTTCCTGGCCCACAAATGAGCTTTTCCCATGTAGTGAGAGGACCTTGTCATCACAAAGATGACACCATGTTTCTCCATTAGCTGTGGTGTGAGCTCGCCAATGGCTTTGGCCATGGTGCGTGTTCCCGGCAGGTTCCGCTGGGTGTACTCCTTGGGTTGATTTGTTTTCTGAGTTGTTATGTTCCGCAACACGGGAATGCCACGTAAATGTAGCAACACCACGTGATTAGCATTCCGTCAGGTTTCAAGGGTTTCGGCTTGGGCTTGCGCTGAGCTATCCCTGGGTATCTGATCCTATAGAATGAACTTGATGAGCTTCCTGGAATGTGCGGGCTAATGATTGTGTCAATGGCTACTCTTGTTAGAACTAGGGACCCCTTAAATTGGTTCATATCGTTGCTGTTCCTTCAATTGAAAGCCAGCCTTCCTTTTGCTTAAGCCGATCATTCTTCCCTGTTGGTTGCAACATGTGCATGGAAATGGTCATATTGCTATGAACCGCTGGTTTAGGGGGTTGTTTGTCATTTCCATGCCTGAATCCTGGGAACAAGTCTCTATCATGGGTCGCTCTACCCTGTGCGTATGTGTGCGTATATGCGTATGTGTGCAGGCAGGTGTTCGTGTATGTAGATGTTTGCATGTGGGTGCGTCTTTTTTAAGGGGACCCTCCTAAACCAAAAATGGTGGGCGGTCCTTTTGGTTTCCCTTGGAACACCACAAAGAAGGGGTACCCTTATAGGCGAGCCACCCATGTGTTGCCCACTTTAGCTAAGAAGGGCGCCTTGATGGCCTTCGACCTTCGGGCTCGGAGACACATGGATGCGCCCTTTTGCTTAGAGACGCTGTAGCAGATCAAGATGAAACCTTGTTCCAGGGATTAAAGTAAACATCAAGCGAAATCATATAAGTTGATGTTAGATGTCAACTCCTTGAGGCTCCTTCTTCTAACCTCTTTCGAGGGACCCCTTTTTGGTTTGTTGTAGAGTACCTTTTTTCAGAATGGAAGCTGACGATCGGAGGGGCTTTGGAAGGTAATACAAGGTTTAAGATTTGGGTCTTTGCTTCCCCCTCGCCACCTGCAGATGAACATGGAGCATATAATGTATCCCACAGACCCTTTGCAGGGACTAAGACTGGATGTTTGGGCTTTCGCACCAAATACTGACAAATTGGTCATGCACGCGCCCAGCACTCGCGTACTGGCACATGGAAATCAAGATCAATGTCAAATACCCAAAACGGGTCTTCCAAATCTAGAAACGTAGTGGCCGGGGGGGGGGGCAAGGGCGCTTAAACTGGTTGACAGCTCCTGTTTCAGAATCCAAACGTGGTTCCCTCTACCAGTGCCACTTGGGTTAGTGTAACTTTCGTTGTCCAGAGGAATCCTAGGTTTCCAAAATGTCTGGATTGCGGCGGGCACTTGCAGCCTTTGGGGCCAACTTCTTTTGAGAAATTTGGGGGTTCGAGGCACCGTTCACTTCTTGGCGTGTGTGGTTCTTTGGATCTGCTCATTTTGGTGTCGGACTACAACGAACAAGGCTTTGGTTGCTAGCGTACCGAGGGTTCGGACATTTCTTTGATCTTCCCTTGTCTCGTCTTTGGCGAACAACTCTCCCACGCATCACTTGGTTGCTGAACGTTTGCACCGCAGACTTTGCGCTTCTTCGAGTTCTTGAAGCACTTTGAGACCTTCAAGGCAGGCGTCGGAGTCACCAAAATGATGATGCAGCTGAGCAAGTTATAGCGAGCTTGCCGATCTGGGCTAAACGAGCTGACCCGGGAAGATCGCTTGCTCGGGGTTCACTTATTCACTTAGTTACTTAGTTCTGGTTTGGGGCTCGAGATACCAGTCGGAAGCTCCAGGGCAACGAACAAATACATTTGCCAGGTGTGAAGGGTGCCCTTCTTGCTGGTGCTCAGCAGGGAATGACCCAAGGTGTGGGGATTGAACTTAGGGATCCCCTCAAAGGAAGCAGTTTATAGGGGTCATTCCCTCATTCCCTGTTGAGAACCTGCAAGCCTTTTCACCTTGGTTCACAGGGAAACCAACCGGGAAAACCAAAATCCATTTTGGACGTTCCCCATGTTTGAGTGAATGTGTGTGTGTGTGTGTGTGTGTGTGTGTGTGTGTGTGTGTGTGTGTGTGTGTGTGTGTGTGTGTGTGTGTGTGTGTGTGTGTGTGTGTGTGTGTGTGTGTGTGTGTGTGTGTGTGTGTGTGTGTGTGTGTGTGTGTGTGTGTGTGTGTGTGTGTGTGTGTGTGTGTGTGTGTGTGTGTGTGTGTGTGTGTGTGTGTGTGTGTGTGTGTGTGTGTGTGTGTGTGTGTGTGTGAGGGTACTCTTTTGGATTGGTAATAAGATCAAAAGGTAACACAGAAGTCCAAACCACGGCTTTTGGACCTATCAACCAATCAAACCTGTTTGCATGGAGCCCCAAACAAAACCTGCGAAATGAAGGCCCAACACCTGCATGTGTCCGTTGAAAAAAGCAAACGCGGTCGCCATGAAGCCCACCCGCAGATGCTGCTCGCCGGCATTTTGGGGACTGCCAACACCTTGGCGGCCTGCGTGGCTTTGCTGGCGATGATGGACTTGATGCGGGGAACCCCGGCGAGAAGAGGAACGGACCCATAGTTTTCTGCGTTGTTGTTTTTTTTTTGGGGGGGGTGGGTGCACAGCAAAAAGGGGTACCCCTTTGTGGCTCAAATGCAGAAAAAGGGGATCGTCATGAATCAGTCCCAAGTCTCCCCAAAAATTTGTTTGTTGGGTTAGTGGGGAGAGTACAAGAGAGTTGAACGAGAACTAAAGGAGTATAAAAAAGTGAGTACAGCACGAAGATCAAAGGAAACAACCTGGACCTCTAAGGGACCGATTACTTTTTGCTGCCTTCGTACCCGTTCAACGGACGGATTCCTATTTTCGGCCTTCGTGCTCGTTTTTTTGTGGGACCCTTTGGACAGAAGGAAAGGAGTCGGTTTTTTGCGGTCCTTTGCGGAAATGCTTCCGCAGTCCTCTGAAACTGATTGGGGTTTGTCTCAAAACGAGGGGCCCATCCTAGTTGGATGGTTTTCAAAGACAACCAACAGGACCAACCATTTGGAGGGGTCCCTCATTGAGAGAAATACCCTACCAAGGTGGTCCGTTTGGCTTAATGAAAGCGGATGGAACCCCCCCCTAAAATTGGTTCCGGTTTCCCTCGGTATGCCAAGCCTTTCCCCAAAATGGGGCCCTAAAACCAACTAGGGAAAGTAAGAAGCACTTCAACCCAGACCTTCAGTGTGCCCATGTTCCATCTTGTTGAGAGGGGTTCCTCTTTTAAATCGACTAGAACCGCTTTTTTCTCCGGGCACTGGAGGCTTAGGGAAAGCAAGTGGGAGTAATAAGCACACCTGCCACCGGCAAACATAAATACCTAAGGGGCCTCAGGTTGTTTGTGGGTATAGCTTGCCTGTAGCTGACTGATGTGCGTGTGTGTCTCTGATCTGCATGAGGGACCCGAGAGACCAACCCCCAAAGAACCCCAAGGTGGAGGGTCTTTGCGGGGATTTTCTAGGGTCCCTCAAAAGCGGTTCCCCCCACAAGGCAAGTCCCTTAAATGTGGCGCTTTTCCGGGTTCCTTTTTAACTTAGGAGAGCCCCTTCTGAAGCCAAGTTTGGTCTAAAATTAAGGGGACCACCTCAAGGGATTCAGCAGCCAAGTTTCAGCACAAAGCTATTTATGGTTCAGAAACCAAGCCCATGTGATTCAGCAATCAAAATCACTACGATATAGCACAGCAATCATTTTCACTCAATTCCGCAGTGGAAGCAAAGGCAGTTTCCTGGTTTAGTGGCCCACGTTCTGCCTTTTGTCCACTCCAGGCTTGCTTGTCACCTTGGACGTTCAACCAACTTAGTAGCTTATTGCCACAGCTATAAGGCTATAAGGGGATGAGCCCCAGGTACACCAGTTGTATCCATTACAACCTACCTACCTCGTTTCACATCCCAGTAGGCTCTGGGCTGTTTAGGTTCGGCATCATTGCCATAGAGCTGATCGGGAACTACGAGCCCTGGGGCTTGGCAGAACGAGGCCGGAGCCATCTGCTGCTTGGATCCCTGTTTTACCTTCATGCTGCTGTATGGGTCAAAATTAAACCAGGAATTGGACCGCAGGTTTTGGTCCATGTTTCTACTTAGGGTTCCATTTGGGGTTTCCCTGTTTTTTGACCCACAGCCATTTTGTTGGGGATGTAAATGTGTTAGTATGTCTTGGAATTTGAGGACCCCGCAATTGTGGTTTGCCCTGTGGTTTCCCTTTCAACCCACCCCCAAACACGCTCACTCATATTGTGTGTGTGTGTGTTTCAAACTGTGTTTCCCACAAACCAGCCCAGAAAAAACGCAGCCGCTTTGTTCGCCGGGGGTGATGCGGCGCAGCGGGCGCCTGCAGGGACCCTTTCAGAAGCCAACATTGTAGCGACTATAGGTGTCCTTTTGCGGAAAGGAAGAGCTTCTAGGATACACGGCAAGCAGAATCACATGCAATTTTTAGGGGGCACAGGGTGTGTTTGTTTTTGTTTGGTGGGGGGAGAGTGGGTCTGGTTTTCTCCACCCTCCAACCTGTTGATCTTTGTCCATTTTGCCTCACAGGTCTGTAAGCAAATTGTTGGGTTCGGGGTCCAAAAGAGTGCGTTCACCGAACAGGAAACTGAGTCGGCTTCTACCTTTCGCCGGGCCAGGCACAGCTGTTTGGAGCTTCCAAAATGGACTGCCCGGATCCCCAAGCTCAGAAAGTTGTGAGACCGCCAGCCGCCAACCGCTCGGGAAGCCAATGGATGTTGTGTAAACAAGTGGCTTACGCCATAGTTTAACCTCTCCCATTTTTTGGTTGGGGGGGACGTCTCCCACATTAAGTAGTTAATTGATTTGTTGATTTATTTATTTGTTCACCTTTTTATGTTTGGGAGGGCTGCTGTTTTGGACCACCATGTTATAGCCTATCGCCCTTAAGAAGTTGGCTCAACCCTTGGCAAGCGACGACTGGAGCTAGGGAAGGCCGGTTGAGTCATTGGACGCCAGGGGGTTGTTTGAAGCACGGAGCTGTTTAGATGGGCGGCTTTTTGGGGCACCCCCAGAGCTGTTTGGGAACCCCCCCAAAATGGTGGTTTTCCTTTTGGTTTCCCTTTGAAACAGCCAAGGGTCCCTCAAAAAAAGACATCGCAGATGGTTTACGCCTTGAAGAACTGGTAAGCTAGCTCACTACGGCTGATCCTTGGGCCGGGAAAAATGGGCTTGCCCATGCATGGGCTTTATTGGAGATCTCGTTAATTTGATTCAGCTTTTGTTGTTGCACTGAACCTGAACCGCTAGCCCTAAACTACTATACATAAGAGTTCCGTATCCCAATTTTTCCCGTGGGAGGGTTGTGGCGCTTGGGATCATGGAATATGTATCAAACAGAAAGCAGTTCGGGGTTGCAGGTGGCTTTTCTGTTGACCGGTGCGAAACCGCGAGCAAGGATCCAGTCGTGTATGGGAATGACCCGTTTCATCTTCTCTGACAACGCGATCAACGTGCTGGAGGACTGCTCTGTGGGTGGGGGGGGGGGGGTGACCATGGGATCGGTTGGTAGGGGGAAAACAAGGGAACCGCTTCGAGCAGGTTTACAATGTGGTTTATAGTTGCCTTGCTTCATGTGCCGGGGTCCCTCCACACTGCCAGAGGAGGCGAGTGAACCTATGAGTTCTGGTTTTGCTCTGAAAGATGGCTCCCAAACAGGGGGTGCTGTTTTGAAGCCGAGGATGCTTGGACATGATTTACGGGGCGCCATTGCTGGGGCTCCAGCGATACAACACGTGTTTAGAGTGAAGGTTTGGCACCGAAAGCGAAAGTGTGAGTTGTTGCAGTCTTTCCAAGGTCCAACTATTCAAGTGGACACGGTTTTATATCCCACTCTGCGTATGTTGCGCAGAAATCCCGGAAATAAAAATCAACCAGGCTAAGCCCATCAACTGGATTTCCATTTCGGTCGGTTTCAAGCAAAACCAGAAGAAAATGCAAGGCTTTTGCCTTTCTTGGTTCCCCCCCGCCCCCAGGCCCGCGGCCGTGAAGTTTAAAATTGGGATGCTTTGGTGGACCTCGGAACTCCACCTGAATTCGGTGGTTCCAACTCTGAAAGTCATAGCCCCCCTGCACCACTTTGAACCATGGGAAACCATTGTTTGTTGGCATTTACGGGGGAATCATCATTCCAGGGTTTCTCAGGTGGTGCAGGATTTCGCCCACCCACAGTATGAACCAGGGTCACAGCTAGGAGCTCATGGTCAAGCAGCCGCTGATTTGGATATTTTGCTTCCTCTACATGGCCATCTCCGCGTATGTCATCCTGAATCTGGTGCTCACCTGAGCAATCAAGTCCCACAACCGGGTAATTAGAGGATAGTTTTCTGGGGTAGACTTCGGATACATCTACATTATACCTGTGACTCAAAGTGAAGCAGAAAATAACATATACATTCTATAACTGGGCCCCACTCTAATCATGTTTTGGGTAGCACCACACAGTAGCTGCGTATCCTGCCCTTTTGGTTATTTTCATGGTTTTGGGTAGGCCAATTTTAATGCCAGGGTTTGATTTTGAATCACCTGAGAGCGATTTGTGTGTTTAGTTTGTCAGCCACTGTGGTAAAGGGGAAGACTTCTTGTATGACACTCTCACTAAATCACTGTAGTCTATCGTTAGTTTGGGGACGAGAGGAGTAGCACCCGGGCCAAAATTTCAACAAACGCCAGGGGTTAAGATCAGCATCTTGGGTAAACTGCAGCTTAATCTGGGGCTAACCTGAGACAGTGAAATCGCCTGCGGGTGTTGAGGCAATTCATGAAGCGCGAAATTGCGGCCGAAATCGCGTGCGGCGGTTTCTGGAAGTGAATGACCCCTGGGAGCTTCACAAATGGCTAGTTGAACTGTGGCATGGTGGACAAGAATCCCCACCCAAATGCCTACCCAACAAAGGGTCCGCAGTGAGCATTCGTAGAGAAGGTGTTGGATCCACATCAAGTTATGGAAGGCCAGCGAATGAACCAGAAGGATCCAAGGGAGGCAACATCATTTATGAACCAATCATAAATGTATAGAGTCCGCTCTGCATGTCCAATATGCATAATATATACATATAAACGTATATTACATATATGTACAATATGTATGTGGATGTATGTATCATTATTTATAGTGGGATCAGGCCATACTGGCCTGAGACAGAGAACAGGAATCGACCCCTCAAATGGCACCGCACTCATGTTGGCCTTTGTGAATGAGCCAAAAAAGGCTCCTCTTGGTCCTCTTTGGTGGTCTTAAATGCATCACCTCCTGGGCCAGTTTTGAATGAGTCCCTTGTGGTGCTTGGTGATGTTTACCGTGTGCAAGTTAACATAGAAATTTTGTCACGCCTCAGGGCCACCTGGCCATTTTGACCTCGGCGGTTTTTGGGAAACGAGATACTGTGGACGGAATCCAATTCGCACCACGAAATGAAACCATGGTTGAAACCAGAACGTTTGTTGGCATTTACGTTGGCGAATGGAATCATTCCCTTGGGTTTCTGAACGGTGGTGCAGGATTTCCTCCACCCACAGTAGCAGTGCCATGGCATGGAGGTGACCGCGGTGATTTGCGAGAAAGCTCAGTCCATGACGCAGGCCTGCGCATGGCTTGTGCTGCCTTTGGTGAAGCAGACGGTTGGCCATGGGTTGCATAACCCATGGCTCCATTTTGAGGTGAATGAACATCCATTTGCCACCTATTTTGATGTTCACCAGGGGTACAGGGTTTTGACCCACAGCCAGTTGACACTAGTGCCCAAGTGTGTCATGCTCAGAATATCTCTTTCTTGGCAAATTCTGGCGACCCACAATGAAGCTTTCCTTTGGCAAGGGAAAGTTTCCCCACTTGCGAACAGTCAGATCTTTGGCTGCAAACATGCGAACGCGTGAGGCGCCAAACAACAAGCGCGCCACTAACCAGGAAAGAGTTTACATTTGCAGGGCGAAGTTTACATTTGCAGGGCGAAGTTTCTCAAAATGGACCCCACTTTGAGTCGGTAGGGAAACCAGAGAGGAAACCACGCATTTAGCGTTTAGGGGACCGCTTCAGACATGTTGAGAAGCACCTGTGAGTTGGCCCCGGGCATCAGTGCCAGCTGTGCATGCAGGAAAATGCCGCTGAGAGGGCCAAAGAGCTTCGGGAGGAAGAGAAAAAGACGTTGAAGGCAGGACTTCGGCATCTACTTTCAAGTGCCCCGAAACGAGTTCTAACGCGTCCTAGTTCCGATCGCCTGCACCGAACGAACATGTGTGTAGCGTCCTAAAGGAGCTCATTTGTTAGACCCCGTTTAAGGTCCCCCACCCCGAGCCCATGCATATGGACCTTGAATGGGTTGCGGGGTGCTTTGAAGCCAATTGCATGGCATGATCAAGACCCAAGGCGCCCACCAAGGATATAGGTCTCATGCCTCAGGGGGAATCAAGTTGAAGATGAGGTGTAGGGGGCTTGGGGGCTTACCTTGCTCTTAAGGCACCCCGGAGTCCTGGGACAGATTGCTGTCTGCGATCAGTGGGCTTGCGGGGGACGGTGCCTCCGGTCGTTACAACCTTCGTTACAGACGCCTCCACTCCTGTCGTCCCTGTGGCAAGACCAGTAGTGTCGTGTGCTTTCTTGCCAAATCGCCACTTGCCGCGGCCCTTGCCTTCACCATGGGGCACGAGCGTCTTCGTAATTTCCGCGCTTGCCGCAAGTGGTCGGGTCGGATTGGCCTCGCACCAATTTATGAACCGTTTGCAGGTTGACTTATTGAATTGTCTTTATTGTTGGCTTTTTGTGGCTGGAATCGTCATTCTATAGGAAAATTTAGCTGTGTCGAAATCAGCCACGGTGTTGGTGTGTGTTGAGCCACTTCGCCGCTGAATCCCCGCCTATTTGATGTCCACCAAATGGCCGCCCACTTCAGTCCGCGCCCGTATTTCTCCCCAGAAGCTTGAGATGGACGCTGGTGCAGGAACTGAAGGCCCTGTTCCTGAGACTGGATGCGGATGGCAGCGGTCAAGCCCGAACGCTCGGTGAGAAGTGCGGCATGGGCTTGTTTGACACCCCCACAAAGAGTCAAAGGGCACTTAAATATTGCCCCCGGCTTTACAAAGCCGTCCTAGTACAGAAATTGGAGGGTGCTCCCCTCCAAGAGTGAGGAACCCCTAAAAACAATCAACCCCTATGAATCGACCAGGGGTTGTTGCATCCGGAGTTCCCATATAAAAGGCACCAACGGGGAAGAGTCCTCCCTCGGCCTTTGTAAGACAACCCAACCCGATAAATGTAAAGCTCAGTGTGCCAGATTTCAGACTGTTCAGCGCTGCCAACATGTGTTGGTTGGGCTTTGCGTCAGCCCCAAGAGTGCGAACGGCACAGGTGGTCGGATTCAAATCTGTTGCAATGCAAACTCAGTTGCAAATGGGAAGGGGTGCTGCGCATCAAAATGGGTGTGTGGTTTTTGACAGTACCCTTTGTGGATGGTTTTAAAGGGAAACCAATAAACACAACCTATCTTGGAGTGTATTGCCCATTTTGACACATACCCAGATAGTGTGCCTGCGGTGAAACATGTCGATGCCTGCTTAACACTACTCAGCGGGTGGCCTAGAGGTCAGATAGACTTTTCTTTCATGTTTCTGGCGGGTGAACCAGCCAGCCACTAGATGTCAGCAACAAACATGATAAGAAACGTGTCATAGGGGAAGAAATGTGTTTTTTGCCCAATGTCCAGTGGTCCATAAACTGAACCATGGCGCTTGTCTTTCGTCTCAGGTCACAACCGAGGAGTTTGATGATGCCTTCCAGATCGCAGAATGCAGGCGCAAAACTGAAGCCGCAATGATGCTCTGAGGTCAACGATTTTTTCAGCTGGGAGGCCTCTCTCAAGATGGGACTCATTCAAAAGCGCGTGGACCAATCCAATCTGACAAGGCCAAAAGCGGCCAAAAGCGAAAACTCGAGAGCGCTGCACCCTTCTGAGCTTTGGCAGTCTCCCAGCTTTCATTTTGGGTCCCAGGTGGCCTTTGATTTCCTGATCCATCGGCTGAACCCCCGGACCGAGTCAGGCGCCCTGGGGGAAATTGGAGTTCCGTGGCGCCAGGGACAAGTTTCTGGTGCTGGGCTTCGATGAGGCTGAAGCCAAGAAGCTCTTCAAGGCGCGGCTGGAGCTCGAGCCCGCTGTGTCTCTGTGTATGTCTGCGTTTGCGTGTGTCTGTGTGTGTGTGTGTGTTCCGTGTGTGTGAGTGCTATTTGGAGGCTGTTCCCTCAAGTTGGGAAATAGATTTACAGGGACCCAGTTATAGCCATGGGTTGAACATTGGTTCCAAATTCAAAGGTTTAAACATAGGTTAAACATAGGTTGAACCATGGTTGTAAGCTACTAACATTGGTTTAACACTCAAAGGCCAGCCGCCAAGCGGCGCTTTGCAGGTGCTGGACGCAGATGGGGAAGGCGAGCTGAGCGTGTCCGAGTTCACCCGGGGCATCTTGGCGCACAAAGATTGTCTTGCCGATCCACTTGTCAGGGAATCATAATAATAATAATAATAATAAGAAGAAGAAGAATAATAAGAATAATAAATAATAATAATAATAATGATAATGATAATAATAATAATAATAATAATAATGAAATTGTGTCCTGTTGAGTTTTTTGGCGTGGGGAGGGGGGTTAAAGGCAAACCAAAAGCAAAGCATGTTCTTTCTTTTTTTTTGGGGGGGTGCGGGCCTAGTTTGAGGCCAACCCATATGAGCTGCCTTGGGGCAGGGACAGTTATGGGCCCAGCGGGAAACCTAGATAAGCATTTAAAAAAGGGTCATGAAAGAAGCCATGACCATGGCCCATAGGAGCTTTGATTGGGTTGACACGCGAAATAGTCCCAGCCAGGAAGTGGCATCGAGGTGGTTCTCCTGAACTGTGCCCATAGGTGTCCTTTTTGGGTGGCTTGGTTCAAAAATAGAGGGTCCGGGTTCACCCGGTGGTTCAATCATCTACCAGGGTCGGGTCATCTATTTTCTACAAAGGACACCTATGCCCCCAGTCCCAAAGTCTCACATTTGGCCCAACCAGATGCTTCCTCCAAGGTCGTGGCGCTGGAGTTGAGAGGATAAAAGACGCATTTTGGTGACCAGAAAACCGATGAAACGACCCTTGGCTGCTTGCACAGTGTAGCTTGGTATCTGTCCCCAACCATTGTGTCTCCAGGTATTTGTGTGTTGGACTGAAACGCCGCATCGCCGAGGCATGTCCGAGGTGAAGGGAGAGGCAGGGCACGGTGTGTGGCTGACAAGTGCATTCTTCACAATTACAAGTTCATGAATTCCAAAGGTTGGTAAAAGCATTCGTCTACCATTTTTTGACGAGCTTACCAGTCGGAAAACAAGCGAACTGCCTTGATGCACGTCGTTTGCGGGATGTTGGAATTATTGTAACACAAATCTTATGGGTGTATACATTCAGTCTTTTGACGTGTTTGGGGCTCTTACTCAAAGTTGTTGGAGCAAAAGAGTGCACTTGAGACGGCGAGTACACGCATGATGGCGAATCCGAGCGGTTCCCCTCGGGCAGCATTTCGGATGTCGGACTGCGAGGCGACTGCCAAAGGGATGCTCATCGCAAAGAAGAAGGCCAGACTGGCAGGTGAGCAGCAGATATTACATGTGCACTTGTATATATATATATATATATATACATGATACATATATATATATGTTATATATATATATATATATTATATATATATATATATATTATGTACTGCATTTACTCACTTCAGGATTTGCTGGATTGCAGTCTTAGCGGTCTTCCCACAAGCTTAGACAGTTGTCTACTTTCACTCAGGAATTGAGATTAAATACTGTTGAACGGATAGTGACCTTGGGTACACCAACCAAATCACTATGCACAACGTCATTTCATAGGGGGGCACTTGCAGAATATTGGCGGTTGGCTCAGCTGATGGTTGCCAGGGTGGGTACTTGCTCTTAGAATGATGGAAATCACCCAAGCGGTTCATTCCCAGATGCGGTTTGGTCATAATTTCCAGCGTATGTTTCACGTTGGAGGGACATTGCTCAGATTCTGGAAGACGCCGACCCAAAAACGAGACACGCCCGCCTCGGTGGAAATTGGCCCGGGGATTGGTGTCATGGAGAGCTGCCCGCTGTATACGCCTTCACAGCTCAGAATGCCACATGGGCTGCAAATGTCATGTCGCGACACACGACCTAAGGAGCACAGCGGCCTTTGGCCCCTGAAGCCTCCTGCATTTCTTAAGACCCGTTCTGGAGAGCTGGATCTGTAAGTTGCACCCCCATTCACGTCCCTTGGCCAGTGATGTTCCTTCCCCTTTGCTCGTGTGGTCGCATCTTGCGACCTCAAGTGGTACACCTTCCAGCTGAAAACAAGAGCTCCTGAGCAAGCTTAATGACTGGTCTTGTAGCGAATGTGGGACTGCCCCACAATGAACCATCACTTCTGGTTGCCATGACGGGGATCCATCATTGATTCCCTCGCCAAGCAGCAAGCGGGGTCGGGATGAGCATCAAAAAATATATTTTTGGGGGATCAACAAAAAATATTTAGGGGATCAACAACAAATTATTGAGACCTAGTCTCCGGTCCCCTGCTCTCCTGGTCTCCTGGTCTCCTGGTCCTTGGTCTCCTGGTCCCCATGTCTCCTGCTGGTCCTGGTCCCTGGTCTTCTGGTGTCCTGGTCCCCGTGTCTCCTGGTCGCCTGGTCTTCTGGTCTCCTGGTCTCCTGGTCTCCTGGTCTGCTGATTTGCTTCTCCTGCTTTTTGCTGGTCTGCCGGTCCCCTGCTCTCCTGGTCTCCTGGTCTCCTGGTCCTTGGTCTCCTCTGTCTTGTCTCCTGGTCCTTGGTCTCCTGGTCTCCTGGTCTCCTGGTCTCCTGGTCTCTTGGTCTCCTGGTCTGCTGGTCTCCTGGCCTGCTCTCCTACCCGAAACCGACCTTAAACCAAACTACACCCACCCTAAACCAACCCAAAACCAACCTACAAACCAACCTTGAAACCGACCCTGCGCAACTTTTAAACCACCCCTAAACCCGCCCTAAACCAACCCTAAACCAATCCTAAACCCACCCTAAACCTACCCTAAACCTACCCTAAGCCAACCTAAAACCACCCTAAACCCAACCTAAACCTACCCTAAACCAACCAAAATCCACCCACCGCAAACAAACCCAAAACCCTCCCTAAACCCACCCTAAACAGACCTTAAACTAAACCTAAACCCACCCTAAACCAATCCTAAACCAACCCCAAACCCACCCGAAACCCCAAACCCACCCGAAACCCAACCAAAATTAGCCCTAAACCAACCTTGAGACCAACCCTACACAACCTTAAGCCAACCCTAAACCCAGCCTAAACCAACCCTAAACCAACCCTAAACCTGCCCTAACCCTACCCTACACTTACCCCAAACCACCGTAAACTTAGCCTAAACCATCCCTTAACCCAACCCTAAACCAACCCTAAGCCACGTAAACCGGCACTAAACCCAGCCTAAGCCCACCCGAAAACTACACTAAACAGACCTACCCTAAATTATCCCTAAAAACCCTAAACAACTTTCAAGCCCCAAACCAAACCTAAACCCGCCCTAAACCAAGCCTTAGCCCAGCCTAAACCATCCCTAAACCAACCCTAAAGCAACCCTAACCAAACCTCATCCAACCCTAAGCCCACCCTAAACCAACCCTACTGACCTTCAACTGACCCAAAACCCTAAACCAACCCTAAACCCACCCTAAACCCGCAAACCAACCCTAAACCCACCCTAAACCCACCCTAAACCTACCCGAAGCCAACCTAGAACCACCCTAACCCAACCTAAACCAACCCTAAACCAACCTAAGCCAACCCCAAACCCTCCCTAAACCAAAATTGAAACCAACCCTACACAACCTTAAGCCAACCCTAAACCCAGCCCCCTAAACCTGCCCTAACCCTACCCTACCATTACCCGTAAACTTAGCCTAAACCATCCCTTAACCCAACCCTAAACCATTCCCAGGCCAATCCTAAGCCACCCCTAAACCCACCCTAAACCCACCCTAAAGCAACCCTAAACCCACCCTAAACCCGCAAACCAACGCTAAACCCAACCTAAACCTACCCTAAACCAACCTAAATCCCCCCACCGTAAACACACCCTAAACCGTCCCTAAACCAAGCCTGAACCCACCCCAAACCCACTCGAAACCCAACCTACATTAACCCTACACAACCTTAAGCCAACCCTACAGGCATTTAACCGATGCTAGATTCGTTGATAGAACTGCGCTTGTATCTGAAAAGTTGTGATTTTCGAACTGGAGCTGCCAAAGTGACCTTCGCGTACTGCGCTTGTATTGGAAAGTGTCTATTTTACAGCTGGAGCCGTAAAATGCGCGCGCTGTTGCCCGAGAATGATGTAAATTACAGCGTTTTGGCACCCCCAGGCGAGATAATTTGTTTTTGATCCTGTAAATAATTTGTTTTTGATCCGGGTGTCGATAACTTCTTTTTGATCCCGCAAATAATTATTTTTTGATCCTGCACCCAGCGGGGTCACCGCTTTGGCCTTTCAGGCCGAGAAGCTGGAGAAGTTGTTGATGAAGCTCCTGCCGCAAGACGACACCGCGCAAGGCTTCGGGTGGCGATGGGAGTGGCATGGAGCGTGGTCTCCCTGCAAAGGTGATCCAGGAATTTCCTGCATGGGGTGCCCTCAATCAAAATCAACCATAAATTATAAATCCTGGGATCCAAGAGGGGGGGGGGGGGCAAACCCCCCGACAAAAACACGGGGAAACCCCAAGTTGTCCATGTGCTCGTGGGGAAGCAAGTAATTTTGTCTGTGACTTGCATAGACCTTGGGATGTATTCCCTGTGCGAAAACCAAGACCCTCATTGGGAGTGCCAGCTTGAGTGGTAGTCATTCAGGGTTTGATCCGCACATGCTGGCACGTCATCCAGTGTACGCACAAGTGAAACTGCCAGTTCAGCTGGGGGGGGGGCTGGCTCAAAGCCTGTTACAGGGCGGCTCTGTTCGCGCGTGCAAGGTTTACCCCGGATTCATCATTGTTAATAACCCCCACCTGCTCCCCCCACACCACCTCGCGGTCGGCAAGGTTCAGAAACAAGCAATGTTTTTGGACTGCCCCCCTATAAATCTGATCCTCTCCGCTCATTGTTTTATCCCAGTGCTGGAGGGCGCCAGGATGATTAAGGGTGCGTGTACCGTTAGGGGGGACTGGCCTTTGGCCTTGAAGAGGGGAATCCTTTACGAGCTTGTCAAATCTTGACTTTAAACAACATTAAACGATAAATGTGCTGTTCCTGGCTGGCTGTTTTTGGGATTGCAACCCTTAAGACTATGACGCACTTGATACTGGTAGAAGTAGCTTGTGGAAATTAATTTTTTGCTTTTGACATTTGTTTTTTTGGGGGCCCAGGGAGCAGTCTTGTTTACAGGTGGTTTTGGTGGGTGCCAAAAATGGATCAGGGAAGTTCTTGTTGGCCAAACCTTGTGCGCTGTCCTTAAGGTGGTATTGGCTGGCAATCGGGGGGAGAGGCTGTCTAGATCAAGGGGGGTTATTAATCAGGGGTCAACATTTAAGTATTAAGCCCCTGACATTCATTGAAGAGCGTCCTTTCGTTTTGGCGTTTGATTTTGTTGACCTTTGCAGGTTGGTTTAAAGGAGAGAACCAAGGTTGGTTTAAAGGGACACTCAAAACTTCAGCGCAATTTTGACCATCTTGGGTCTCGCCTATTTTGAGGCATACCCATTTGCAAAGGAGGCAAGACATAACCCCCCTGTCACACTTCGAGCGAGAGGCGAGGAAGACCGGCGGGCGATTGAGGCCCGAGGCTCAGGCACCAGGTCGGCTCAGGCACTTGGCAAGCCGCAACTGGGGTCTGCAATTGGTGTTTGGCATTTTGGGGTTGACTCTTCAGAATCTGAGAATCTTGCCCAGAACGATTGAGCGAGGTCCATACTCATCCGACACCCCGAATTGGTTACAATCAAATGGGGAACCCTGATGCATCAGTATGGTTCTCCAAAGATGATAATAATGCTTCTGACTTCTTGTTTATGTTTTTTCAGATTGATCGGCAAGAGCCTACCAGTCGGAGAAAACCCCGTAAAATAGATCATGTCTTTGTTAAAACTGGCACCACCCCTGATTTTCACGGCCCTCCGGATTAATACGAAAAGCCAAAACTGCCAGAAAAGGACAATTGCTATCTGGAAATTGTGCTTTTCCCTCAGGGATTGGGAGAAGGAGCTTCTCGTTGCTCGGTCGCTCTGGCGAACATTCGCCTTTTCCCTGGGGAAATGACCATCTCCCCACAAGCAAAACATGGTTTTGTTTGTAGGGGTTGACCGATCCACGATTTATGACTGTCTCATTGAACTTGCAGGGTTCCGTTCAAAGCAACCAACGCAACGGATATCAGCCATTCGGAATATTTCAGCCGGTTTTGACGGGTGCGCCAGCGTGAAATCCTGAAATGCCATGTGCATTGTGGGGTGGGGTGTGATATATCTCGAGCTTCAACTTGCAGTTCCTCCTTTTCTGTCAGTTTTGGCTTTCCTTTCTGGCAGTTGCTTGTTGCCGGACTGTGGTGGACAACTAAACATCTCAATGAACGAAAGCCTTGTGAGAGCCGTTGCAAATGCAGGTGCTGTTCGAGAGAGCCGCTGGATTGTGGTGAGTGTGTTGCATGTCAAACTATTCACAACGCAAGAGGCATTGACATACTACGTGCGCTTCTGAGTGGGCAGTTGGGTCAGCAATTGCTCTCGCTTCATGTTGGATCTCCCAGGACCAGTTTTTTCCAAAAGGACACCGGGCCAAAGGCAAGTTTGAGCCATCGGTTCAACTATATGCTTGGTACCAAGTCTAGCTGCGCTCGGGGCCATGCAGGATTCGATGTCCGAGGGGCCATACCAGCGCAGTGCAAATGAGCGAATTTTCGCGGTTTCCAGATTTGGTTCTTCCAAAAATTGGGCTGGGGAGCGACACCAACACGAATTCAAGTGCAAAAGGGCCCCCTTTTCTTTCGGCCCATTCAACTCGATCTTAGGAGGCTGAGCCGGAGAGGATAGGAGAGCTGCTGGAGACGCAAATGCCGGCGCCCAAGTGGAGTCGGGCACCCCTTCTTGGGGTTCTTGGTTGCGGACGGTTTGTTTTGAGGACCACTTTCATTGAAGTGAAGTGAAGTGATCAACCCTTTGTGAGATGGGTCCTAGCATGCATCAACCAATCGCTTGGTGCCTTCCAAAATAAAAAGCAATGCCATTGTTCTCGCATGTTGGTTTACCCCTTTGCCTGCCAGATAATGTTGACCCCGGATTAATAAGCCCCTGTTTAATAATATGGGTGTGTTCCCCTCCAAAAGTCATAAATCCCCACTAAAACCAGGGACACCCCATATTAACAAACCCCTGTTTGTTAATATGGGGTCAACCTTATCGGGAATTCTGCCCTCTACTTCCCATAGATTGCCAAGTCGCCTTCCTTCGCAAGGCGTGACTTCGAGAAAGCAGCGCACACGCGTCCGGTGCTGAGTCGACCAACGCCGCCCTTTCTTTCCCTAAGCAAGGGTCATGTTTGGACTTTCATGAGATGGTCATTTAGATGTCGCTCTGTAATCCATTTCCCATTTCAGCCCGTTCCACATTATGATCATGACGCTTTTTGCTGAGCAACTGTACGGAGCCCTGCAAGGAAGTTGGACGGAACCACACCCTTTCTAGTCGCCTGTACGAAATATCCTGGTTGCTTGGCACTTCTAGCATTGATGTTTCCTTTCTGTAGCAATTTAGGAGGCCGAGGGATTAATATGTTCAACTTTGCAGGGGGCTGCTTCGGATTGATTCCGAAGACAATTTCTTTTTTTTATTGCCTCCCCACCCGGCCCCTCACCCCCCATAATCTCCTGCACATGTTGTGCGGCTAGTGAACTTAAGATTTCACTTCTGAATATCTTGGCAACCACTGGGTCGTACATGTACACGCCATTGTTGGGCTGCCAAGCTTTCGTTCATCAGCTTCTCAAGCAGTTTTGCAGAAGGGATGCCTTCAGCTTGGGATTGGGCATCCCAGACATGTGGCTGTGTGTGGTGTTTAGGCTTCCCTGAGCTGCCGGACTGTGGATCCGAAGGCTTAGATGAGATGCAGGGTCAGTGCGAGCTGGTCAAAAGTGCGGCTGCCAATCTGGAGGACTGGGACCTTTCGAAGCATGGACAGTCCTTCCATTTGCTTAAGAATATGTTTTTTAATTTCCCCTGATAGTTTTAAAGGGAATCTATCACTACTGGAAACATTTTTATTTTCCCAGGGGTCTTAAGCAAATGGAGGAGTCGGAGACAGGTCGCCATTGTGGTCGGTTGTTTGGACATAGACTAGGTCCCCCAGCTGGGTGCCAACTTTTACCGTTTCTTTTTTGGTTGGGCGGGGTCCCCTACTAAAATAAACTACCGAAAAAAAGGGTACCCTTATTCTAACCTCTCTACTGGAGGACCTAGTAGATGGAACTGGGTATATGTTGCTTCTAATCATCCACAATCTAGTTGGGCAAAACAAGATTGATGGGCAGAGCGCGAAAGTCCTCAAAAATACCTTACTGGACCTGCAATATCTGTGCAAAAAAACATGGGCAGGGTACGAGGAGTTTAGGAATACAACCCCAATGGCCCTCGTCTTATTCTGCCCAAAAGACCCACAGCAAAGTGGCACAAGGCAGAGAAAGGAATCAGTCCATGGGCAATGTCCAGTGTCCTTTTGTTGAAGCATGTGTCCCCTTGCAAATGGTGGTGGAGGCCATGATCGAGCGACAGCCCCCTGCGGAAACGGACAATTGTTGGTGGCGGGGGAGGGGGGGGGGGGGGCGTGGGGCTGTTCTTTTTTCTTTTCCAACCCTCCATCCTGCCACAATTTGAACAACCAAGCGGTAAAAGCGAAAATCCCAAAATAGGTCCCGAGTTGGACAGTGTCCCCTTAGCCCCTTTGCAGAAATTCAGAAATGTCGACATTATGGGCCACAGACAAATCGGGACATGTCAATTTCGAGCAAAGCTCATCAATTCCTTATTGTGTTCCTATTCGCAAATTACTGAAATGTGGTTCAAAATGAGGATGAGGACCCAAATAGGATGAGGACCTACATTGGCGTCGCTTTTCCGTTTGGTTTCCCTTGTAACCAACCTGAAAAGGACACCCTCAAAAAATGACACATAAATGCCGCTGGTACCATTGGTATTCGTGGTGTCCCTTCACACCCCTAGATGCCAACACGAGCCCAAATTCGTGCCACCTGAAAGGGGGTGAATAAACCAACGACCCGGATTTGGTATTCGTCCAGGAGCTGGTCGGCAAGTTGAAGGAGAGAGTCAGGCGTGACGGTGACCCTTGCTTCTGACTGGTGCCGCAAAAAGCTTCCGGCTCCTTGCTCCGGCTGACCAGGGCTGTCAATATGGACAATCAATCAACATTGCCATGTACTGAACTCCTGAGATACGCCCATTTGTTCACTGGATTCCACCCTTTGCTTGGCGGGACCTGTTCACAAGTAAAAACCTTCTTTTTGGACAAGAACAAACAAGAAGCATGTGTTTGAGTCTTGTTTGTGCTCTCGCGGAGAGAAGGCGTGCTCGGAATCCGAATGGTTCAATGTGAATTGAATAACGATAACTTCATTGCGTGGTTTGGGGGATCATACCAATCAGACTGGAATGAACCACTAGGAAGCGAGCCTCTCACTTGGTATTCCAATGTGAAACAAATGCGGGTGAATAATTATCCAGTCTGATTACGTGAGCTGGGAAGGCCAAAGAGCTGCATGAGGGCTTCACAGTTTTGCCAAGCGAGGCATGCTTTTCATGGAAGCCAACGTCGCTAGGGACCCCACCACTCTTAAAGCCTCCAGAAAGAAACGCAGAACGCCATGGATAAGCAAAATTCACCTCGCAGCATATAGGTGGTTGATCAACCAGTCCGAATTCATAGGGTTTCATCCGTCCCAACTGATAAAGCCACTTGGCAGTTGGGACGAACTGGCTGTCCATCCTCAATGGCCCCTTCGGTCCAAATTCCCGGCTGAGTCAGGCAAGGGCAGCTGAGCTCAGCCGCGGACGCGAAGATCTCAGATCGAGAGTCGCACGCCCAGAGTTAGGATACACGTTTCTTCGATTGGCCACAAGTAAAACAGATATGCTGATTTAACAGGGCTTCACTCCTATCATGGAGCGATAATGAGGGAGAAAGACAACATGTCTCAATCACAGGTGTCCTTTGAACGATGCGTTTGTTTGAACATGGAGCTGGTTATGTTTCCACAAGGACACCTGTCTCCAATTTGCAAGGCCAGCGCTTCTTTCAAAGGGGCCAGACTTGGAGCCAGAACTTCGGGCACTTTAAGCCCAATATGCAGGTTGATGGATCCAGGTGCCACCAAAGATTGACGACCCCATACCTCCAATCCATGGGTCTTGATGGGTTCAGGCCTGGCCACTTTTGGGGGGCGCTCTCAGCCACTTTCTCGGGAGAGCTGAAGCGCCAAGTGCTCCATTCGCTCCGAAATTGGCTTAAATCTACGTGTCGAAACGAACCCTGGCCTGCCAATCAGTGTTGTTTCCTGTAACTCTCCACGGTGTTTGCCACTGATGCCTTCCGAATGTCTATGAACTGCCGAGGGGTTCGGCCCCACTTTTGACACACCGCCGCATCCAAGTTTCCAGCTGCTTGGACAAATCCAAAACCCGCTGCTTGGATGTTGTAGCCTTCGATAATGCAAGTGCGAACTCGACTCGGGCAGCGACCATTCACTTTGACGTGGATACGCTGCCTGTGAGAGATCCACATTAAAATGAAATTGAATCATCAAATCGGGTAAGGACTATACAATTATAATAAACACGTCTGATATTGGAGAAGATGGTGCTGCTTGATTATAATTGTCAATCATGAAACATAAATATGTATATACTTGCATATATATATATATATATGATTGATATAGTATAATGATTTATTTATTTATTTATATATTAATATAAATAAATATATTATTTGTATATATATATATATTATTGTTTTTCTTATTATTATTATTTAATGTTAAATATTATAATTATGATTTTTAATAATTAAAAACCATGAATGTGTATATATATATTATTTATGAATATATATATTATTATTGATTTTTATTGTGGATATTGAGATGAAAATTGTTGTTTGAGAATTGGGAATTTTAATAATATATTGAATATTGAAGAACATATTATTAATTCGTAATTAATAGTTGATTTTTTCGAGGCTGAACATTTTGAAATAAATTATGAATTAATAGAGAATGGAAAAAATATAGAATTATAAAAAAGAAAAATTAGATATTGGATTTTTTTTTGGATTTTGTTGAAGATTTTCTTTATTTTGTTGGATATATTAAAATTTGTTGGATTTAAAATTTAAATAATATTAATTATATATTAATAATTATTTATTGCTAAATTTAATTTATTTGATGTATTATAATAATTGGGAGGTGATTTTGAGGAAACAAATAATATTATTTTAAATATTGAATTGTAAATAATGTTTATTGGGAAATGGATATAATCGTTAATATATTTTAGTAATGAATTGTTATTATATATTACATTCATATTCTTATACCGATTATATATATAATTAATATAATTCGATATATAATTCGAAAAATATAAATAATAATAATAACGATAATATAAATAACCATATTAATATTTCTTATTAATATTGTTTTATGTTTTTTTTAATATATATAATAAATATATATAATAAATATATATAATAAATATACATAATAAATATATATATAATATTTTATTTTTTGATGCTCAAGAATTATTTAGAATTAGGTTGTTGATAATTATACATTATTGTAACCAAATCATTTATTCCTCGGTTTGCCAAATATATAATCATATTATTTTTCAATATTGTTAGATGAAATGATTTTAAATTATATATAATTGATTTTATATATAAAATAATAATATATTTAAAAAAAAAATATGTATAGAAATGCATGGGGATGCTAAGAGCTAACCGTCTCAAATTGACCAAATTTATCTAAATTATATTTAAAGGTCGAGGGATATTATTTTTCTAGTTTTTTATATTGTTAATTATTGAGATTATTTAAAACAAATCGGAACACCATATAATATATATATATAAATTAATTAATTGAAACTATATATTTATTTATTGAATTAATATATAATTTTATATTTTAATTTTCGATTTCTGCCGAAATTGAAAATATATATTAATATTTATGATTTATAACGAACTTATGAATATTTGGGTAGATTAATCGTTATCTTTTTGGTATGAATTTGTTAAGTATGTTTAGTGTATCTTGCGGCACAATTCAATATTCTCTTTCCTCGAATATATTCGTAAATACCTTTATTTCAAGAAATTATGTTGATTAAATTTATTTTAGATTGTATTTATTCTACAATTTAAAAATTAAAAATATCTATTAGGTATAATATATATTATTATCTAAATATAAATACAATCCTTAATTCATAAAGAAAAAATAATATCATAATTAAAGATGTTCATAATATAAAATTATAATTCCTAAAATAAGATTATCAAATCCATAGAGGCGAGGAGTCAACCTACAATTACAAAATTAATAATAAATTATATCAAATTTGATAATTTAGATCTCTGTATAAGAATCCATTTACCCATTATATGGGTAGTTGGCTCACCATGCCGACGTTTTCCTTATATATATTAACATAGTTTTAATATTCCATATTATAAGTGTTTAGGCTCCTTACCATGTGTTCATTTACTTTGGAAATCTATATTAATTTGAATATCGTAGTAAGTTATAGCAAAATGTATCCTTAGGACATATATGTATTTCTCATAATTTTAATTTCAATTGTTTTTAATGCTATTGAAATATTATTTTTTTCAAAGAATAATCTGATGAGCCTTGATTATAAAAGAATTCCTCATTTAATCGGTATATTCTTTATATCGTATCCATATTTATATCTTATATATTTAATATAGATTTTCCGATCATATTTAAATTCTTTAAGAATATCGAATATAGAAAATGTATATTAATTTATTCTTATTATTTATTAATATATTATTTTCCTAGATTTCTTTAGATATGTTTTACATATATTCTGGGAAAAAAAAACATCATTTCCCAGACGTTTTCAGGGTTGGCTCTTATGTCTCTAATTCTAGGCCGGCTAATATCATTGTTATTTCGATTCAATATTTAATTAGAACATTCAAATTTTATAGGCATAAACAAATCCATCCAAGAAATATATATTAATTTGTTTGTGTTTTTGATTTTTGGTTTTTTAAATATAAATTGAAGATTAATAATTCATATTCCTCAATATAGATATATAATTTTAGGAGAAATCCTTAATAATATATTATATTGATTGAAATATATATATACCCTATTTATTATACAATGATTTTTTTTTCTTTTTTTAAAAAAGATATATTATATAAATCAATTAAATTTATTTATTCTATATAATTATTTATTAATATCGAATATCATTATCTGATTTATCTGGTTTTTATTATGTATTATTTGTTTATAAAATATCTATGCGATAACGAACCCGCAAAAACGTTCATGCGAAACCGACTTGACTAAACAATTGCCTATACGCTAACGAGGAGCTCAATGCATTTTCTATATTCGATTGCGGAAAGGTGCGTTGCCATCGCGCTTGGATAGGAGCACGGTAGAATCGCGAAAAAGAAATCGGTTGCACTAGGTGGCCATAAAAATAACGAGATAAATTGAAAGATGCCAGGAAAAGTCTCCTATCAAATTTTAGACAAAATGCCTATACGAAGCTTTCACGGAGCCTATATGATATCCACTAACAATCATGCCGCAATATGAATTATTAGCTGCACTCTTGGACAAACGAATCTCCTGTTCCCTCCGCTAATTAGTCGCTTATGCCGCTACGTTACAACAGCTAACGAAAATTTGCTACCCACAACTTGCACCAAATTATTATGTATAAATAGGCATATGGATCGTAGCAACTCAAGCTCATAAATGACCTCCTACACGACCGCCTATGCGAAATTTCGCAACACGAGCCTCCATGAAATGCCCACATTAAATATCTATATGTTAAATAAACAATAATAATATATATATGTATTATAATTAAAAAACCAATACCTAATTGAAAATCAAAATAAGAAAATATAGATATATATCGAAATAAACAATTCGATCCGAAAATTAAAATACATAATATAATTTATAGATATATATCATTTTGTATTTTACGAATATAATTCGGGATATAATTCGTAAAATATTTTTAAACCACCATAACTATATTAATAATCTGTTATTGGCGAATTCCCCCCATATAACCATATCTAAAAAGAATAACATATAATTTGATTTTTATTATATAAATAACAATAAAAATACCACCAATAATAATAAATAATTTTGTATATAATAATATTTTAAATATTAATAAAAATATATAATAAATATATAATAATTAATACATAATATAAATATTATTAATATATAATAATTATTAAACAATAATAAATATATTTGTATCGAGAATAATAAATATCAAAGAACACCCATTATTTCCAATAATAATTAATAAAATAAAATACACATAATTAAGAATAAATTATATTATTTAACACAATTAAGAAATAAATTATAATCAACAACCTATATAAATAAAACATAATTTCAATCAATTTCATAAAACCCCCCCAAATAAAAAAAACATTTTTTTTGCCTCAATCATAATTCAATATTCTTGTTTATTTTAAAATTATAATATTAAAAATGATTCTATAAATAATTATATCCCCTAAATCAATTCCAAATAAATATATTTCAATTCAAAATATATATAAAATTCAATTGTTTCAAGCCATATTAATAAATAAACATTTACATCACAAAACACCACTCATCATTAAAAAAAAATATTCATAACAATTATAATTATTCATCCCCCAAATCATTATAATATTTTTTCCTATACCAAAAACAAATAAACATAATAATTAATAAACAAATTATATCAAAATAAACAATAACAATAACAATAACAACAACAATAATAAAAACACAATATATAAAATTATTCCCAATAAAAAATCCACCCTGTATTAAATAATTAATACCTTAAAAATTACACACACACACATCCCTATCTATTTTATCTTTAAAAAATACATTATGTATTTTATTTAATTTATATTTATAATTTTATTTTAAACATAAATAAAATTATAATTATATTCATATTATATATATATATATATATTATTATATATATATATAATTTCAATATTATTTATTTAAACATATGAATAAATATATAATACATAATATATTAATTATATACTACCATCTATAAATATAGATTATCAAAACCATTTATATCTAACAAGTATACTCTAAAAATATAGTTTAAATATCGAGGGTTAATTAATTATAAATACCTCTTTTGTTTTTCAGGATTCGTCATGGATCAATGTACCATTGTCAGGAACCTTCGGCAGCGACTTGAAACATGTGCCCGGTTCACACGTTTGATGGAAATGGAGGGGTCTCAGATTCGTTCTTGATCCATTTGGGATGTGAGGGTCTCGAGCTTCATACGTGCCGAAGCGTGGCCTTGACGTGCCCCAAGCTGGGATAATTAGCCCGACTTGATCCAATTCCAGGCTGTTCTCGCACCATGCGATGCTTGCACTGGTTCAAAGCCCACGGTTGTTAGCTCATCTTTGTTGGTTGCAGCCATCCAGCATTAAACAGAAAGACGCAAGTAACAGCAGCAACTGTTGATTCAATCCCTGTCGAGCCAGCAAGATTGGGTCTGCGCAAAAGCCTCAGACATTTGTAAGACCGTCATCTTCCAACGGGTTTAAGTTGATACAAACCTGAGCAGCCTATGGGTTTGGAAGGGACAAGGATTCCTTGGTGAATACGTTGGTCAGGCTTAGGGCCAATGGGATAGTGTAGCATGGCCCTTCTTCTGATCCATCAAGCCAGGTAGATCTCCTGGACCTGTTGCAAGAGGAGTACAAAATGGTCAGCCTTTTCAGCACGTGGTTAGCCGCCAGCGCTAAGTTCACTTAGGAAGGCTTAGAAGTGGGTGGTTGCCAACAGTTCAACAAGTTGCCACACCTTTCTGTCAGCATGATTGCAGGGAAGCTAGCTTAGCCGAACACCGGGACGCAAGTGTCGAAATACCCCAAAACCTCAAAACAAGTCTTACGCAACCAGGTTGCCGGGGTGGGGGGGGCGTGCCAATCATCTAAGTCTCCCGCCGGTGAAAAGCGTCCTGCCGCCTTCGCCCGCGGTGCAAAGGGAAGGTTCCCTGGCCACGAGACTCGAGTCCGCGGTTGGGCGACGCGGCTCGGGTGCGGGGTACAGGGATTGGTTCGTCAGGTTCATCGAGAATTCTTGGGGCCAATTGCCAGGGATTGTTTTTTGGAAGCCAAGGGACTGGCGGTCAAGAACCACGAAACTAAGACATGGCCGCTGGTTTTCGTGGGTACTTTGGGATGACCATGTCCTTTTCAAACCACAGGCACCACTTGTCCGAACGTGAATGTTACAAACTATAAAAAACAAACAGGAACATTGCCTTTTCTGCTTGGATCTGTGTTGCAAGCAACACAGCAAAACACCAAACGAGCGGGTTCCGCTCTGCAGCTGGAGCCACGCTGATCACTACCTTATCTCTCGAAACCAACAAACTAGAATTGAGGGTGCTATCTTATTATTCCATGCTAATGTATTCAAGAAACACTCTAACTCCCTCCAGGTAAACATCATACATGCGGCGCCACACTGCGAAGTGCAGACACGTTCTTCAGGAAGATGCCCAGGCGGAAGCCCATGTGCGACCCAAATCGTATCTTCGGCCCCACGGGCTGTCGGACCAACTTGGCGTCAGCATCCCCGCCCAGTGCGTCAAGACCTTTGCCAAACGAACCCCATAGCAAAAACGTCGGCTAGGCGGGGCAAGCCTGATAGCCATTTTCGGACAGCGGAATCAATTTGAAGGCATGTTAGTTGTGTCGCCATTTTCACATCTTTTGCGGGTAGGCGAGGCCTGCGGTCAAAAAGTGTAGGGTTTCAGATCCTTGGGTTTCTGTTTGAAGCCAAGGTAAACAATGATCCTCAACAACACAGACCCAGGTGAGCAACGCCCAAAGCTCACGGCCATTTGGCTCTTCTGAGGGGGCATGAAGCAATTTGCAAAGGATGAAGCTTCTACGACACCAGGCCGAAAGTAGATGGAACAATTCCCTGCAAGTAAGAAGGATACAACAAATTATGGAAAATTGTGCCACGTGCTTTCACCCAAGCGGTGGGCATCCGTCCGGGGTGATGCAACTGGCCTGCAACAGAGCGAACTCCACCGGCACGCAGCTGATTTTCTGGCGCGCGTGCGGGGAGAGAACCCCAGAAAAAAAATCCCGCTTTCAGAGTAGGACACTCGTAAACCAAAATAAAGCCACTGAGTGTTGGGCTCGGATTCACAGGTCCATTGATTCACACCAGGGTTGCACCACCCATTGGACGGTTTTCAGTTCAGGTGGTACAGAAGGTAACCCACTGCATTCGGATGAACAGGCAACGGCTTGAAAGCAGGGCAGGACACATGTGTAAACAATCACCGCCTGGTCCCTTTTAAAGGGACATCAAAAGAGGGCTTTCTTCAACAAATATTTGGTCCAGAGAGAGTGGGGGGTAAAGCTGCCGCAAAAATGTTGACCACTGTACCAGCTTCACCTTTTGGGACCTTGACAAACAATGGAACCCCCAAAAAAACGAGAAAATCCCAACGGGTTTTTTCCGCCGGATTCGCTGGAATTGAGCTGAACTGAGGCTTTTGCTGAGACCTCCTTGTTGATGTCGTCGGAGTACAGCATTTCCTCGGGGAGACTCGGGGACCCCGTCCCCTGATGACGAAACCCTGGGGCCGAGGGGGGGGGCTTAAAGGCATTCATGCAGGCGGCTTTCCATGACTGGAACTTGAAGCAACATGGCCGTAAACATTGCAGAGGGCACGCCGCAGACAAGTACGGCAATTCACCATGGTTTTCTTCGTTTTGGACTTCACGTGGCTGAAAGAATAGAGACCCTTTTTGGGGTTGGAAACACATTTTCAAGCCGGTCCCGAACCCACCAAACAATACCCAGTGGTCCCATTTCTCAGAACCCTCACAGACTGACAAGAAAATGGCTGGGTGCCTGCTTGAAAAGGGGCGCGACCGAAATTTAGGTGGATTGGCCCAGATAGTCCCAACTCGTTCTGTTTCCCATTGAACGCTGGATCTCCCCAAAACTGCCAATCAAAATAGGCACTGATACGGAGCTAAACCCGTATCAGGGTGTTGCCCCCCAATGCCCACCTTTCAGACGTTCGGGCCAAGCAGCTCTTTCCTTCTCCAAGTCAACGCCCTCGTGATCGAGCTCGGCGACGTCATTGAGGGCAGGCAACTTGGCGCGAACAAACACCGACCGCACAAACCGGCAGACACGGCTCCAAAGCCTTGACGCAGGGTGGGACTTGCTGCAGCCCCCCCAACAAAGAATCAAAGTGCAACTTTAAATACATCTGAAAGAAGAAGTGCCACCCACCCTGACCAACACAGAAGTCGTGTTGCACGCAAGCAACTTGAGGCTCTTCTTCAGATCGGCACGAATTCGCTGTCAAACCAACTGCTGGTTCGAGGAGATGGCTTATGCCCCGGGGCCATCTCACGCTTACCAGAAGGCTAGCACATCCCACAAAAGGGCTGACCCACTGAAGATTGCAAGTCAACCATCCATAAACCACGGCCAATCAGAGGGGTTCTATTTTTCCCTAACATGCATCAAGTGAATCGTCCCAGTGACATGGGTCATGCAATTTCTCACCCAAACAGCAACCTTGTCCACCGCTTCAGACACAACCCGATGGAGGGCCCTGGCTGCAAGTGTCCTGTTGGGGCCTTCTGGTGGGTTCTTTAGCAATGTGTGGGGGAGGGTTCCTTTCTAGAGAGTCTCCAGCAAAACCAATCCTTGAAACCAATGAACGCGCAAGGAACCCCTCGAAAACTTGCCCAGAAGCAAGCGAGATGGCCTTGCTATCTCAGCTTCCAATACAAGCTACTAAGTCAGCCCCGTAGTTCCTGGCCAAGCTTGAAGCCCGAAGTACCATATTTTGGATTTTCACCATGTCATCGGCAAGCCGGTGGTTTTGATGCCTGGCTGGCTTAGCAAGCAGCCCATGTGTTGCAATGTGTTGAATCCGTACGCAATCCATTCCCGTGATTCTGGCCGACCGGAAATCGGAAACCGCCCGAGGTTGGGGCATCTTCCAACTTGGCGCCAGGGGGCACCTGATCCCCACGAGCGGAAGGGCGGTGTTCACTCCGCAAACTAATGTGGAACCTGAAAGGAGTGTCCCCCAAATGAAGATTCTACACAGCAGTTCCCTTTCGGCTTCCCTGTCATAGAAGCAAAATGGCAACCAAACTTCCAAGCTTGGCCTGATAGTGACTAGTGACTGTTAGACTCACTTCCGATTGAGTGGATTGGTCAGAACAATGTCCTGATGATTGGGAAGTGAGGGTCACAGCAGCTGGCAAGATCACCACAGCCGATTGGGAATCAGCGACCGACACAAACCCCATATCCAAACCGATACCCTGCAATTCCCCCCAATGCTTATGAAGCGCCTTTCTGTTGATTCCCGTTCAAACCAACCAGAAGAGTGTTCCCAGCAAACATATTTTCCCCTCTGCATGTTGGGTGTGGACTTCAAGATGGTTGGACCCTTTAGTGGACATCATCTACATGGAGATTGATGTCCACCGACCATTGTTGAGGGTGTTCAAGCCAATACAACTATGACCTGCTTGAGATCCTACCGTCAGCTACAACAAAGGTTTGCCAGGGCACACACACAAAAAAAGAAAAACACAGTTTCTCACGTGTAAAGTATGCTAAAACACATCTACACACTCGCACCCAATGGCCCCCCAATTGTTGCGGCTTTAGCAGCCTCAAATCAAACTAATTCGGATGAGACCAAAATTCAATTGCCAGTTCTGTCCAACTTCGGGCTGTTCAAAGCATAATGTTGACCAATCCATGATCCCTCATGCCGCGATGCTTTTTGGGGAAACACACCTTTGTTTTGTTGTTTCTTTAACATCTCCTAGATTGATCATAATAAACTTATCTAAGGCGGCCTTCTTGATGCCGACAAGGACCAACCCCGAGACAATCAAACCACCACAAACAAATAGACAATAATAAATAATAGAACCAAAACACAAATGAATGAATATACAAAAACACCACACACACACACACACACGCCAATAAATAGATACACAACTAAACAAATAAACCAGCAAACTAACAAAGCCCATCGTGAGCGTGCGCCTCGATGCCCAACTCTTCACTCAGCTCCTATGCAGGTCAAGCATGCATCCAATGGAAACCCACGGGGGATGCGCCTCTGCGATTTGAGGGTTGTAATGATTTCTCTGGTCAACTCATACTTCCCTATGCGCCTAAGCATCTAGGCCCCCTGCCCTACATGCAGGCCTGAGAACTGATTCATGAAAGTTGACATTCCTCTGTCATAGGCTTCTTACTTGGTTACTTTAGAACAATCGTCTGGACCTTCGTCTGTTCAGTTTTAAGAGCATGAACCCCATGTTGATTGTAAGGGCGTGTCCTAATTGAGGAGAGATCTGGACCATTTGTGGGAAACACGCGCGGCAGGTTCATGAATCGGAGGGCCTCCATCTGAGTCAGACATAACTGGATTGACTGTTTCCGACAGCATCGTCCCGAACAACATGATTTGTTGACAACAAGTTTCGGACAACCCAAATTCCAACCAACCAACAACCAAGGACCAAACAATTTGGCCATCCCTTTGAGAAAACAGGTCTCCCATTTTCAGGCCCCCGGCCAAGACTTGGGCTGCCTTCGACATCCGGAAGGCAGAATATTCCTTGAGGCGTGAGGCTTGAGGAAACCGTGGCCCAAAGAGTCTTTTGCTTTGCCAGGAATGGATTTTGTGTGCCCCCCAAAATAAACAACATGCCAAGAAGAACTTAGGGGGCCAAACAAGGGCGAGTGCCATTTCGTTCGTTGGGACAACACCCAACCTGGGAAAACAACAGCCCGCATTTCTTCAACCATCGTTTCACCCACTGGATCCGAGTGAATCCTTCAGTCGGAATGTTTCGTGCGTCGTTCCCAACTACAGAGAGCAAGCAAGACGCGGAAACGGCTCAAACGCCGTCTCATCTCCCACAGTTCATGTTGGTTTTGTTGTTCCACATGGGTGTTTATTATTTTGTCATTCCATTGGTTTCTGTTTCTTCCCAACACGTCGTACACCCCCCCGTACTGGGTGATTTCATGATGCCGCCATATGAAAGGACGTCCGCCGGCGCCACGCGCCGCGCGCCACCCGCCTCTGCCTTGCCAGCCCCGAGGCCGGCATCGTAGTCGCCCTCGCCGCCCTCATAGCCGTCATAGCCCTCTTCCATCGGCGGTAGCTCCTGGGGCAAAGCCGAAGTTTCGTGAATCTCGTTTGCCACTTTCCACCAGACCAAAAAGGACACCACAGCTTTTGGGCAATAGCAATATTCATTAGTGCCCAAGCCCCATGCTAAACCACTGGCGTGCGGGGGTTGATCAAAAGGTCCTTTACATGGGATGACGACTGGGGAAACCACCCAAAAGATATGACTGCAAATGGGAACAGTTGCCCATGGTCACTAGAGGGAGCGCCCGGACAACTGACCAACCCCCCATGCACTTCTCGACTTTCCCGCCCAACCGGCAGGCACCAATCTGCCGCAGAGTGAGGCATGGCTATGGTTTGGACTTTGGGGGCACCTTGCCCACGGCGTCAACAGGAGGTGGGGTTCCTTTATGATGGTCCAAGCCTTGCAAACCGCTGCCAAACAGGGCCCTCCAAAAACACGCAGACCCAACCAGGTTTCGCCTTTCTCCACTCTGTAGCACCTCGACGTTTCACTTCGCTCGGCTTTGCTCCTCTGGCATGGGCATGGGCTCCTCCTCCGCCGGAGGCACGGCATCCTCAGTCGGTGGGTGACCCTTGGAAAGTGCGCGTGTGTGTGTGTGTGTGTGGCCCTCTCTCTCTCCCTCTCTCTCTCTCTCTCTCTCTGCCTCTCTTTCTCTCACCCTCTCACCCTCGCTCTCTCTCTCTCTCTTTTTCTCTCTCCCTCTCTCTCTCTCGCTTTCTCGCGCTCTCTCCTCTGCCTCTGCCTCTGCCTCTGCCTCTGCCTCTGCCTCTGCGTGCGGCTCTGGGTGCAAGTGTGTGGGCGCGGGTGCGGGTACGGGTGTGCTTGCGCATGGGCGAATGTCAATATGTGCGTGTGTGTCTGTGGGTTGGTGAGTGTGGGTGTGGGTGTGGGTGCGTGCGTGTTTGGGAGCGCGTATTTCTAAGGCACCCCGTTGAAGGGAAACCAAAAGGACACTTTTCCATTTTTAGGGCCCCCTGCAAGACACACACGCTCCCCCAAATCATGGTGCTACGAAATGCATGGGTGTCTTTCGGATGCTACATTCTTGTTTGTGCTTTGGCGCAAGCGATCGGAACCCGCCGTTCATTGGAACCCATGGAACGGGTCCCATGCATGATGGGCCCCTGTCCACGAAGATGAAAGCTCAGGGCACGGGAAACAGACAACGCATCCCTCTGGCCAACATACGTCATCAGCGACAGCACCCAAACAGCAAGTTAGGGGCCATGTTCGCGAACACTACCCTCAAACCTAGACTGACAGCCCAAACAATGCTCCATTCCCAACATCAGAAGAATTTCACTATCACAAGGGAAACCCCTTTTTTGCGGAAACGCTACAGGTTCCCTCAAACAACTGCCTTCAACATGCCCTCCACATTTCCAACCACTTTCAAACGCTCGTTCTTTGGAGGAGCCGGGTTTCAATCCAGATCAGCAAAACACAAATAACAAGGGCGCTGTGTTGTGGTTGATTTTCAGGGAAACCAGCTCGGGGCAAAAAAACCAAGTAAATAAAGGCGGACTCGGGCTCCACTGGGCGTCTGGGCTTTGAATTGGGCAAGAGGCTTCACTTCGTGGATTGGCAAAAAACAAGTCGATTTGACTTTCCCGAAAGCATTGCGAAAGCGAGTTTCGCCGGCAAGTTCCACTAGCAAGTGCACTAGCGAGTTGCGCTAGCAAGCTGCGATAGCAAGAAGAAGTACTTGTCAGTACGCCTCATCATGCGTCCGCCGAGCCATTGCGTGATTGGCGTTGGCTTCTCCCTCAGCTTGTTGTTGCACTGCTCTCTGCCCCTTATTTTTGAAAATGCAAAAGCACGCGGAATCCGCTTGCCCGATCCCCTCAAGGTTTTCCGACGGATAGAAACAGTGCCCTCTGGATCAACGCAAGTTGAGCTACGAAAGCAGTACGCAAAGTACTGTACACTTTAATTTAACTACGAAAGCATTACGCGAACTACACTACTCGAGTCGAAAGGGTGCTGTGTTGTGGCGAGCGCTGCACGCAAAGAATTTGCTCCAAACTTGTCGAGAGAGACTTGCTGCGAGAACTTGCTCAGAGAACTCCCCACCCATCTTCTAGTTCTCTTTGCCGCCAAAGTGGCTGACCAAAAAGTAGAAAGTACAGGAACTCACGGAGCAAGGACATCATGTTGAAGATCTGATCACTAGCTGGAAACCTGGACGCGCCCTCTGTTTGTGATAAAACGGGCCAAGACAGGAGACGACCATTTGGAGTAGGTTCATGAAACTATACAGAAACATCCAAAAGTTGCCAAAAGGCAAGTCCGCACGCGGCTCACCTGCGAATCGCGGCGCCAGAGCCACACCAGCCAGCAGCGCCGCGAGCAACAAGCGTCACACATGCAAAGAAGGGCCGCGTCAACGTACTTGCCATAAACTTCATCAAGTTGCCAAGGCTCAGTGAAAGCGCGCAAAAGCACCGCACCAGGCAACGCCGCAGCGTGGTTTACAACCCTTTGGTTCTGACCCTCGGAGTAAGTGGCAACAATGTCAAGTAGCAAAACACTTAGGTCACTAGGCCTAGCGATTCGTCCCCTTCGGCTGACTAAACTTCCAAGGTGCCGGGTTGGCGCCGCGGATCAGGTCGGCGGCATCGCGGGCCGCCTGGATGTGTTGAGGACAGCCATGGATAGTTCTGGGAACTTCTTCTTGCAGCAATGAACCAATGGATCCCTCTACATACGTAGGGATTATACGTAGGGATTGGTTCATCAATATGATTCCCTCATTTCCTGAAGAGAACCAGCAAGGTTTGGAGGTTGTTTCAAAACGATGAAACCCACGGTCAATTTCCAAGTTTGGGGCTCCAAATTTTGCGGGGTGAGCTGCCTTGCCCGTTTGGGGTTGTTAAACCAAAAAAGAAGAAGCCAGCTGCAAACCAAACCATGTTTGGTGGGAGGAGATGTTTGCCGATCGCTTAAGCAGCGTGTAGCATGCTTTTGCTTCGCTGGACATGGTCATGGTATATAAAAAGTGGGGATGCTTGCAAGGATAGTCAGAATCCAGCAATCTAGAAATGCTTGATACCATCCTTTGAACAGCCGACAGGTCTTGGATGCCCACAGGCAGTACCCTTGACCATGCTAAGCCATGAATGTGGTCATTGGCAGCAAAAAGAAACACGGGAAGATGGACCCCTGGAGATTGGATCCTTTGATTCATCTGTCCCTTATCAACGGGAGCTGTTCAAGTTCTTGTGCATTTTGTCAGCAGTTCATTTGCAAGGAACTCCCCTTGAGCTAAATGGAAAAGGAACTGCTCCAGCGCTCTGGGGTTTTACCCCCCCCCCTCCCCCCTCCCCTCCGGGGGGGCCTTTGGTTTGGTTGCTTGGTTGCTTGAACAAGGTCTGCCCAACACTGAAATCATGCACGCACGATGCCGCCTCCGCTGCCTCCGCCATGGATTCCCGCGCCGCCTGCGCTCAAGGCGCCCAGTTGGACAGCGCTTGAGGCTGGTTGTGGGAAAAAACAAGAGGGTGCTGGCAGAAATCCATCTATTATTGTATGAAACATCTTCCCTGAAATAAGAAGTCGCCAAGAAAGCCACCTCTATGATTTCCGTTCACCAACTCCTTCTGTGCCGATTCCTTTGCCCCAATGGATGTTTGCATAAAAGGAATCCCAGCGAATATGAGAGGAGAGAGCCCAAGCATTCCAACATCTGAAGAAATGAAGCCTTCAAGGCAAGGACCTACGCCATAGCTCGCTTGAGCTCGACAAATAGATATGACAGAACCTCCAATAGAGTCCATCTTGAGCTTCATGGGGAGATGGGTTGAAGCCGCCAGCAAATCTGCCAGACATCCAGAATTGGGTGTTTCTCAAACTGGGAGAACCCGTTTTGCACGGTGTTGCGGGAAAGGAAGCCGAAGGAGTCCCTCATTTTGAGGCGCACCAATTTGAGCAAAGCGCACTTTAGGCACCTCATGGGCGGCAGCTTTCTTCATGAGGTAGTTCCGCAAGGTGTCATCCAGGCTCAACTGACGGCGTCAACACACGCGGGCGCGCGCGGGAGTGCGAGCCGACGGTTTCCGCGACCTCGATTGCCCATGCGGGGAATGCCCCAAGAAATCAGACCCAGGTCGACTTCCCTTGGGCTTCACTGTAAGCCAAGGGCTCGCAAAAACAAACACAGCCCCCAAAAAACAATCAGTCAAAACCACAAACCTCAAACCAACCAAATGCCAAAGCCACAACCCCCAAACCACAAACACAAGTGAAATCACAAACACAACAACAAACACAAGCACAAGCGCCAACACAACCACAAGCATGCAAGCACGCACACACACACACAACCACACACACAAACAAATAATCAGAAGCACAAACACAAACGCGGCTTTGCTCCAACCCGTCACTCCACACTTCCCCACATCCCCTGACTAAACAAGTATCTCTCGAGATCCAAGTCCGGGGCCTGCATGTCCTCGGCTCGAAACGAGGAAAGGGGCGCCCTGATCTGGGGATGGGGGAAAAAGGAAGCGAACCTTTTCTAGGTCCTCCATTAGAGATACCATGTGTCTTTTTTTGTTTCCTTCTTCTTTTTCCGGTAGTCTATTCTAGTAGGGGAACCCTCCCCCCACAAAGGGTAAAAGGGCACCACTGGGGGACCTAGTTTTCGGGGGAATCCGCACTTTGAGACAAACCTTCGGATACGGTAGAAATGGATCCCTTCTCTGCAAAAAAGGGCGAAACTACTGGGAAAAAATTGTGGTTTCCAAAGAGACCCATGGGTGAAGAAAGTTGGGAAACAACCCTTGGAAGAATACTTGGCGTCCCAACCCCAAGTCTCAAAGAAATGAACCAAGGCGCTTGGCTTCTCAGGTGGTTCACAAAAGGGGGCTCCTAGAGGGGGTGAAACATGCCAAATGTGACATGTGCAACTTCGGTTCATGTTTCTTGGCTTCCTGAAGTGGGCGGCAGGCGATGTTCCAGGGAACTCGATTCGGAGCTGAGGCCAAAGACTCATCTTTGCACCAGATTGGCATGGAACCCCAAAGTCCCCACAAGGAGACTCTTGCTCAAAAGAGACTCAGGGAAGTCTACCGTGCAACAAGGGGTTACAGTTCCTTGTTTTGAGACCAATCCATGGCGTATTTTGTGCGTCGTCACCGTAAAACCCGTGGCTACATGATTTTGAGACACACCAAGCGCATCACATGTTGGCCGCGGAACGATTCCGAGGTTTTCTTTGCAGGTTGGATTCCAATGCGGTTGCTACAGTTGCTTCAGCTTGCCTAGATTCATGTGAGATTGCCTATCAAAGGGATCCATCTTCACCTTCTGTGCCTGCACCTGCTAAAGAAACAAGTACCCCCCCGCCCCCACAGCTGTAGGCCCAACTGTCCTTGACCCCCGGGCTCGACTCGGGAACTTTGCTGCCAAGATTGGCCCATGCTCTAGAAGCTCCAAGGATCGGGTTTTCTATTAGCGTCGCCTTCCTTGGCAATGCACACCGAGCCATCAGGATGACCGCTCCAGGGATCATTCCCCTGCACCAATCAAATCGACCTCGCACAAATCTGGAGGGTTTTAAATCAACGGTGTGCATTAACGCACAATGGCATATGTTTTGTCTACGCTGTGCTGCAACGCAACTTCTCGGGAAACTGTCTTGTGTTGAGGGTGGGCTTCACAGAAGCGGTTCCTTTTTGCGTCTTGTCATCATGGACTCTTAAAATAGGGGACCCCAAACTATTGTGACTCTCCTTTGGTGAAACTTGGACCCTCAGCCCTCCAATGGCAATGGCGGCAGATCCGGCATTCAACATTGGTGGCAACATGTCCATCCATGTCCTGCAATTCGCAATCCATCCCTAAAACCTGGCAAGAAAAAGAAAGTAACCGTTAGCATCCCTCCAATATCCTGCTGACAGCAAGGCATGGTTGCTTTCCTTTTGGGGGGGGGCCTCCCTGTCCACTTCCGCTGCTCGCACCAACGCAAACAAAGGGCGTGCATCCCGCTGATGAGGTTGTCGAAGTCTGCGGCTGGGATGTACTTGGTCTTCTCAACCTCAGTGCGCCCCCAGATTTCCGCCCCAGGGCCCGTGTCCGCCCAAATTGCCCGAGCTCCCGTTTGAGGTATTTAACCCATTGCCCCAACCCCGGGACCGGGAACCACGAATTTGACCGGTTTCTTCCGTTTTCAAGATATTGTAGGTTCTATCCTATGGGTTTATGAGGGCACTAAACCCAGTTACCCCGTTTTGACGCAAAGTGTAGGGGCCCAACGAACAGAATTGGGGTTGCGGGGGAATCAAATCAAGTTGTGATGATAGGATAATCAGGCGTAATTGCTAAGCCCTTGATATCAGTAATCTAATTTACAACCCTCATGTGAGTCCCCATTCAGAGCTACCTCTTGTACAAATGAAAACGTGGGACTCATTTGGAGGACCCTACCAATCAGAGGAACAACCTGAGAGAAATAACCTAGGACCTATCGAAAATTGACCGTATCCCCTAAAAGGGGAACCCCTGGTTAGTACTCCGGATTTGTCCGACATTGCCAGAGAAGTGGTTCGTCATGGTCATAAACCACGTATGGCTGCAAGTCCGCATTTAGAGGGCCACAACCAAGGTTACAAAGCATTTAGCTAAGTCCCGAACCATGTACTAGAATCTACAGTTGGGAGAAAGTAAATGACGCAACGCCAGCATTTGGGCTTAGTCATACCCTTTACTTTTTAGAAAGGGACGCTATAGGGGCCCCTATTTTTGCAGTGTTTTTGAACACGCAGTGATCTTGGACATGTGACGCACATTTATCAGAATTGAGGTTTGTTCCTCCATTTGATAACTCCATTTGTCTTGTTTGTCCTTATTAGATAACAAGAGCAGGTCAAAATTGTGCTTATCTTGGGGGGTCGCAAAGCCATGAGTTTGAAATGGGCGCAGTTTCGAGGGTTTCTGGAGATGGGAGGGCCTTCTTTTTTTTTGGCGGCCCCCCCCTCCCGGGACCCCCCCCCAGACAAAGACGCACCCCAGGATTAGAAGTGGTTGCTAGAAGCCCTGTTAGCTGCAAAAAAACTCTGTAACTAGCACCGACATTGATTGCTGCTTTGCCTTCACCTTTAGTGAGCAAACACCTGTAGCAACAAAGGGCTTGGTTGCACTGAGGCTATAGTTCTAGCACAACACAGTTTATGCATTTCGCTTGTGGGCCCAGTTGCGTGTAGTATTCTCATGGCTTGTCTTGTGCATCACACTCCCGAAGGTAATTCAGTTGGGGAGGACAGGATAGAATATTTCTGTGTACCTGGCTTTGACATACAGCCTTGTGTGTCAAGCATTAGGCCAATGTGCAGCAGCGTCATCATGCTGCTAGCTTGCTATGGGTAACATGGAGGCTTTAGCTGGCACTAGACATGGATACCTCGGTTCTGTGAAATCTGTGTTTTTCCACCAAAAAGCCTTGTGTTTCTCATGTGGTGCAGAGCATTCCTGTGTTCCATTGTTTCTTGTTTTTATGAACATAAGGTTTTGTTGACCATGAGATCTACTTATCAGAAATTGTGTTGATGACCTGTGGGAGGTGCAAGTAGAATAAGTTATTCGCTTACATCCTCTCATGCCAACTGTTGCATGCCGCCAGTAAACATAGGAGCTCGACAACCTATCCCTGATGAGGTAGAAATTAATGTTGCCCACTTGCAGGTGGTCTGCCTCACCACTCACATTTCATGATCTACTGGCAATATGACTAGTGATCTGCACGCAATACGCAACTCAGCATATCAAGGGAAGAGAACACCCGATATGAGCTACCAGCAATCCATGGCCAATGGAAAGGTTCAATCCTCAAGCTCAGGTAGCATGTTCGCCTATGGTAAGTGCATTTCTGTCACAAAGTGGGGGAAGGTGCCTCACCACAACTTGCAGAGGCCTTCATTCCACGAACCCCTTGGTGAGCTATAGGCATGCAAGGTGGAAATCCAAGATTCTCGTTCCAGAAATGTTTCTGATGATCCAGAAGGGGTTTCTGGCAACTGAAGGTAGTGACCTATGTTTGGTTGAGTCATTCAGGTAGGAACCTCGGGCCCCTGACTCCCACATGATGGGGGGGTGCATCAAGATCTGTCAACCAGGGGTGGAGCCACTCATCCAGCTAGTCTGTGAACTGGGATGATAAAAGTATTCTTACCCCAGAAACTTGAAAAGGCAAGCCCACAATCCAATTGAGAAGCCATGCCACAAGTAGTTGTAATGAATGCATTTCCAGGTAATGCCACTTTTGGTGGAAGTACCTCTACATGGCTTTTAATGTTGGCAAGTCATTGGGCTCTCTGATTCTTAATTGTTTGGGGTGACAAGATCTGACACTTCTGAAGACCTTACGCAGGTCAAATTAAGCACAGATGCAGCAGAATGGATTCACATTACTCTTTTCGGCGGGCTTAGATATAAAAAAGCAGAAAAAACAGCTGAAAACGCTGTAAAACCAGGGCCCACAGGGCGTCCCACTTTCTTACTTTTTGCACAGAAAGAAATTGTGCCGTCCAATTGCCTCAGCCTGGTGAGCCGTTGCCCGTATGTACGTTCACCCTGGTGCAGTAAGTAGGTTTTGACCATGGTGATACAGGACAAACCGCAGTTACCCCAGTTGTAACCATGGTTGTGACCTACTGCATAAAAAGCTGGAACATTCAGGAAAGGGCCTTCACATTTACTTGGGTTGGGTTTCAAAAGAAAGATGCCGAAGACTTACCACGTTGACTCATTGCTTTATGCAATCCTTTGTGCCCCTTAGTAAAACCCCAAAAGACAAAGAACTCCTTTCACCCCTGGGCTTCTAAGCATTTCATGCTTTAGTTGGGTCTGTCTTTTTGGGAGAGTACCCGCTTTGTATGTTTGTGTGGTTTTGCTTGAACACCAGGAGGACACCCACTATTGTGCTTTTTTTTTTGGGGGGGGGGAGGGGGTACTCTAAAACAAGACACCACCATTTTTATACATATCTATATATAGTTATACATACGTATATGTTCTAGTTAGGGGACCCCCCCCACAAAAAACAAAAGGAAAAGGTGGGCTTTGTATATATATCTATATGTATACATATGTATATATTTGTCTACCTGTATATATATATATATGTATATATAGTACTTTAGTACCAAACGATGGGCCGCGTTGAACGACGGGCTCCCCGGCGATGTGCTCCAGGTCCAGCGCTGAAGCCCATGGCACCCCCCCCGGCATTTGGCGAGGCATCCTGCCGGCACTGTCACCGGGCACCGGGTAGACACGAACAAGGTGAAAAGTGGGAAGCACCTGATCTTTTTTATTTCTCTCTTTTTTGGCGATTTTGGTTGTTTTTGTTGTTGTTGTTTTTTTTTGGGGGGGGGGTTAGGTCTAGATTTTTGTTTGGTTTTCGGTGGATGGCAAACAAGGGTTGAAGTGGAACCGGGATACGTTTGAAGGTCATGTCATTTCGTGAGTAGCCTTTGAATGACGAAACTTCTAGTTTAGATTTTAGGTGTAAATATTTTGAACCACCCGCTTTTCGGGAAGCATCGGATAGACAAGACCCTCCCAACAAGCATACCTGCACTGGAACCGGTTCCCGGAAGATAATCTTCCCTTGGGGACCGGATCCTGGGTTCCGTGTTTGTTTTTGGGAGGGTAATTGGAGAACAAAAAATGGATTTAAAGGGTGAAATCCACTGAACAACTGGGTGCAATAGGAGAAGGAACACCCCCCCGTCCCCGCGCCTAGGGACAAGACAAGAGACTTGCGAAAAGGGGTAACCCTGCCTTGGTCACAAATTAGCTCCCATTTGTTTTTAGGATGCCCAGTGTCCTTTTGAGCACCCCCATGCCCCTGTAGTAAGTAAAGCCTTTCCTGAAGCCCGGGGCGCATGGCGCTCCTCCTGCGCCTTGCCACCCCCCCCCCCTTCCCCAAGAACCAGCGCCGTACGGCCGCACGGCGCCTCTCTAGCTGCTGCATGGCTCGGCTGCCGTCGGCCTTCACGATGCGGTAGATGTTCAGCGCCTGAGCGTTCAACCTACGTGAGGTCATTGCCATGGTAAGGGGACAAACCCCAGGTAACCACCCAAGACCTCCTTTTATATAACGGATTGAACCCCTAACCCACTCCCCCCCCGAATTGTATCCATGTTTGTCAGCTAAGCTTGGTGAAATGGCTACTTGGATGGTCCGCGAGGAATCGGTGAGTGGGTTTTCCCTGTTTACCCCGGCCACGTAAACTACCTCGTAGGAAGCCTGATCTTGCAAGGGTTGGGGCAGGTGGTTGGAAGGATCCCTGATGCTTCAGCTTTTGCCCAACTATAAAATGACATTTTCAGAATCTGTGCCATATTTAGTGAGCTTGGGAATTGTAATCTGAATGCTAGGATTTAAAAAGAGGCGCCGGAAAAGATCAGCCTTTCATTTCAGAATTCTCTGAGTGAGTTCTCACTGGCTCTCACGGTGGATATCCCAGATATTGCAAGATATTGCAAGTACAGCAGCCGCAAAAGCATCGTGCATTGCATGTGTTGCCTGTACTACTCTTCTTCACAGCTTTCTTTTTTGGCGACCTCTAAATGAGCGAAGCCTCAAAGTGGGTGGGGGGACTTTGGTTTCGGTTTCCATCAATAAACACACCCGATTAGCGACGAGGGTGCTCCTTGTGGGGTGCGCTATCTATGGTCAGGCAACGGGAGCTCGGAAACTGTTTGGAAGTGTTTCCGCATAATGCGGCGAAATCATGGGTGCCCAGTATACCTGTGAGTAGCAATTAGGGCACAAAGGGCCATTCCCAACTAATATGTATTATTTTCATGCATGTGTGTGTCATTTTTAGGGGACCCCCAAAAATTGGTGTTTTCCTCATGGAGTATTGGAACGAACCCCAGGAAAGGGTATCAACAAAAACAAAAAACGGACCAATCTATATATATGTACTATAATATATATATATATATATATATGTATAAATACACACGCACCGAGTGTTTCTTATAAACGCTTGCGAAAGCGATGCCTCCCGAACATCCTTGATCTTGTCGTGGACCTCCCTCAGGCCATCCACGATGTCAGGGCCTGGCATTGGCCCATGGCTTCACTTGAAAAACCCCACGACAGTGGCTCGCCTCTAGGGTGTTCTTCAACCCCCTTCAAACAATCATAAGCTGGAACCAAACAAGGGAACTGCTTTTTTTGAAATGCCCAGACTATGCTTTTCTCAACCCTTCTCCCTTTTTTATCATACGCCCTTCTTAATTGGCCCTCCCTGGCTTAGGGTTGTTTAGGGTTTGTTTGGGATAGTTCAATTCGGTGGCTTAGGGTAGGCTTAGGATTGGCTCTTAGGGGTGGCGTAGGGTTGGCTTCACCTGGCTTTACTTTTGGGTGAGGCACGTGTCTGTGCCAATGGGCCCGGCTCCGATTTTTAGACATGTCTATTCCCCCGCCACACTTCCCCCGCCACACGCGGGATTCTATTATGGCGTGCTGATTTTCCTCTCTTCTCTTGTGTCGGCGAGCTAGGTTTCAATTAGTTGCTGTATCATGGAAGTGCCTTCTGAAGCTCCTTTGATAACTTGTCCACCTTTTGCCTGCTGGTTTCTTGGATCAAACAATGTTGCAATCAACTAGGGTTGGACCAACAGCCTGCTTAAACACGCTTAAACAACCTCGTTTCGGTTCCCCTTGTGGGGGGGGGGGCGACGAGTCGGGTCTGGTTGTTCAAACAGTTGCAACCAACCCTGCAACCAGCCTGGTTGATTCCCATCAGTTTCGTTCTCTTGGTATGACAGAACCCTTTTCCCATGATCAGTTTCAAGGGACCTCTCTTGGTGTCACAGAGCCCTTTTTCCCTTGACCATCAGTTTGAAGGGGGTTCTCTTGAAGACAAACTTATCACAGAACCCCCTTCCCATCGCTATCATTTTCAGGGAGTTTCTCTTCCCTTGGTATCTCAGACCCAACCAACCAGCGTCTCGGATCAACTCGACGATGCCCCGCCTAGCGCAGGGTCCTGGCCCTTGCCCAGGCGCATATCCACGGCGCCGTACTCCTCAACCCCCCCCCCCCCCTTTTCGCGCGAAAGACATGGGACCGGCCGGATTTGTGAGGGTACCCATTTTGTTGAGTTCTTTAATTCGGTGTTTTTCTTTTTGTGAGGGTGCTTGCTTGTTTGCGGCTGCTCAGAAAGGCAAACTCTTCGAGGGTGTCTCTTTTTTGCAATTTCCAAAAGAACCGAACTCAAATGGAAACTATCCATTGCGGAAGCTTTCTATCCGTTCCGATGGCTTCCTACCCAACGCAGTCCAGTAATCCCAGAGTGTACAACACAATTCCTGAGATTCAGGCAAGTTCGAAGGTAGGTAAGTATTTTACCTGATTTTGACAAACCTATAGTTGGCACATGTTGACTTTTTCCAGTGGGCGGTGATGTTGTTTTCCAACCAAAAGAGGGCAAATCATGCAGTCGGTCATTTCCTCGGACTGCAGTTGGTGGATTCAGAGCGAGAAGCAACACATGTTTCTCCTACTGGATTGAACACCCTGAATAAATTGAAAGAAAGCCTCTGTAAATGTCGAACAGTCAGTCTAACTGCAAGTGGCGAACACCATCCGCATTTCAGGAGGGGGCAATACGACGTGCATTCTGCCAGCGCCTGTGCAAAAAGGACTAGCATGAGGCAAGCATTCAAACCCAAACTATTCATGTAGCGTGTTAAACTCATGGTATGTGAATCAAGCACGTGAGACATCCCCAGTTTGACCTAGTTTAAACGGTTCAGTTGCATTTTACATTTTACCAGTGACTCAAAGTGAAGCGAATAATAAAACATAAATTGTATATCTGGGCCTAACTCTAATCTCAGGTGTCGAAATAGGGGGATTCCCTAAACGGTGGTTTTCCTTTGGGCCCAACCTGAAGGGTAGCCTTAAACAAAAAAAAGTGAGCATCTCCCACAGGTCGGCTTCTCCGCCCCCCGCCCCATTGAGGCAGTTTGCCGAATTCGCCGGCTCTTCTCCCTGACGCTGGAGCGGATGATGGGAGGTCTGGGAGCAAGCATCCCTCCATTTTCTCGACCTTCTGTTGGACAGCTCAAGCCGCTACACAGGCAGCTGCTCCATGTCCAACAGTGATGAGCAAGCAACTAAACACACTCAAGAGGCCGATCCCAGCCAGAAAGTTAGAGCTCAACTTGTTCTATTGGCAGGGAGTTGCGCTGAATGGAGTGTTCCCCAAGAAATGAAGGGTTTGTCTCTGGCCCGAAACACGACGCCGAAAGCAGTCAAACGAGCAAGTCTACTTCACTTTCCAACCCGTGTTGTGTAAGCAAACCACTTTGTTCTGTGAACCCCCTCAGAAAACAGGCGCCAACCAACAAACACAAGAAACGAACCCGACACAACAACTCAAGAAACCCAACCGAACAAGACACAAGAAATCTGCTTGATCCAACCCAGCCCCGGCGAAGTAGCTGTCTATTCAGCTAAATGGCCCAACTCGGAAACCAACAGACAAGACGCATGCCACGAAGCCGACCCCGGCCTCGACCACGCGGCCTTCCGCGCCGCCGTAGCCGCGATCTTCCGCGGAAGCCTCGTCGTGGTACTCACCTGCAGCGCCCAACACTCCAGCGCTGAAGGCTATGGTGGTAGATGACCGGGGTAAGTCCCCGGTAGACGTGGTAAGCTGGAAGCACCGATGAACAATGCCCAGCGAGTTGTCATAAACAACACCTGAGGAGTTTACAGGGTATGTAAACAATCCCATGGGTGGCCGCAAGTTGGGACTTCCTACCCTCCAATTGCACAAGTAACTGTGGCTCGCCTCAGAGCCCAATACCCAAGGTTTGCTTCCACCAACGCGGTTAAACCAGGGTACCACCTGCTCAAATGCCAAGGAAAATCGACAGAGCCTGCAAACAGAAATCATCACAAGTGAACTCGCCAAATAAGCGCCTCACAAAGTAGACAGATCAACAAAAAATGCAGTTGCATAGCATGGAACGCTTCCCTTCAGCATCAGCATAGAACAAATATTGGTACTTCGAGGACACATATTTTCATCTGAGTGCTGTGCCGCCTGCGAACTCGTCCTCTGGTGGCGGTCCTGGATCTCAGAAGCTTGGGACTTGTTCCGATCACAAGGCGCTTCAAGCGGCGAATCTCTGAGGGGGACTTGGTGCCCTTTGGCCGATGGAAGACACGCCCAATCCGGTGTGGGGATCAAGTCCATGCCACCCGCGCGCTTGCTAACATTTGTGGGGTTTTTGGGAGCAGGAAAAGCTGGTGCCGCGTGCACATGTCATGCCGCAACAAAATATGTTGCGGATGGCTCCGCTTGCCTGAGCATAGAGATTTAATGGACAATCCAACGGAAGCCTTCCTACCCAATTTGAGGGTTCCCCTCAGAGACAGCCCCAAATTGCCCAAAACAAACAACTGTGCTTTCCCCCAGCTCCGTATGGGTCGCCATAGCCCTGGTCGTAGCCGCCATAGCCCTGGTCGTAGCCCCCGTAGCCCTGGTCGTAGCCCCCGTAGCCCTGGTCGTAGCCACCGTAGCCCTGGTCGTAGCCACCACCGTAGCCATGGCCTGTGCAAGGCAGTCCAGCGAGGGCACAAAACCATCTGCGAAAGGGGGTCCGGTTTTGCAATATCTTGAGGTTCAACCCAGAGGCTTACCTCTGAGTTTGAGCCTTGGGGTTGTCAAATGGAACCCCGCATCTCTCTTTCCGACTTCAATTTGCTGAACCGAATAAGGAAACCAAAGGACACCTGAGCCACGTCCTAAAAGTGTCATGATTTGCTATGTCGTATCATTTCTCTTACGCCACTAGCTTTTGCCACCGTACGCGAGTGGAGTTCTTCCTTACGCGACACATGTGGAGGTTTTCCTTACGCCACCAGCTTACGCCACCTTGCGCACGTGGAGCTGTTGCTTACGCACGGGTCGATATGACCTCTTACTAAACATGCGCACGAGGCAAAAAATAAGCACGGTTCTCGAACCTCGGCAAAACTGTTCTGGAAAGCGATTTGGAGGTGATTTGATGTTGTTTGTTTCTTGTGAGTTAGTTGAAATTGCCTCCGCCGTGGCCGCCAGCGTCATAGCCGCCGCCGCCACCGTAACCACCGCCTGCGGGGCTGATTTTGCCCTGAGCTATTGGTGAAACAGAAAGCAAAAGACTCCAGCAGTATCGCAGCTGGTTCAACTTGCACGGAGTTAAACCGCCCCCAAAAGACAAGACTATGAACAAGCAAACTACGCCTAAAAAACTGTAAGTGGCCTTAAACGGGCTGGAGCCCATGTCGGCACTGTCCAATTTGCAGCAACACGCTTACATGACATGGCCAATCAGCGAGATCAATCATCACCCACCGACAAACATACAACCAAACGCTGAATGTATGCCATGCTTGGTAACCGTAATGTATGGGTTGAGTTGTCATCAACATTGCCAAATCACGATCACTCTCCAAAGGGGCCAAACACAGCTCAATGGGTGTCTTGTAGATTGATAAGTGCAGTCAACCTTTGAGACGGAACGTGGTCTGAGCCGCCTGCATCACAGGCCTTCCGCTGAGTTTTGCTTGTCTAACACAGCGCGACGGTGCTAGGTAGCGAGATGGGGCTACACATGGGAGGGTAGCCAAGGGCTGGGAACCCATTTTAGTGGCAGCAGGGGTTTGGCGGGTAAACCGAAATTGCGCAACCCTGGCGAGAGTGTGCCTGGTTCTTGGAACCCGCATGCTGAGACTCACCCATTCTGTTTTGGCTTACCCAATAGTTCACTTAAATACAAACCGATTCTGATATGGGGGCCATTGATCTGCAGCTACCATATCTTATCAACCTGAGAGTCGTCGCTAAGTATGAGAGCTTCAGCTCCTTGCACTGGTGAGCTTGCTCGAGCAGATTGATTTACCATGAGTGGCTCTGCAAGCACACCTTTGAGAAGCTGAAAGTGGGCTGGCAAACTGGGAAGGACAAGCGTACCATGTTTCTTCCCTTGTCACCTTTTTAAGGCTCGGATACAAAGTCAGGTGCGAGAAACTGGCCAAGCGAATCGAGTCTTGTGCAACTTACGGCCCAGACCTTTGGAGGATATCAGGGGTGGTAGTTGATTCTGTGCGAACCCTAGAATAACTGTTTGCTACTTGATTTCAACGTGCAACCCGTCCGAAAAAGAAGAAACAGGACACCGCCGGAGGGGCGCTGAGTTGACCCCAGGCCTGCGTAGGGATCTGAATACCCGCCAGCTCCTGGTCGCCAGCGAAAACCAAAAAATGGGCGCACCGCCCGATTTCGTTTTCTTGTGTGCTCTATCGGGTGAGCCCTAGAATAGGTTCAAACAAATTGGCTCCTTTCGGATGCTACACACATAATTGTCCTGCAAAGGGCGATCGGAACCTGTTTAGAACCTGTCTACTTCAGGGTCCCCTGACTCCAGTTCCCTGAGGTCAAGACAAAAAGACAGTCCCGCTCTGGCAGATAGAAGCTATATCCCACCAACTTTGACAAAGAGAAATCATCCCAAATAATCATAATGAGGTTCTGAGGGACTTTTTAAACCAACTTGCTGCTCATAGGTGTGACCTTCATTAGCTGAAGTTACACCCCCGCTTCCCTACGCATGAATGGAACAGGACACCCAAGAGTGCATCTTGACGAACTAAACTCACCGGCTAACTCAGCCCAATGGAATTTCTTGCCTTGAACTTTACAGGGAAACCTGTTCCCCGAAGAGGCAACATGGGCCGTTTTCAGAGGCTACAATTTGTTGTGTGGTTCTAGAGAAAAACTTAACAAGGGGAAAACCATCATTTTGGAGGGTCCCCCATTGCAAGACATACCCAAATGGCACATTGTGAGGATGCTAAGGATTCCCTTCTCATTGTGGCTCTTTCACATTCGACGTGCGTAGAAGTGATACTTCTCAGTCAGGTGATCCTCTTTGGACTCTGGGTTCTAAATACGGGGTGGAAAAACTGCAACATATCCATCCTCTGTTGGTTCTCTTTAGGAAAATTGACAATCAATGCTGCTGAAGCACCCAGGAGTCTACCCCTTTACTGTGATCGAAACGCTTCAACTTTGACTTAACAGCGACAGTGCCTTTTCCTTGCAGCCTTTGCTCCTCCCGCTTCGCCCCGGGTCGGATTGGATTCCCTCTCACCAATGTGGCCATTAAACAATAAATTTGACAAACAAACCCTTTAAACCGGAATGGAACATGGTCCTCCTTGGACGTGTGAGTGGGTGGCAGGGCAATGTCGACCATGTATATACTCACTAGCAACCAGCTTGCAGGGAGATTTGAGGTCGCCCCTTCTGCACCCCAAACGTACAGCAGACCACCAATGATGTTGTCCTCAAAACAAGGCTTGTTAGAACCCGTGGTGAGGCTTCTATATTCCATAGCATCCCAAGCCACTAAGGGTTACCCGAGTCCCGAGTTCCGGTCGGGGGGAAGCGATTCTCCTGGAGGTGCCTGCGCCGGGCATCGTGAGCCATGCCATGGGTGTTTCTCAAGACTGGGGACCTCCAGCAGTGGTTTCTCAAAATGGGAATTTCTAGGGGTTGATTCCAACCATTCTTTTATTTTAAACCATCGTTCATTCCAAAAACCGGATCCTTTTTTCCATGGGTTTCCGGAGGTTTTCTAGAAAAATGGATCCCTGGAAAGAATGGGGAAGGTACTCCTAGAGATTTGGCCTCAAACAATGGTTGCTGGGTGTCCTTTTGGTTTCTGTTTCAATACCAACCCAAAGGGGGTCCACAATTTTGGAACCTCCATGTGTGCCACGTTTATGTGGGTCCCCTTGCTGCCATGCTTCTCCAGAACCATCAGGTATGTCGCTTTCCCTGGAGCTATCACAGCAAGGGACATCGCCATGGCTCCCTTCATGTGACCCAGGCCCATGTACAGTGGTTGGTTAAATCCCTTCTTCAGGGGTTGATCACCATCCCTGCCAACCCCAAGTAAAACCGGTGCGTCGATCAGTGCACATACAAACACACCGGCCCTTGCCGTCTGAGCGTTTTCTGCGCTACCGAGAAAACATGTTTATTATCCATAGCACAAACATACCACCAGAACGAAAGTACCTGGAAAACCGGATCCTCTAAAAAAGAACCTCCTGTCAGGCTTGGATGCGCCAAATTTGCGGATCTATCCCTGGAAAGAAAAGGAGTAGCAAACAAATGGTCGCAAGTGGAATCTGTTCAAAACCCCCTGTCAGGGAAAATAACCAAAAAGCAAAAGGGATGGTTCCTCGCTGAAGGTTTGCGTTGGGACCATTCCCCAATACATCTGCATATCAAGGGTTTAAAGAAGAGCCCTTCCTTTAGCTTGGGGTTTGAAGGGGGTGCATCCTGTGCTAGGCAGGAGTTCAGCTTGCTTCAAAATCCGCTCTTAAATCCGCCGACATTGTTCGGCGTGTCGGATACCTAAGAGAGGACTATTGGATACCTAAGAGAGGATAGAGGATACCCCCCCCCCTTAGTCCCCCCCCGGGACACGTCAAATACGCATGGTTTTTCGGTCGCCTCCCCCCCCCCCCCTCCCCCGCGTACCGCGCGGCAATTTGATGACGTTCCACTAAACGTAGTCTTCGGGGAGCGGGTCTGGAGAAACGGGGGTCCCAGGCTCGAATCCTCCCGCCGCCTCTTTCTGCCGGCTGAGGTTTTGTGCTGCCTTTTGCGGAAAACTTTGAGACACACGGTGTTCGGTGTTTTTCCTTTGCTGACACCATTGAAAAAAACATTGTGTTTTCCGATTTCCTTGACAATTGGCACCAATTTCCCCCCAATTTCCCCTAATTTCCCCCAATGCTTCCCCGCAAATTGCGCCTTACTTTCTCACCAATTCCCTCCCACTTTCCTTTCAATTTCCATCCGACTTCCCCCCAATTTCCCCCCCAGTTTCCCCCAAATGTCCTGGCAAATTCCCCAACCCCAGCTTCCTTCCAAGTGTCGCCCCCAATGTCCTTCGTGTCGGATACTTGGGCCATGCTAAGCCACGCTTCTCGCAAGCAAGAATGCCGTACAAGGGGCAACCTCAACACCCCTCAGAAATCAGCTTATCCGCGCACCCCGCCAAAATGACATGCAGTGGCCATGACATACCACCCAGCACTAAGGTGCCCTAAACGGCGAGCCTTCCTGTTCGCAATTGTACGCCCTGTTTGGTCGCCACCCTTTCCCAACATTTTACTTGGAGGCATGGTTCGGCGCCCTTTTTGGGAGCACCCTCTTGGTGGCACTCAACACTCCGCCGACATTGCTCGGCGTGTCGGGGAGGATGGGGGAACCAGAGAGGACAGAAGAGCATACTAGGGGGACACGGGCGAGAGGAAGAAGGAGACAAGCTAGATGCCAATGTCGGCGGACTGAGCCGGAGGCTCTAAAGTATTGAGAAATCATGACCACCACCTCCAGGATGCTGGTCCGCAACCTCATATCCTGAAACATGTTTCAGTTGTCACCCATGAGATCATTGCAGGCAAAACTAAGGATCTTTCTCGCCAAGCCCGTCCCGTCCCCCGCCGCAAAGGACGAGAGGAGGCTAGGAAGATGTCCTGTCCAGAAGCACCGCGGAACTTGGATCAACCAAAGTTCGAACCTGAAGCAACCATTTGAAATGCCAAGGTCTCCTGACAAAACCGCTGGCTTGGGAAAGCACCGAATGTAACGATTGTTTCAAATTCCCAGGCAGCATCTCAGCATGTGGCCTCCTTTTCGCAGCGGCCGAGAAAAAGTCCCACTGAACAGGCAACCTTGCGCCCATCCGAAAAGGCTTCGAGACTCGTCTTTTCGGCACCACCTCTAAGTTGGTTGAGGGGAAAACCCAAAAGACATCAATCGTTTTCGGGGATAACACGCGGCCGTTGGCTCGGGCTACCGTAGCTAATCACAAAGCTTGGCCCTTGACAAAGCAACCTTTGGCGACCTTGATGGATCAACATGCAAGGTGGAAAGGTCAGCTTTGGGAAAGTGAGTAGTTCGATAATCCTTGATGTTTGTTCGTACACAAATGAGGATCGAAGCCAAGCCCTCAAATCCATGTTCAATTGGACTCTATGTCATATTTTGGGTCAAGAATAAACATGCAAACAAATAACTCCAGGCAAGGGTCACAAACACAGCCTCCAGATGCATTGCCAGTTGCTCAAATTCAGCAAAACCACCCCTAAGGCAGTGGTAAATGATGGACCCTTGGACTCCCAACAAAGGTGGCACGATGTTCGGCGAAGGTAGTGAATTGGTACAATTTCGAAAACAATGCAACACTAACCACTCAAAACAAGAACAAAGGCCTCGTTTGGTATTGCTTGCTTGGTTTTTCACAACTTATCAGGTTGAGTTGGACCTCTCCAAATGCTTGGTTGCAAGGTGGACTTTTTCTTACCTGGTCAGCGGAGGGTCCCATTTCGCTTTGACCCTCAGCCAGTTTGCGCGGACAAACAGCTTGCCACGCATCCATCGGAGAACGCAACAACGCCAACATGACTTAGGCTGAAGGGATCTGTGCAAGTTCTCTGGCCAAATGGTTCAAGTCCCCAGGGGAGCTTTTTGTGTTGTGAAAAAGACGTCGCTCAATCTCCAAAGCTTCACGTTGGGCGGAATTGCCCGGTGTGCCTCCGTTCTTTGTTGGATGGTCAATGATAGTCATATGCAATGCAGAACGAATCCTCACCTGGACAAAAGAAGGCTCCGCGAGGGCAACAGCCAGAGAGTCACTTCCATTTTGGGAAGCGAGATGCGCCCATCACCCGGTTGACCTTCGTTTCCAAGTTGCAGTCAACTAAGGTCGATGAGGTCCTCACTAGAATCGCTCCTGCACCAGTTCCCCGGTAGAGATATTGGCAACCAGAAATGTGAAACATCAAAAAAAAGGCTTTCATCTTGAGTCGCCTATTCCAGCCCCTTCGCGAGGTGCGACTTCAGAGTTGCTAACACTCAGTTGAGTGGACACAGAACATCCAGACTACAAACATGACTTCCCATGTGTACCAACATAAGACCTAAGATTCTACTCAACACGGCTGTTGAGTCAGCAAGGATCAAAGCATTCCCGCCTTCGAGGCACCGCATCTGGAGTGCAGTAGCAAAGGCTGACAGTTGCTTCTCGGCCGAGTGGAGTCGGTGTGGAAGATCACAGGTTTGATGTTGGCTTCGCGGTAGTCTTTAGTATCTCTTGGGAACGGGGGGCCTGTAGTTACAGGTGTGATATTTTGAGGGGCCTCTTTCCTTACTTGGGAGAACTGTTTGTGTAGCCGTGGAATTGGATTGGTGGTATGTCCCCTAACGATGGTGAGGGCGATATGGAAGAAACTCGTTGAGGAGGTTAAAAGAGTCTGAGTCTTCAATGAAACTTTCCTGCTGATGAAGGTGGACACAAACAAAAAACAACAACAATCCGCAACAGCTCCGGAAACTTGGCAGCGTTGCAGCACTTTAAAGCTCTGAAGGGCTGTGTTCTTTGTGTGACTTGGCGTAGGGCTGTGGTCCGTTGCGTCTGTGTCAAAGGGGCTGACATGCTGGCTCAGATCTCAGGCTTTGAGCTCCGGCCGAAAGGGCAGCAGCGCGAATGCTCTGACGGACGGCACTTTTTGGTTGGGACATGTTGGGCACTCAAAACGCAACTGATCCAGTGCAGCAATGATCTTCCCATCCGATGTTTTTTTTTGGCCTACCCTGAGGTGGGAAAGAGACAAGGGAATCCCCTTCGTGGGCCAATCCTATACATACCAATATATAATTCATTGTAAGATAGCCGAAGGACAACCCTCGACCCAAAGTCAGGGCTGATTGCCTGCATTCATGCTCGCCTGCCTGTTCTGCCTGGCTAAAAACCATTGACGGCACTGCTGCTTTTCTGTGTCGGATCCCTCCAAGCCCTCTGCATATATTTGGCAAGCTTCAAGAGAACAAGCTTTCATCCTACAACCAAGATTTGGGCGGGAGTAGCTTTAAGATGCGCACGGAAAAAAGGGTTCAATTAATTGTCTACCGGAGTCAGCTCCAATGGGTTGCCAGTTTTCCAGTGCGCCACTCTGTTCCAGAGTTTTGTTTAGATGCGCCTTTGGTGAAACCCTCGAGTACAAAAAGAGTACTAAACAGGGGGAAGCAGTGGCAGAATCAAGAGACATTTTCAAGATGTGGCTGTTTCTTGGGTTGGCAAACGTGGGCCGTGTACAAGCTGCCTGACGCCTGCGCTTTTTTTGCGGCAGGGCGATTCACGGCGTGGCCTGGGCGAGGCACAATGCATGACCAAATGAGCCTGTTGCTGGTAAACCACGGTAAAATTCTTTAACACCCTGGTACAATTAACATGGTTATACCCAATCGAACGGCGTTCAAAACGTCCTGCTCAAATCTAGGTCCCGAGTCGTGGGGAAGTCTTACGCCGAGTCGCTGCGGGTAGCCTACGCCATCACCAACGCCACTTGCACTTGCGCAACGCACCTACTTACGCGAGCGGCCACGGGTGCCCTTACGACCGCCCCCCTCAATCGCAAAGTGGAACTGAAGCCTGCTCAATTGACTTTGGGTTACCCCCATGAAAACGGGTACTCAGTCACTGTAGTGCAACCACCTGCTGAAAAGGCCAATGAGGGTTATGGACTCTGCTCAATGAGCCAACCACGCATACAAGGAAGGGAAGTGTTGCTGAAAGATCCCTACCTGGAGGTGTTGTTGCATGAAATATATATATATATATGTTGCTTCTCAGTCAGCCATGTTGAACGTTGAAAGGTTAATACCCACGCACACAAGCAAGCAAGCAGGCAAGCAAGCAAGCAGGCAGGCAGGCAGGCAGGCAGGCAGGCAGGCAGGCAAGCAAGCCAGCAAACACTTGAAAGCAAGCAAGCAAACACTTGCAAGCAAACACTTGCAAGCAAACACTTGCAAGCAAACACTTGCAAGCAAGCAATGGCAAGCAAGCACTTGCAAGCAAGCACTTGCAAGCAAGCAAGCAAGCTTGCAAGCAAACAAACGCAAACACAAACGAATAACAACACAAGCAAGCCAAACAAACTAACCAACCAACCAACAAGCACCAAACAACCAACCAACCAACCAACCAACCAACCAACCAACCAACCAACCAACCAAACAAACAAACAAACAAACAAACAAACAAACAAGCAACACACCAATTAAAGCAACAAACCAAACAAAGAACCAACCAAACAACCAACCAACCAAACAAACAAGCAAAACAAACAAACAAACAAAAACACAAACAACCAAACAAACAAACAAACAAACAAACAAACAATCAAACAAACAATCAAACAAACAAACAAACAAACAAACAAAACAAACAAACAAACACACAAACAAACAAACAAACAAACAAACAAACAAACAAACAAACAAACAAACAAACACACAAACAAACAAAACAAACAAGAAACAAAGCACCCAGACAAGCAAACATGACAAAAGGCACACACATAAACACAAGCAACACCACAAGCACAGGTGCAAACACTCACACACACAGAGAAACACGGAAAGACCAGCACCCACGCACACACGACTACCACCCACGTATTTGCCTGCCCCGCTTCGGGCAACATGCTTCAAATGCGGCGATGTGCAACCCACCTTGCTTTGGGCCAGCTCCGTGTTCAAGTTGGCTGCCTGGAAGGGTTTCCATTGCAAGCCCAAAGCTTGCGTATGGTGCTCAACAGGAAGTACGCCGGAATGTCCCCGTCCAACCATGGGATCCGTACTTGAATGAACATGGTGGGAGTTCATCAACCCTAGTCCTTGCCGAGAATTAGGGTCGCACCGCCGAATACCAGTAAACAGCAATATTTTTGACAATTTGCCAGTCACTAAAATTGTCCTCCACAAAAGAGTGTCCAGTAATCAGAGGAGGACGACCGAACAGGAACAACTGCAAACCAGCAACTGCAACACCGATCATCGCCATGCTGTGGTTGATCCCCTAGAGACGGCAACTAGTCCACAGTAAATACCTACTCACAGTCTGCAACAAAGTCTGAACTGTTTGTTTGCCACCAAAATTGTGTTCTCATGATCAAGAAGTATAAACTCCAGCAACTCAGGGAGTGAGAAGATTTTGGGCCACTGGAGACTTCCATTCCCTGCTTGTTTGCTGCTGGAAGGGGAACCAACTTGTTCAACTCATGGCGTGCGCCTTCAATTCCTGGAAACGCCCGAATCATTGTATTCAAACCAATCAGGCTAAGCGAGATACTGCAGATTGCAGAGTCTACCTTGACCAGACATGTGGGTGTGTCTTTGTTTTGAGGGTACCGTTTTTTGGCGTTGGCTCGTGTCTGTTGAGACACACCCATATTCTTGTCAGCTTCGGCGGAAAACGTGAATGGACGACCGGATCAGTGGCGGTGGGAACAACTCTTTGTTTGGTAGCTGATTTGGTAGTTGATTGTAACGAGAGCCACCGCTGAACAAAAGGAGAAAAGGAAGCAACTGGCTGGAAGTCTGGGACATACAAAAACGCTGCAGTTCTGCTTGCCCTCGCAAAGTCTCCAGCACGCAGACCCAATGCTCAAATCTTGAGACCCAATTTCAATGGCAGAACTACGCTTCTGTTCATTCAGCAACAGTTGGCCCATAAAACATGTATATATATATATACACATCCGTATTATATATATCACATATATATATATATACACGTGTATATATACACACATAACTATTGTACACAAATAACCACATACACATTGTGCATACATTCCGCACATGATTACATACACATGCAAAGTACACTGCCTTTGTGAAATCATGCAGTGGGTATACACGCGTACGCAAAGTTGGGCCAATGAACCATGAGCTGGGTGACCCTGGGTTCTAACATCCCAATGTTAGAACCCGTCCCCTCAGAGACTTCCCGCCGAACCATCCGCCTCCTCAGCCAAGAACTTCACTTCGCGTGACATCTTGCGCTCCAACTCCTCCACTTGCTCCTGAAGACAAGTAACTCAAGGGTATTTCCAGGTATGGATGTTGACGGTATGGAGGTTAATACCTCTTATACAGGGGCATATGGCGCACTTGCAAGCTCACAGTGGTATGCAAGCCTCCTTGTATGGCATCCTTACCTCGGCAACCCATACCTCAACATGCCATTGATTAAACGGACGGAAGTCGCTGGTTGATTCAAATGGGGCGCATTCCACAATGGCAGGCGACCCACACCTCTGTCCGCGCCGAGCCGCGGTCCCACCGATGTGCTCTTTCACAAACAGCTGAATTGCGCTAAAAAACAATTGCACCCAGTTTGTCAGCTGAGTCCCACTTCTCAGATCAGGGGACCCCAAAATGGATTGGTTTCCTTTTGGATTCCCTTACATATCCCCCCGTGTTTTTTTGAGAACCTCTTCACGTCGATGGCATGCCGACTTCACGCGGTCTCCAGCATCTGCCGCTCGCCCTCCGAGGGCAGCTTCGGCCGGCGCAGGGCGGAGCACTCGGCCTATCGAAGGGCCGAGATGCGGATAGGTGTAGGGGTTCTCTTCGCCCGGCAAAGGCGCAGGATGAAATGGACCTTCCTTCGTATTCGTGTGGGCTTTGTCCGAAGGGAAAACTGGGATCCCATGTTGGTTGGTTGGTGAATTCACCACCCATTTTAGAGCCTATTTTAGTGGTTGGATTGGGATGTTCACTGGGGGTACGATTTGGGTTTTGACCCATGGCCATATCGGTCAAAAGAAGTGGTTGGCTTCGGTCAACAGGCAGGGAAGAAAGCAGGGAGCCGGTTTGCCTTCGTGTACACAAACATAACCCCCACCAACACCCCGAGCCCCCCCACCCAGCACCGGAAACGGTTGCAGGAAGGAGCAGGGCCCTCCTGGGGTGGGAGCCTGTTTGCCTTCGGGAAGCCCCCCACCCCCCCGAAACCATGTGTTGCAGCCCAAGCAACTCTTAACCAATCGATACCCAAATATATGTATATATATATATATGTATATATATATATATCCAACCAGTAAAAACGCTGCATAAGAAAAGATCTTGCCGGAGAAACAACACAACACTACTCTACTGCAGACTCACTTCCAGAATTCGTTGGCCAACGAAAAGTCCGGATTTGTTGTTTGCCGCCAAAAAGTCTTCCCGGAAAGAGGCGAAAGTCCACGAGCGGGAGTGAGCAAACAAGTATGGCCCCCAAACAGTCGTGTTTGGAGATTAACATCTCCTGTTGGGAAGAGGACCCACATTGGAGGTTCCACGATTTTGCAGGGCTGTACAATGACTGGGGGATACAATGGCACGAAAAAGGAGTTCAACGTAGGTTCTGCCTCATATCAAGCTTGAAGCATATAGCAAACAAGACCCCAGAGAAGACGCTCATCCTCATCCCCACCTCCCGTTGCCAGTGCATCTGCCGCTGCTGCGCTAAAAGAGCCTGGCAAATTCGTCAAAGGTGGACTGAAGATGCGGAACCAGTTCAGTTTCGAGCTGGACGTATAACTAAATAGCAGGGGCACTAGATTAGCTAGTTGGGGATACATAGTGCGTGAGTAAACCCAATTGCGTAGAAGTGTTGGCTGGAGAAACAACATGCGTCGGTGTACTCCCCCGCCCGATTTCTTGGGGGCCGCGGATGCCAACCCCTTGATACCAACGGACACTGGCAAGTGGGTTGTGACTGCAAGCAGCTGCTCACTAGTGCCAAATGCGATGTTTGCAAATGCTCTGTCTCCGCACCAATCTCGATGTGCAAACCCATTATGGGATTTGGAATATGTAAACACAAAGCGACTATTTTCAGCAGCCTGTCGAGACGTATTCTTGGCTACATGACTATGCTGACCTCCTCAGTTCACTGGCAAAACAACACTTTGCCGGCAAAAAGCTAAAATTTGTCCAAACAACAAGGACGTACTCACACAAGCCACATGTGCACACCCTCCAGTCAAACCAGCTGCAACAAGGATGCTTGCAACTCACAAAGGGTTGCGAACAGAAGAACACGACAGCCCTGGTGAACCCTGATAATATGTTCTTTTGAATTAGTCAGGGCGGCTTTGTAACCTGGCTTTGGTTTTGCTTTGCTCAGGAAATTTCCCTGATTGGCCAAATCGAAACGCCGCTCTCTGTCCGACAAGGCGAACATGCCTCCAGCGTCCAGTCAACTTCCGTTGCCACCCCCACGGGTTGTCACCCAAACTTGTTGCAATGTAAGCTTGATTTCACACCATGGTACTGGCACTTCCGCATTGGACTGGCCGGAAAACATCCAAATGCTTGCTGGCCGTCCAACTAGTCTTCGCAAAAGAATCAAATCAAGGAACTCAGGAGCCCTTTTCTGCATTGACCATGAGCATGGAAACACTGCATGCCAGGATGTTGAGTTCTGGGGAGTATGTTTGTGTGTGCGTGTGCGGTGTTGCCTGCTCTTTGTGCTGTGTTGCATATGCACCATGCTACAACATGGATTGTTGCGGTGATGTATACATACATATATATGTGTTTTAGTTTGGTGGCTTCCGCAATGAAAATTAGCACTGCTGTTCAACCACTCATGGCTGTTTTGGGAACAGAGAGCCCCTAAAGAATGGTTGCATTCCTTTCCGCTTTGCTTGGAACGCCATCCAACACGTTCCCTTGACAAAACACGCAAACAAAATCCATCAAACAAACAGACAGCAAACACACGTCATAACAAAACAACACCGACACAACACGGCACGACACGCCACATCGTGACAACAAACAATATAACACACCAACCACCCCCCCCACCGCGGATAAACACACAACACAAAATAAACAACAAAACACAAGACACACGGCAAGACAACCACCAGCACACTCAGCAAGCCGTTCTTTTTGGGCAGCCCTTGACACCAAACCCCCGACCAGATCCGTCCTGGAGCTTTGCCTGACTCCGTGCAGCCTCGCGAGCGAAATGGCGCCAAGCTGGCGCCAAGTTGACTCCCTGAGACTGGCGCTTGGCCAAGTCTGACCTTTTGGTCTCAGGATTGCCAGAAAAGCGTGACTCACAGAATAGGCTCTGCTTGGTTTGGGAGGGTGCCCGCGTTTGGGTTGGCTTACATGGAAACCAAGTGGAAAACAGCCATGTTGGGCGTCCCCCCTATTCTGACAAGTACCAATATATGGACCTACACTGGCTGGTTTCAACCAACACCAAGCCACGATCAATGCCAATGGACTATTGAACTAGGGATTCATACTATTGATTCATACCAGGAAATCATATAGGTTCCACTCAGCCGTTGATGGGTTCGCAGGCTTAAGTCCGCGCGGCAAACTTGCAGCACTCCCCGGCTTCCCAACTTGACGAGGGGCCCAAGGCACCAGGAAGCGGAGTGTTTCATGACTCATGACTAAGGACTCCTCACTTCCGATCCCAGGCCAAAGGAAAGTCCAGGAACTTAGGACGGGAGAGTCCTAGTTGTGCAGTTCCCGGCAGTTCCATGCGTCCGAAGCCCCGATACGGCTAGAGGAAACTAGGGAGTGATGCGCTCTGAAGAGCCACATGCTTCCCGTCAGACTATCGAAAGGAAAACCGAGCTCTGAACAAGGGGGGCTCATCTTTTCATTCATCGGCATATCTCCGTGCAGAATAGGGTTTGAGAAGCCTGTGGTCAAGGCATGTGTTCTAAAATAGGGGGCTACTTGGCACCCAACTGTCACACTATCTGCCATGGGAACTCTTTTGTTTGCGGGTTTTCCATCAAAACTGGAGTCCCCTTTTGAAAAAGCGGAAGCGTCAGAAAGTTCATTTCCTCGTTGTAAGAAATGTAGTATTGAACCCCTACAAGATGCTAAAATTGACACAACAGCATGAGGCAACAGGACCACCCTGTAGCCCCCAATAAAAGCATGCGGGGGATTAATGGGATCCACTCCATAGCAACTATATGAAGCCATACCCCGCTTTGCTCCGGGACCAGATGGTGGAGTCCCAAATCCATCGGGAGCCCGGCCTCCTGCCCGCGCCGCGTCTCATCCGCCAGCCTCTCGCGAGCCTAGCAGAGTTCAAGACATGGGCCCCTCAACTGGGTTTCTTTCTTTCTTGGACCTCAAAAAAGTGGACCTCAAAAAGTTTGTTATTCTTCTTCTTTCAAGTTCGTTTCTTTCTTTGCACCTCAAAACGTGGCAATGCTGATGGACACCACCACCAAAGCAAAGCAAAGGAGCGGTTCGAACCAGCTGGTCTGGCCACAGCACAGTTGGGAAGTAGTTGCGCAGTTTCCAAATTCTGCTTGAGTCAGTCATCCTAAACCCCGCCCACAGAAGAAACATTTGCCACCTGCTTTCACTCTGGTGTAACGTTCTTCTACAGATGGATCCCCATTCTTCTTCCCCATGACTCAAAGCTTCATGGCTGACATGCGCCATGGTCAAACTCCGAGTGTTGGCTATGGTGTCCTTAGGAACCCGTACGGCGTACAGCGGTTGTACAAAAAACATCCCAGCAAACAGAAAACGGGGTTGAATCCCTAAAAAAAAAAACATCTAGCAACATCAAAGCCATCTCTCATCACAAGCAAGGCGTCGAGTCAATCAGGCCATGTTGAGGAATTGCTATCCCATAAACACCCAACTGGGCTTCCCTTCATTTTCTCCTTATATACAGCCCAAAAGCGGATATCCCCATGTACCTGGGGTGCTAAACAGAAGGTCTGGAAAATAACAAAATATCCCGTTTGGTTGCCCTTTGCGCAACTGTACAATTAATATGATGGGCAATTGATCGCACGCGAGTACCTTCCGAAAGCACACAAACTGGGTGTGTCTCAACATGGGGGGAACACACAAAGTGAGTGGTCTGTCATTTCCCCTTTCAAACAACCTCAAACCGGGGGTAATATGCGTGTGGGTCCGAATTAGGTACCCAAATGGCTTGCCCTGGTAACTGGAAACATGGACTGAAACCTTGCGGTCCAATTCCCGGTGCTTTAATTTTGACCCATACCCATACACCTCACAAAGCCGACAAAGACCCAAATGGCCGCGGGTTCCTTAAGATGTTCCAACCCCCCAGCACCTGGTCCAGCTTCCGCTGCGTTGAGGCCACCTGCCGGTTTTCAGGAATAAAACTGGTGGTTTCCTTTCAGGGAGCCCCAAACCGGGCCAGTCCAACTGGTTTCCTTCAAGGTCACCAGCCCAGGCCAGGGATTGAAGTGGCCAATAAATACCAAGACGCCAGGGTTGCATGAGGGCTGGAAAAAGAGTTGGGCTTCCTTGGGAAGGAAAACGAGCTAACCTAACAAAGAGGCTATGTAGCTTTTTGTTTTTGTTGGCATCCACTAAACCAGCAGAACCAATTCACTTCTGATCGCATTGGGGAGGCAATCGAACCAGCAATGAAACCTTTCGGGAAGCTGGGAAAAGGCAATGCTCGACCAATTGATATGGCCTGCTTGTCTTGTTCGGGAATCATTTGCAACACTTCTGGCTATTGGAAGTAGCTTGCAGGGCTTGAGCTCTCTTTCCAGGCTCTAACAGATGGGTTCCTTGCGGATGCGACACACATGACTGTCCTGCAAGGTGCAAGCGTTCAAACCCGTTCAGAACCCGTTTAGCCTTCCCTGACCGTTGTCATGTGATGTTCTTGAATTTATACAATAGACCACTGCCCTGCGACTGCGCTCCCTTGGAAACCTGAGGCATGAAGCTGAAACAGAGGCCTTTTTCTCAGGCGCTTGGTTGCCCGCAAACAACAATAAACAACGCGACACAAACTCAGCAGCGCGTCCGGAGCTTTGTGCAATGCATCGGCCGGAGGCGCAGGAAGAAGCAAAAGAAGCGTATAGACGTGTTCACGTCTCTAAAGTTTTTTTTTTAAGAAAAGAAGAAGAAAAAAAACATAAACAAAAACAACAACACAAACAACAACAAAAAACATGGCCCTCCTGCAATAACTCACCGACCTGCAATAAGACATAGATTCCAGGCACGGAAGCAAGGGCCAAGTTGCAAACCCGGTGGCCATAATTCGCCTTGATTCAAGCAACAAACGACGTGGGGTGGTCGAGCAAACACAAATATGGGTGTAAAAAAGAGGCGCTGCGTAAACTTTGGCTTTTAAATACCTAACGGCTGGTTGATTCCTTTTGGGAAAACACTGTAACACACACATATATATATATATATGTATAAATATATATATATATATATTCCTTTAAAATTCAGGGACCTCGCCAGCAGGTCGTCAGATAAGGGTTCCGGCCTTTCTCCCAAGCAAAGAGTTCAGGCAAACGCTTGTGAAAAAAAGGAACTGTTTTCTCGGTTTACACAAAAAGCAGCAACACAACCCCAACAAAGCTTCCACAAATAACAACATAACCATATGTAGGGAAGCATCCGCAGTTTCAAGAATCATTTCAGGGATGTGATCCCACAGCATGGATCCATAATCATAACGTCATTGCAAGGGCGCAGTTGGCACCCCTCTTACAAAGAGTAGAAATGCCAAATGTTCCTTTGGCTGCTGATCCCGTCCCAGAAGTGGTCTTCAGCGGCAACCTTTGCCTGTCAGGACTATTTCGGGGTTGGGGATGGTTTTCCAGTTGCACTACACAAGAACCAGGGTTCAAATTCCCAAGCCACCAATTCGGGGCTAATTACCTGAACTAAGGTCCTCCGCGACCAAAACCGAGCTTGAACCCAACAAAAAAAGCCCCCAGCCTCTGCTCGCAAGGAGTCGGCCTGGGCAGCAACAGCAGCAGCGCCCATCATTGCCTGGCCGAGAACAACAAAAAAAACCGTTCGAACCTCGAACCCAAGCGTTGGACCTTTAAAAACAACAACAACAAAACTGGGCTGCCCTCAGATCCCCCGCTAACAGTTTAACTTTTAATAAATTAAATGAAAACTACTCCTTGATGTCTAAACCAGTCAGCTCCGGAGTTCTGTCTTGCAGGGGAACCCAACATTATTTCTAAAATCAAGGGTTTGCAGTAGGGGTCTCCAGGCAACCCAGCGCTACAGTCGCCCATCTTGCTTGAAGCCACCCTTTTTTGCAGCTTTGTCTTTTGTCACCACGAAAAACCACTGGGGTTCCGTCCCTCAATCTACAATTCTTGTTTGACGGGGCACATGTTTCCAGTGTCCCAAAAAAAGGACCCATGTTGGACAACCTCCATACCCACACCCCTTGATCAAGAAACATCAGTGGACTTCCCTGATCTTCCCAGGAATTTCATTATGGAAATACAACAACCTCTGCTTAAATTGCAGGTGTATGTTCAACATTCGTTCCAGACTTCTCCCACGCATTCATCGACAAAAATCGGCTGTAAGCCTGGACCCTGGGATCTAAGCGTGGCAGTCACCAACGTGTGACCGCTCCCGCTCAATGGAACAATACGCATGGGACAAACGAAAAGAGTGTGTTTCAGGATTCCTGATACTCCAGGGGTAGCTTCCTCATTCTTTCTTGGGATGCTTCTTTTCAGAAAACCACAGCGAAGCAGCTGGTTTTTGAAGAGCACGATGATTGAACAGAATGGGGAATCATCCGCTAGAAACACATCGCACAACGATCAATGGTTCTTGCTCTTTTGGTTGCTCGGATAAAGAAACATAACTCCTGAAATGAAAAGTCTATCTTGCCCATTTGGATTGGGCTACCCTCACAAGAAGCCAAAACTGGCTCCCTCAACAACTGAGATCAACCTTAGACCCCAGAAAAATGCGGGGGAGGGGGGGGGTGCGAAAGGGGGTTCCCTGCGGTTCCTTTCAACTTAACCCAAAAAGGCCAGTCTCAAAACAACAGGCTATTTTGTGTGGGCCCGGAACCTGCCGGAAGCTTGGAGCTCGGGGCTCGCTTTGCCTCGTTGATGGCCGTCTGCTGGGATCCAGCCACCCAGCGTAGGCGGGACCTCAGCTCGAGCTCTGATTGCGACCAAACCGAGCGTCGCGAGTAGCTAGTCTCATGGTGACTCATGGTTCCCCCATAACTTGACCCGACCTCATATCAGTCACAATCAAAGCGAGCGACTCAAACATAATCTACCCAAACCCATCAAGAGTTTTTGCATGCGCGTACCCAAAACCTGCACGTAACCAAAACTGCGGGCGTGCTTATGCGCGGGACCCTCCCTTGAGCTTCCTTTGCCCAGACATTCACCCAAGGCTTCCAAAAGGGTTCAGCCCGGACCAAAAGGGTGTCACTAAAGGCTCCGCCCCAAGCAGCTCACTCACTGGGTCGAATGGCCAACAAAGGTCCAAGCTTTGGGTTGGCCCCGAAAACGGTCTTCCAGAAATGTAAAAAGTCGAGCAACTCAATGACTGCAACACAGCAAGACTACGGTTTTCAGATTTTGTGTCATATTCGTCAACCTTACAAGACAAACACGTGTCAGAGAAAACCCCAGCGTCCTCAAAATGGGTTGTTGCGCTTCAAACCCTTCCAACGGAGATCACTTGCACCCATTGGAGGGCCACATGATGCGACGGGGGTTGATCAAAAGGTCCTTTACATGGGGCGACCATTCGGAAAACCACAAAAAAAATGCTGTCCACCTGGGAAACAAAGTTGCCCATGTCCAACCCGCAAATGTTTGAGCAAACCTCAGAGACATCTGACTTGAGCCTGGGCCCAGGCTGGTCCGCTTTGCGCTGCTCCTGCGCGAATTCCTGCAGTTTGGCGGCTGTGGGGGGACAACTCGGCTGAACATTGGCAACTCCCAGCAAAACTTCCGTGGGCGCGTGTTATTTAAGGGTGTATACCCTTTTTGAGGTTGCCCTGTTTTGACACATACCCACATAGACATAAGCCCTCAGTATTGCCATGGAATTTGTTAAACCGCGGCAAGACTACCCGTTTGTAAAATAGTTTCTGTTGGAGGCGCCTCTTTTTGGCACTTCGCAAAGGAGCACGTGGCAAACACCTGAGAATTGCCCACCCAAACATGTCGTTTTCACGGCGAGTGGCTTGCTTTTGAGCCCAATCCCCCACCCCCACAAATTGGCACATGGTGCGTTGGCAAACAGGCCAGGGCCTGCAGCACAAAAAGCAGCGCGTTCGAACATTTAAAAAACAAAAACAACCTCCCTTTCACTTCAAAACTGTATGACCATAGAATTCACTATATCAAGCGCATTGTTTAAACCACCTTTGCGGGTACTGCAAGGAAACCAGGGTCTGAGTTGGATTGCAGGCATGGCACTGCCCAGCTCTGGCGTGGCCCCATCTGATATCTGGACAGAAAGATGCCTGTTGCGCAAATCCGCGTTGGGCGACCCCGATGGGATAGAACACATGACATGGGTTCCCTTCGGATGCTCACACATTGTGCAAGGTGGTTACCCAAAAGAAAGGGATCATTCGTCCTGGCCCCATTCTTGACTCGGGTCATGAAGGGTTCAGGAACCACGCGTCGCTCCTGCATCTCTAGGCACTGAGTCACCTCGTGCATTCGTGTACGCAAGACCTTAGCTCGACGAATCGCATGGAGCATTGGGAAAATGATATGCCACATCTTTGGGGGGAGGCCAAAAATGGGTGGCCTCCCTTTGGCGTCCCTTTGAAGCAACTCAAAAGGGTACCTAACAAAAGCGCACACAGCTGGTTGCGCGTGTTGGACATCATTGACCCTTTCTAGGATTTTTAGCCCCATCCTGCAACAGCTACTTTATTCCCTTGGCCTCTCAAAAAGTGGCGACCTACAACCAACAATAGTTCAAACGTCAAACACTATTCACCACCAACTCATAAAAACAAAAAATGCGGTGCGGCGCACGCCCCTTTCCCAAGAGGAAAGTCTTCTTCCAACAGGGACCTGTGCATTGCATGTGAGCGTAGGTTTCTTTTCTAGTGTGCGAAACACGTGATACGGGAAACAATCGAAATAGTAAGGCAACACAAGTTTTGCAGAACAACCAACTAAGGAGGCCACCCGCAATTTTGGGCACATCAAGAGCCTGCGTGCGTTTGCAAGAACCCCAGCGATGTTGCTGTTGGCCCTTCTTTTCCTGGTTGACCAATAGACCAACAAGGAAGTGCGAATCGTCACTCTGGTTGGTGGGTACCATCACAAACAAACTGAGCACATCGTCGCCATCTTCATCATCTTTATCATCATCATCAGCATCATCATTGTCACCACCACCAACACTACAACCGTCCTCACCATCACCACCACCACCACCACCACCACCACCACCACCACCACCACCACCACCACCACCACCACCACCACCACCACCATCCTCATAATCATCCCTGAATGCAGCCCGCAAATAATGCAATCCTGTACAGGCCACGGCATTGGCTGATCTTTTGACAGAGAGGGAAGCTGCGAAATGGTCAACTGGAGCCCGGCCTTAACCGCGCCACACACATATAAACACATAAACGCCAAGCGGGACAAGCAAAACGCGTGCAAGCCATCGCACCATGCGAAACCACACACACAAACCATCGGCAACAATGCAAGCCAAACGGAATTCGTCTTGATGTAAAGGCGCACGTAGACCCTTAAGATAACTTCCAGTGTGTAAGAGGTAGTAGAATCCCTCTGGAGAATTTGGGTTTCCGGCACTGATCCCTGGGCGTTGGAGCGAAGCTCCCTGTTTGGGCCAAACTTTGCCCTGCAACAGTGCAATGCGCTTCGGCTGGAATAAACTCAAGCTCACTTCCTGACTGAATGGACAGGTCAAGAAAAGTCACTAAATGATCTTCCCAACAGCTTAAAGTCCAACAGCTGAGAAGAAACCCAAAGGGAAAAACGGCAAAACGGGAAGTGAAGCCCAATATAGGTGGGCGCGTCTTTCTTGGGGTCGTTTTATTTTAAGAGAAAAACAACCCATATATTTTGGTTTGGGGAGGGAGTCCCATCCCTTGAGAGGCACCCATATCCAGTTGGGCCGCCCGGCCGCAAGCTCAGAGTCGCTCTTATGAAAGCTGCCCCTTGTCGTCTCCTGGTCTCGAGAAGCTTTGCCGGAGTCTCTATGACCAGTGTTTTTAGGCATGAGGGGCCACTGCTCGAAAGAAAGGGATCATTAGTCATGGCCCCATTCTTGAAGGGTCATGAGACTCCAGGTTCATACCAAACGGTGGCGCACCAAACAAAAAAACACATGGCTGTTTTGAGCATCAAAAAGGCCCTCTTGAGGTGGGTGAACTATGCTGACTCGCAGTCTTGTCTTAGATGGTTTCCACTACCCCAAAATGACTTCTCCCAAGCACAAACACTATACTAGAATATATATATATATATATACCCTGGTTTGGGGTTCGTGCATGCCAGCTTAAAGTAAGGTCGCACCCCCTTTGTAAGGTCGCTATGAGTTGTCCAGAAGCTGGGAACGACTTACACACCTTGTAATTCTCCAAGGCAGTGCCAGCATTTGTGGTTGGATGTTGCTTGCTTACAATTTTCCGTAAGCAAATGTAGCAACCTATTGACAGGAGCTTCAGCTATGCAAGTTCGCCGAGAACATCCCAGGCCCAGCTTCCCCTGCCTGCCGTTTACCTCCCCCTTTCCCGTGCCCGGATCCCGGGAGCTCATTCTCCTTCGCCCAGCGCTATGCGATGCGAATCATTTTGCCGCAGGCCATGGTGCATGGGTTGACGTCTTTGGAGAACATGTTGCACCCTGCCTTGCTTTCAGCTTCAAAGGCGCCATCATCCGGAAATCACACGTGTCAGAAACTAGAAACTCGTTTTGGGATGGCCTAGCAAGGAATTCTGCTCCGCGTCCAAAGTAGGAACCCCGTTTGGGTACCGTTGGGATGGCCTTTAAAAAAAGAACATTGGTACAGTCTTAAATTCCCATCTCTTGTGGGCCCTTCACAAGCAACACAACACACAACGGAGCAAAACAGCTACAACACATGCAAGGAACAACGAAGAGACGGCGTTATCTTGCAGTAACACTACGTGTCACAAAGAGAGTGCCAACAGGTTGAACAGTGCGACTGTGTTGCTGGTTCATGCGATGGAATCTGACTGCTCTCTACGTGCACAAGCGGGGGAACATCTATCTGTTCCCCACCAGCCTAAGCAAACCATTCAAGGCAACGCGATCCCACAACCCTCGCCCTCCGTGTCCTCCCAACAAATTATAACTTTGTCAGTTGCTCACACCCAAAACCCTGACCAGAAAGCTGTGTGAAATACGAACTCCCGGCAAACCGAACCATTAACTACCCATCCCCCTTCAGCTTTCCAATTGGGTCCTACGGTTTCCATTCAGCACCCCAACCAAAACCACGGAAACAACAAAACAACAAAACACCCCAACCACAAAGAAAAAGCAAACAAAACACCCCAAACACACGAGGACCACGGCCCCAGCGTCGGAACCGGCCGCGGTGCCGCCGTCCTCGTTCTGCTCGAGGCCTTGGAGCGAGCCTTGCAGCTCCTGGATCTCCATGTAGGAAGACTCCACCTCTCGAGACCATTTGCCCTGGTTCTCGGCTCCGTTTTTTGGTTGTTTTTGGAATTACATATTTTGAAATCACGCCTGGAGGTGGCTTTTTTTGTTGAAACCCCGGGTCCCTAGCTTTTCCAATGGTTTACCTGGAGACCATTGAATGACCCCCAATTGAAAAACACTTCCTGACTGGATTGGCCCAAAATGACGGCCGGAGTTGTTTCTCTTTTCCACTTCAATGGTCCAAACCTCAAAAGTGACTAAAGTCCAGGAACTGGGGAAGTGGCATGCGTTTTGCAACGGACTTGAGAAGGGGATTTTAGATAAGACCCCTGGAAAAAAACACATATCTCCAGCAGTATGTCCTTTTAAAACCAACAAGGGGAAGCATATTCTGAAATGCAAGTAGTGCATTTGAGTCTCAAACCGGCAAAAGGGCAAGCAACTTGGTAACGCTTGACAAGGAAGAGCTTGTCACCAACCCCTGAAGAATTTCCGTGAATCCCCTTTGTCCTCCTTAAGGCCTCAGTAAGGTTTGCGGCTGTTGTATTTGCAAGATGCACCATATACATGTATCGTACGGACGTGTTTGTGTATGTGTAACGTATGTACGTATGTACGTATGTACGTATGTACGTGTGTACGTATGTACATTTGTACATAAGTACGTATGTACCTATGCATGCATGCATGTATGTATATTATATGCACACCTAGTTCTGCATTCACATACATTTATTGTCAGGCCCCTATGATCCATCAGACTTGTTCATTCCCGCGCATGTATATATATATTTATATATATATATATATTGAAATGAGCAGTGCAACCTGAGAAGGTTGTGTAAGGGATACATGTTTCATTGGCACAGCGCCACTTTGGGACATACCTGCCACTTCAGCGACAAACAAACAAACAAACAAACAAACAAACAAACAAACAAACAAACAAAAACACAAACAAAAACACAAACAAAACACAAACACACAAACAAACAAACACAACCCACCCACCCACCCACCCACCCACCCACCCACCCACCCACCCACCCACCCACCCACCCACCCACCCACCCACCCACCCACCCACCCACCCACCCACCCACCCACCCACCCACCCACCCACCCACCCACCCACCAACCAACCAACCAACCAACCAACCAACCAACCAACCAACCAACCAACCAACCAACCAACCAACCAACCACACACACAAACACAAACACAAACACAAACACAACCACAACCACAACCACAACCACAACGACAAACAAACACACACAATGGTAGGTGAAAGGTTAGCATAAGGCGACATCAGGCAACGTAAGGGAAGCTAGGGCAACATAAGGAAATAAAGTAAGACCATGCAGCATGAGTCTTTATCAACCCAAATGAGCGGCCATTGTTTTCCAGATGGGAGACTACCTAAAACTGATAATAGGGGGATGGGTCAAAATTAAACCACCAGAGGACCGCAGGTTGAAGTCCATGTTTCCATTTGCCAGGGTTCCATTTTGGGTACCCATTTTTGACCCACAGCCATATCCTGGAAATAGAAAGCGGGCGCCTGCTGCGCCAGCTCCTCCACCGCCGCCTCGTTGCGCAAACGCTGCTGCGCCACCTCGCGGGGATCGCCCAGAATGGCGCTGGGAGGTCCCTGGCTCGGGGGTTTTCGCATTGGGTGCCCCACCCCTCAGCTAGGGGGGGGTGAGGGGGGGGGGGACCAATTCCATTTTTCCGGGGTTTCGGGGGCTCCCAACAGCTGACATTGGTTTGCCAGGGGTTTGGTCAACTTATTTCTGACCCCTGAACAAAGGCCGGTTGTTGGAAGGCATAGATCATCTTCCGCTGGCCCTTTACGGGAAACCTTCTTGGATGGCAGCCCCTTCCTGGTTTCGGGGCAGGTTGGACCACCTTCCTTCAGGTGACCCTGTTGGTGAGAGGGTAACCTCTTTAGGTTGGCTTTGCAGGGAAACCACAAGGGCACCAAAACCCAAACACAAGACTTCGCCTCCGCGGGAAAGCACAACCCGAAGAAAGGCCATCACACTGGAAGACTGAGAGGTAAGGCCAAGCGCTTCGTGAGGTGGCTACTTTCTAACTTGCCCAGAATGGTAGCCCCGGATGCTTTTGAACCTGGCATAGGGGCAGATTCCTGTGGTGAAGTCATCCCTGCCCTTCCACAGGCCCGAGGCTTTTCTCTCCGAAAACCCCCTTGACTGATCGGTTCTTTGAGGCCCGCAGGAAAAGCGATGGATCTCTCGGCCTCTTGGCAAGCTTTCCGCAGTTCTTCGCACTGGAACTCCTTCCCGCGCAGCTCCTGAGCCATGCACATTACTTGGTTGCTGTTGACCCCCCTGCAAAAAGTTTAACTTTTTGGGGGTTTAGTGGAAAACCCCTTGATTTCCAAAAAAGTTAAAGTCTAAAGATCCAACCCAATAGCAAGCAAGATTACAGCCGAATACCGAGGGGGCTATATGATGCTTCCGAAATTTGACAAGAGAGAACGGGACACGCCCTTAATGGTTGCTGCCATGTCGCTCCTACTTTGGAACTGCCACCAAAAAAGTCCAGGGTGTTCGTAAAGAAACTAAATCTTGGCTCCGCTCCCTTGGTAGGTGGCATCTACTTACACGAGTGTGCAGCGGACGGATGTCGACATTCTGACAAGAACATGACCCCTGAAACGGAGCGAAGGCACTACAGTGTTCCATTTGTTTCATGGCCGGGAAGTACTCACGAACACAAATAAGTGTGATGGCGCAGAATTGATGTTGTCCCCCCACCTGCTAACATGGAACTTGACAGCAGGTCCCATGCTTGGACCAATTTGCTCTTAAAGTTGCTTCCGGTGGGCTTCATGTGGATGAAAGGGTATCGCATTCAAGAGCAGCTGAAGCAAAACATGTCACTTGACTGAAGGCTCATGCAATCTGAAACATACAGTACTCCCAGTTGCAAGTAGTGACCCGAAGCTTGGAACAACGGAACCAGTTCTAGAGAAGTACCTCGGGCGTCCATAATATTGACATCTCATCGCAGCCAGGGTTCGGACAGCCTCCTGTTTACATAAGGCACTCGTTTCTGAACAATCTGCCATGGGGTTCCCGTTACATGGGGCCAGGCTCTGGTTGTGCAAACACATGCTCCCCGACCCCCAGCGCCCTGTGGTTATGGCGGGCAACGTTCAACAAAGCACGTCCAGTCGCCGCGTGCATCCCTCCTGCATCATTGGCAGCTTCTGCGCTTCGTGTTCCTGGACCAACCAAAATCAAGCCACCAAGAAACAGGCAGCCATTTGAGCATTGTTCTAAATCATTGTGCGGGCCAGAGACACTAACAAAGCGCTTTCGCGAAGGCCTACGCGGGGCTTCCGCGGCTGCGAGGGTAGCTTACGCGAGTGGTGTCTACATTACAAACGCCTACTCGGCGCTTACGCGGATTGAGTTTTTTTGTGCAAGTTAGTTTTCCTGTTTTCGCTTACGCGAACACAGCGAAACCACAAAAGCGCGGAAACGCACAACTTCGTGGAAGCCAAGTGGGCTACGCAAACCTTTCGCGAGTGGGCAAGGGTCCGCGAACCCTTACGCGGCCTTCCGCGACCTACGGAAAAACCACATTTTCAAATCCATATTTCCTCTCGAATACTACTTTCAATTGAAGGGTATTTAGAACGCTGCTCATTTGTCGGATCTAAGTGTCAATAACATGAGTGAACTTACCCAGGTATAGAGATGCAACGATTCGGCTCCATATGCAAGGTGCGGTTACGGAGGATAGCGTTCGCGTCTGACTTTTTTCGGAAGTTGTTGACTCTATCGTAAGAGGATTAAACATGATGGTCACGCAACTGCATTGATTGAATCCCCACAGCGGTAGCTGCGCATCACCCTGATGCCAAACAAGCCACCAAGTTGATCAAAAATGTCTTGGCTCTGAAGAGGTTCTGTCCAGTATGCGCAGTCAAAAGCTAAGGAAAAGGCCTCAAATATGACAATACGCAAACCCAAAAGTCCGCAACAGATATTTATTTCGTGATTTTGAAGTTGCCTTCAAACCAGGGAGATTGAGTTGTTCCGCTCTTTTCCGGGGCCCTCTCCAACGCCAGGCGCTGGAAAAACAAAACCACCGGGAGGCAGCTGTCAACTGAAGCTTCTGCTGCAGGGGACAAAATATTCTCTGTCCCAACTGGGCGACCTATCTGGGTTCCTTTCGAATTCGGGTTCCAGCACAAATACATGTGGCAGGATTCCTCCCTTTTCCATTTGCAGACCATCAATATCATCCTCAATTGGGTATTGCCTTCAGAAGCATCTCCTGTTCGGTGCGCGCACATATCAAGGCAAAATTGTATCTCGAAACCAAAACAAAAGAACAGCGCGTCTCATTTTGTTGGCCAACATTGGCAGGCTCACCAACCGATCGGTGAAAGGGCCAGCCAACTGGTTGACTCAGCAACTGAGTGGCATTTCTCCATCTCTCTGAAGTCAACGCGCTCCCTTCAATCTTCCGTCCCCTTGCCTGGCATGGGGCTGGACCCTCCCGCAAGAACTGCGAGTATCTCTACATGTGCCGATTCGCTTCTGGTCAACAGCACCATTGCATCTCAATTTTTAGCGGTTCAACTGGTAACAACAAGAAGCTTTACAACCGGGTTGGGCCAACCATTCTTTGAAACACGCTTCAACCACCGGCTGCTGTTTGAACTTCAGCTGTTGACAACGTCCTTCAAAAGATACCAGGGTCGTTTTGGGGCTAGTGCCCTTCCAACAAAGGTGAGTCTTCCTTCAAAGGGCGGTATAATGGTTCCCTGACATCACAAAAGTGGCTAAAGAAGCCTCTCACGTCCGCAGCCCTGCCCCTGTTGGAAGCTTCAAGAGGCGTGCTATGCAAAATCGCCAAAAAACTAACACACACAAAAAACCAACACAAGGTTGCGAAAACACAGCTCGGTGTCAATGGCAGTGGTTGCTAGGTGTGAACTGGGATGTCATGTACGCCCCCCCAAATAGGAGCGCAGCTAAGCATGGGCAACATTGGTGTTGCTTTAACTCAAAAACCCTCTGCATTTTGTGCAACGTTTGTCTTCTCCCCACTGTCCTTCCCAAACTAACCACTTCAGGCTGCTAGATGTTGTGAGAAACTCACATGAGTTTTAACAAAGAACTTACAATAATTAGAAGAAACCCACAAGAGTCATGTATGCAAATACGGGGCGGGAGGCGTTGGAAGCAATCAACAGAACAGAACGATTCCCTTTCACTTGACTTATGAAAATGCAATCATCTCACTTTCTGAGTGGATTGGCCAAAAAACAGTCCAAGCTTTGCGGTTGCCACCAAAATGTTTTCCCGAAAGGTAAATAAAGTCCAGGAACTCAAGGAGTGAGAAAACATATTGGTATGGGCCAGAACCAAACCACCAGGGGGCGCATGTTTTACTCCTTGGTTCCATTTGCCAGGGTTCCATTTTGTGCACCCACTTTCGACCCACAGCCCTATCTTTTGTCACCACCTGATCCCTTACCCCCACCTCCATCCACCCGATCCACCCCGAGACCTGTGCCTGGGTCGCGTCCTCCAAGACCTGGTGCCTCTGCTGTGCCAAGCGCAGCTCGTGGTGCAGGAGCTGGTTCTCCCGCGTCATGTGCCTAGCTTCCCACTCGCTGGAGCCGGTGGCTTGGATTGGTGAGGGGCGGTTTCCCACTTACCATTTAACAAGATCCAGGGGTTATCCCCAAACCACCAATTTTGGCATGTGTAAGGGGTTGGCTTTGGGAGACCTTTTTGGGCTGCGCTTATGGCAGCTGGCAACAGCACAAATCAAATGTTTGTTTGCGTGGTTTCTCCTTTCAATTTAGAAAGTTGTGGACACCTCGCCACATAAGGGTGACACCGGAACTACGCGGGTTGTTGTAAATCCCAAAGCTATGTGCGAGCCCCGCTTTTGCTCATTTTGAAAGCAAACAACATAACACCATCCACTTTGGAAGATGCGTTCATAGGTTTACTCACATTCTCAGCGTTTCGCTTGGTTTCTCAAAAAGATGCAATTTGCAAAGGGAGGTCCTTTCGTACTTTTTGAGTGGATTGGTCAGCAAAAGCCCAGATCTCTTGCCTGTGACCAAATGATCTTCCCAAACCGTGTAAAGTTCAGAGTCCAAGAGGGTTTCCACTGCCCCCCCCGAGGAAACATGCGAACTAGAACCGCTGCAAATCTCTGGCCACCTTGGACCAGACTGTTTGCCGATGGTCCCAGTACAATTCAACTCAAGAAGTGACCTACACACAAACCAAGCGATTCGGTTCCCGTGATTTCTGTGCGGTGACGCGTGGTGTTCTTCAAGGGATCCAAACATTCCTTTTGGTGTGGAACTTGCCGGGCGCGGCCAACGAAACAAAAAAATATGCTGCCTAGGCGAATGGACCTCCTCGCGAACCTCAGGATTGAAGTGGACCCAACTGGACCAAACTAAACTGAAGTCAAAGTTGTCCATGCCTCAACCAAACAGCGGATGCCAGTGGCTGAAAGATGTCGGTTACGTTCCCAACCAACAACTAACAGGGACAACTCTGTGCAGTGTGACCTTCAATCCAAGCAGCGGACCTTCCAACGATAATGGCGGCCCGGAAGAGGAAAACCCGGCAGATTGTTTGGCGTTTCGTCTAAGGCCAATCCGGGACATGCCCTCTTTCCAAGAATCATGGAAGTGCACAAGGGGGGGGGGGGGTTGGAAAAAGCGTAAAACAAATATATGCCTGTCCAATTGATTCTCCGAAGGTCGTGCGTGGGTTGACGATATTGACAAAGCAAGGGAACGCCTCATGAGCACCGCTGGCCTGAGATCCTGCAGCGCCTCCTCCTCTTCACGAACACGTTCTGCAAGCTCGCCTTGGCTAGCAGGGGGGTGTCCCAAAAAATGGCCTGTTAGGCCTTTTTTGACATGCCCATGTTGCTAAAAGCGAACAATGTCTAGTGTGCCGTGTCGCAAATTCCTCAATCGGCTGGGAACAGGCAAGTTTAATTGACACCTGGCTGACAGCTGCTTTTGTCAACACCATGTTTGCAACGTGCCTGTAGTAGCTTGGGGTTTGACCCAGTGTCGTCTTCACTCCTCAATTTCTGTGTAGAAAGAAGCTCTCCTTTGGCGCAGTAGGGAGAAACTTCTGTGTAGTGACTGCCCTTGCCAAGAAGAGTGTAGAACAGCTCTCAAGGGGCATCACCCAAAGTTGTGATTACCTCTGCTTCACATGTCTATGGGTCAAAACCCCGTACCCCCAGTGAACATCCCAATCCCCACTAAAATAGGTTCCAAACGGGTGGTGAATTCACCTACCCCAAAATGGGATCCCATTGGTCTTGACCCACAGACCCACATGCTGGAATGGAAACAAGGCAACATGCAGTTGCAAAATCCATCTTCGCCGCGTCCGCGTTCACCAAAGTCTAGCTTCTTGGCGGGCAATTGCTTAGTGGTCCGAAGCAAAATCACCCGCACAGTCCGAAGCAGACTCCAATGTGTGCATGCTTGAAACGTTGCCAGAAAGTCGTGAAAGCTTCCGTTTGTGGGGGGGGGGGTTCGCGATACCGGCACAAACATATATCATAATAAATATGTATGTATGTACATATATATATATATATATATACATATCTGGGTATAGTCTCATTTGGCACCCTTCTCCACCTGGGCATAGTATCGTTAAGAGTTGCTTGGGGCACAACGATACGCTTTCCGGGGGGGGGGTGGGGGGAGGATGTTTGCATTCCCTTCCCGAGGCAAAAAGGCTCCTGCCCCAGGTTGGCCCTGCGTCTTTGGGGGTTGGCGGGGGATGTTTGCGTTCCCTTCCCGAGGCAAAAAGGCTCCTGCCCCAGGTTGGCCCTGCGTCTTTGGGGGTGGGGGGGGGTGGATGTTTGCATTCCCTTCCCGAGGCAAAAAGGCTCCTGCCCCAGGATGGCCCTGCGTCTTTTGGGGTTGGGGGGGGGGGGGGGGTTGGGGGGGGGCATGTTTGCGCGCGTCTTCCGAGGCAAGCAGGCTTTTCTTAGTTGTTGCACGCAGTTACGCGAGCTTGCGGCTCAATATGGAGCCGTACATTATTTTGCTTCGACTGGCAGGTGTTTCATGTCCTCATTCGGATTTGGCTGCTTTCTTTGAATGCAATATCTGGACATTGGATCAGTATCACAGCGGACTGTGCTTGCCGCCCGATGATGACATTGTGGCATTTGTGCGCAGTACATGCTTGATATCTGACAGGTCTCCTTATGCTTGGGACCGTCTTCAGAAGCACATTTCTATGCTTCGTTCGCTGTGGGAGGCTCGAGACCGGCAACCTGCTGTTTCCATGAAGCTCTTGGCCGCATCTGCGTATGTAGTGTCAGCACGCCTGCTGCGTCTTAATTCTGACTCTAGCCCCCGCACTGAGCAGCTTCCCGACATGCCTTCCGCATCACTGGAAGAGCTGGAGCTGATGCTGACGTATTTAGCAAGATATGTCTTTTGGTGATGAGTCTCACGCGGCAGTGGCAAAGGTCGTTGATGCCTTGCCGAGCCAGGGGGATTTCCATTCCGGAGGCAAACAACGCTTCGATATCCCCCTAGGGGGCGCATAACGATACTGTACCGATATACATATATATATATGTATATATATATATATGTGACACACATATGCTTGGTTTTGAGGAAGGCTGAAGCCATGTTCCCATTACATCATACTGACCGCAATTTGAGTAGCCAATCCATCTGAGTATCAAAAGTGAACGCCGCCCATGACTTTAGGGTTCTCAAGCATCTTGCGCAAACAACACTGCACAACTTCGAACAGTAATCATTTAATAGTAGTTGTCCGAATTGTCAGAGATAGGGTGGTGTCTCAAAATAGGAAATCCCACAAAAAGACGTGGTTTCCTCCTTTCTTCCCTTTGACACAGCCAAACAAACAGGCGCCCTGAAAAAAGGCACCCATGAGGCTCCATTTAAATCCGCCTCGAAAAGGGGTCCACGTTGTACGCCATAAGTTGCTGTGCATACCACGCTGCCATGTTCCGCAGCACCCCATAAAAGGCAAGCCTATGATGCCCAGCCGAAGACAAAAGACAACCACTTGGATTGACTAAAACTAGCCAAAAGAAACATGTTAAAAGCTCGGATCTCGAGCCGCAACGGTCGATGACCCCATGTTGAGCTCCTGGCTTTGGCAGGTCTGCACCTGAACGAGATTCGGGCAAACCTGCAGCTCCTGGCCTCCCCAAAACATGATGGCCGTGATTCTGGTCCAGATTTAGTGAACCTTAAGATACAACATAAGTGCAACAGAGATCCCAGCAAAGGAGTAGACAAACACACAAAAAGAAAGCGAACTTGCGTGTGTCGATAAATAAAGGAACCCCTCCCCTCTTTAAATAAGGGCCTACGTCGGTTGAGGCGCCGGAATCGCCCGCTGTTTCAGATGCTGGGGGTCATCAACCCCCTGGGTGTTTTCATATCCGGGTTTGACTCAGAAATAGGATACCCAAAAAAGGGGTTGGCTTCATTTTGGTGACCCTTTTAACCCAGGCAAAATGGGTCCTCAACAAGAGACAAATCCATTTGGGGAACCTTGCTTGGTCAGAACTTCTTGCTGGCCGGGTTTTGGAGAAAGTTGCAAACCGCTCCCAGGAGCGTCCCGAATTTTCAGCGTGCACTTGATCCTTTCGTGCAGCACAGCTGCCCTCCAACTTAGGATCCTGTCGAAAACCATTTTCCTCCACAAACCAAAGCTCTAGCGGGCTCTGTGTAAAGTGGAAGGGTACCCATACTCGGACCTCTTCGAAAAGGCAACAGAACATGGCAAATTTGCATTGCCTCGTGCTGTTTCACCCTGCACAACCGGCCTCTGCCAAGGGAGTCAACCATCGTATTCATATTAACTTCGGAATGCGGAAGAACGACGCAACACACAGATGTGAGGTTCGCCTGGCACAGACCTACATCTCGCCAAAGAAGCCAATGATTGATCACGTGGGATCGATATCTGAAGTCCAAGTTACAAATTGGGGTGCTTCCTAACATAGGCGACCCCGGACCAGGGACACGGTGTCCTTTTTTGTTCGCCAGCAAACGGCCATCAATGGGGGTTCTTAGTTCTTGGTGGCCCGCCCATGTGTGTCGTCATAACTCGGAACCGGCATCAAGAGCATCCCTTGCCAAACTTTGTCCAGGCTGATTGCTCACCCGTGCAACGCCATGACGATAAACCACTCAGATTAATTGTGGTTCAACAACATCCACTGCCAAGTTCTACTTACTTCCGATCGAGTGGATTGACCAAATAAAGTCCAAACTTCTTGTTTGCCACTAAAATGTCTCGAAAAGTATGAACTCCAGCCATTCAGGGAGTGGTTTTTCAGCAACAAATCTTTGTTCTGGGCAAATCACAATCATTAACCTCACCCGAATCGAGGAATCCCCAAGAAACCTGCATGACTTCATGAACTCGCGCTCCCTACCGCACAACCCCCCCAATACCTCTCAGCCTTTGCCTCAACCAGGCAAGCAAGCAAACAAACAAACAGCCAACCAAGCAGGCAAGCAGGCAAGAAAGCAAGCAAGCAACCTATCAACCAAACAACTCATGTTGCATTCTGAATCATATTCCGTGAGCCTTGAAGTGTCAACACCAACTGGAGCAATATTCTGAGCAAATTATACTTCACCAACCAAAAGTAAGGGACCCCCCAAAAAGGATTCTTCACTTTAGGTGACGTCGCCATAATTTGCCCAACACAAAATAAGTATCTTAAAGCAACCCACAGTTTTCAGGGGATGTTCCGATTCCGTTTTTGAGACAAACCCATTTTGTCCATCAGATGTTGCTGGCACACCCATGTGTGCCATCATAACCCAGATTCGGCATCAAGAGCATCCGACTTTGAGATAAACTCATCTTTTCTCCATCCAACTTGCCGTTGTACTTTGCGAAGCTCGGAACTCGGCCCTCCGCCGGCCTCGTTTTCCGCCAGCCGCAGCTCCTCGAGAGTCAGAGCCGTTCCGCGCCTGGACCGAGGCTCGCTCGAAAAGGCGTGCGAAAGGGTGTATGGTGCGGGGCAGGGGTGTTCTTTGTGATATAGGTTTCCTTTGTGGGGGTTCCTCTCTTCATGGTTGCTTGAATCCTGGGCAAAACTTAAACAATGAGCAATCCCTGTACTTCCGGCTGTGAAGAGTCGCAGGAATGGCCCTTTTTGCAAGGCACTTTCCATTATCGCAGTGGTTCAACAATCCGTTTCCACAATCCTGCAACTGAGCCAACATTCGTTGTGAGCATTTGAGTACTCATAGCCCAAGTCAAACCTCCCCTCGCTGGCCTTAGCCTTAGTGACCGGTTGTTCCCCAAAGCCTACCGACGCCTTACCACGGCCTCCTTCTTCGGGGATGCCACGGGCGGGTCCGACTAGGGTGTGTCTTCTTTTGTGGTTTTCCTCTTGGTTTCCCTTTAAGCCACCCCAAGGGTAGCGTCACAAAAAGACACACCTACTTGTTTGCTTTGAAGGGATTCCCTAGGCCACTCTCAGAAAGCAACAACTTGAAGCCAACATTTCAGCCGTGGTCGATGTTAATTGTGTCCTGAATGGCATTAATTTTGGTGAGCAAGCCTCATTCATTGCAGTTTGGTAAGTGTGTACCCCACATCATGTCATGCCCTGGACGGCACCCCTATTGTTGACCCTAAACCCTTCGGTTGCCAAGTAGCTCTCAAGCTCCCAGTACGTGCGAAAAACAGTCAGTCTGGGCACGCTCATGTGCAAACAAACCGTCTACTTGTCTACTATTCCTCACGGGGATGTGCATAGAACCCCTGTCCAAAAGAAACGTCGTCTTCCGGACCGGGACTGTGCGCTTCCATGTTTCTTGAAGGGCAACAGTCTTCGACTGACTGAGAGACTGAGAGGTGGACTTGCAAGCGATTCTTCTTGGACGAATGGCCAGCTGAAACATGTTAGAACTTGTGTTCCCCCTTTTGGATGTTTGCTAGTTGAATCCCACAATAATTCAACTGATCTTTTGTAAGGGCCCCGTGGAAACACCCACATGAGAATGATAGAAGCTTTCCTCCGAATCTGTTTGTAAATGGCACTGTCATTCATGCCTCACCTATCCACGCAATTCAGGGTACCCCCGTTAAACCTTGACTGCGGGGACCAACACGGAAAACGCAACGCCCAGTGATTCCAGTTACCATATGTAGCGCTATAGGCTATAGTAGGGAACCAGCCCTGGAAGGGTCAACAGGCTCAATTCGCTCTGGCATGTAAGCTCAACCACCTCTGACTCAACTCCGCCCATCAACCATGCCAGGTGCCACGTGTCATCAGCCTAAGCGCTGACTCGAGCAAACTCGGCAGACCCCGAGTTGAGAGGGCTGTCAATTTTCGCGGCGTCCCCATCAAACAAAACCAATGGGTCACCCGCAGGCAGTAGACACCAAGATGCGGAAGCTCGGCCAAAACTCAAAGTCCGTGATATCTCCATTTGTCGAGACTGCTTACTGGCCCCTCAAATCGCTGATCGCGACAGGTGGCTTCACACTCAGCAAGCAGTCACCTGAACCTACCAAAAACATCCTGCAGCCCAACACCATCATGAGCTCGTTTCGACAGGCCACATCACAAACAAAGCTTGAACCACATCTGAGATCCCGGAAAAAAAAACTACCTCATCTGTGCCCCCCCAACCAAAATACGATGTCTGACCTTGGTCCCTTTTTGCCGAACCTTAGCCTTAACATGTAGAATCATCTCCAAAGATGCTCGAAAACCAGCTTGGGACTCTGCCGAAAGCTGAGTCCGCCCAAGTCCAAGTCCCCTGCCAGCTCACCATGTTGATGGGCCAGCGTCTGGCGCAACTTGTCCAAAGTCCACCTGAGCAACGCAAACTTGCCACTTGGGTTTGTGCTAAAATAGGGCACAAATACACACGCACGCACACAGAAAGACACACACACACACAAACACAAAACCATTCACACACACACACAAGGAGATGCACACACAGAGATACACACACGGGGACACACAGACACAGAGATATCCACACACACACACACAGAGGCACACGCACACGCACACGCGCGCACACACCCACACTCACTTACACACAATTACGCACACACACAGCGCGCGCCTCAAGCGCCACAGGATGGTCAAACTCCCAAAATTCGGGCATGGTCATGTCTGCCTGAACAGCCTTATTGTGGGGTCCCTGGCCACCCCCTACTAACCCCAAGAGCAAGAGTGTTCTGATCATGGCCATAAATTTGCAGATGGGTACCAACAGTTTAAAGCCAATATAGGAACCTATCTTGAGTGTGGGGTTCTCTTGTTACATCATTGAGGGTTACTGCTCTCGCAGTTTCAGCCCTTTTTGCGCAGAGGTGTCTACAGTACTGCTGCTCATTCCTTCGCTAGTCATATGCCAAGCTTATCCGCCATACGCTTGCCTTCCCTTGCTCCCTCTAACATGCATAGCATCTGGGGGAGAGCACCTGGAAGAACAATTTCTTTAACTGACCATGTTCCTGTCAGGCGCCATGTTTGTGGGAGGCGAAGCAACTAACTCACTTCCCAACACACCAGGAAAAAAACAGTAAAGAATTGGCGGCCTTACTAACAATGAAAGAGATTCGGAAAACCAAAAGGTCAAAAGATTCGTTTGGGGAAGAATATAAGACCCAGTTTGTTTCCCCACCTGACATGGGATTTTGATGAGTAACTCCCATTTCGTGGTGGGAATGTCATCTCTTTTTTGCCACCGTAGGCGAAAGAACATGTTGACCATTTCTCATGTATGCCCCATGTCCCCCCCCCCCAAATGTCCCCCCTCCAAACATATAAGGTGGCACCAGAAGGCGTTCTTTACATAAGCCCTTATTAAGCCCTTAATAAGCCCTTATTAAGACATTTTTAGTGGTTTCAATGAAAGTCACAAATAAGGGCTTGTTTGAGGCAGTCAAATTTGGAGACGTGTTTGAGGCAAACCGCCACAAACTTGAAGCCATGTGTTTTTTCTTTTGTTTTTTCTGAGGGGCGAGCCCTGAGGAATTTTGCTTGGCAAGTAGTTTCTCCACAGATTGGTAGGTTTCCTTTTGGTTTCCCTTTCAAGCCACACAGCCTCCCCAAAAAGGGTGCCCTCAGAACAAGACACCCCGCTCGTATGGGCGTACAATAGCGTACATTTTACTAGGCGATCCTTTGAGTCTTCTTTGGAGGACATCGTTTGTGTGGGGATTGATGTCCCCCAGTCAGTTTCAAGGTTTTCCTTACCAAAAGCACATATGCCTTTTTTTGAGGGAACCAAGGAAAACAACAACTTTGGGAGTCTTTGTCTCAACATGAGACTATCCCACACAAACATGGCTTCTTTCTGTTTTTCTTTCTTTTTTTTTTTTCAAAACCTCAAGATCAAGACCTTGCCTTTTGGTTTGAATTGGTTTCCTTTTGATTCCTTTTCTTGTATATATACCCTAAACAAAAAACACACACAAAAAAAAGAGAGAGGCCCAAATCGAGGTCCGCACTGCAGCTCCCCGCGTTGCGCCCGCAAACGCTGGGATTCGGCGGACAGCTGCAGCAGCCTTGGGTGTGTCAACGTTTTGCCTTGGTAGGAACCCACATGGGTGTGTCCAAAAACGTGGCGGGTACTTGGGTGTTCGGCCAAATCAAGCGCTTAGTAACAGAGGCCACAAACCAACTGCTAAGCCAAAGCATTTGTTTGTGAATAACCCAGGTGGATATCTACGAACCTGGCGGAACACCCAAAGTGCCCCAACAAGGGCTGTGGTTAAGGGGAACACCCCAGTTAGAAAATCGGGGCTGCTCACCAAAATGGAACAAATGGGTTACCAATTGAACAAATGGGTTCCCTTAAAAACAACCACGCCCCCGACTTTAAGGAACTTGGTTGATACAACTCAACCTTGCGGGTTCCCGAGGTCCTAGGGTGCGCCTTATGGAGTTGTGAACAGATCCCTAGCAAACTGATCACGCCTGGCTTTTGGTTCTACCAAGGTGGTTGTACAGATTTGCGCAAGCCTTGCAATGCCCATACCAGGCACGGGGGCTGATCAACTTTCCTGGCCCCCAAATGACCATGGGTAACTTGGCCCATGTAGTGGGCATATCATCTTACTAGTGGTTTCCTCTCATGGTGATCCCATGTAAAGGACCTTTTGATCAACTTCCATTTTGTAGAACCACCTGCCAGAATCGCCAACTTATGCTCATTTCAGAGACCCGGCTCTCGGGGACCCCAGCTCCGCCCCCGCTACGTCGGCAGCTTGCTGCAGTTCTCTTTGGTCCGCCTGCGGCGAAAAAAAACACCTACCCCAAAACTAACCCAGTGGATCCCAGTTGCCTTTTGTTTGGTGTTTTGGCTTTCACAGGGTGGTTCTCTTGGTTAACTACTATGCAAATGGATCCACTGGGCAAGAGAGAGGTAGAGCGTCAAAACAACAAGTTGTGGGAGTGGAACAAACAAAACAGCCTGGCACCCCACAGTTCCGTATATTTTTTTCCCGAGGACATCACCCCAAGAACAGACGCACCTGAAATCAGTCCAAGAGGTGTTGTTTAAAAACACCAAAGGGGGACATATGGGGGCGTGCCTCCGTATAGGGGACCGCTTGTTCACATGCTTTTCAAGGAAATCAACGTCAAAATACCAACCTGGACGAATCCCAATTGTCAGAAACACCCATAGGGATTCATGCATTTGTTCGTTGTGCCCTTAACACAAATGTACAGACTCCAATGAATGTTTTCTTGGTTGGCTTGCAACCTGGTGTGCCAAATATTCAGCCCAAGCCTTGGTAACAACAATCCGTTGTTGTTTTCGGGATCTCAAGTAGTCCACTTGCTCGCCTGCACATCCCTCCGGTTTCGAGTTTCATGTCATCATCATTTGCAGGGAAGTACATGGGGATGTGCCAAAATACGGGGGGGGGGGGGGCAAAAAAATGTAGTAATTTCTTTGGCTTCCTTTCAAACCAACTTGAGCAGGCTACCCTTGACGCACGCCCAAATGTCATTTACCATACCCATGGCACCCGCCGAATCTCGCTTCGGGCCCATCCAGCCTCCATTTCTGCAATGGTCTCCCGAAGCCTTTGACCCTCTTCCGTCATCTCCTGCTCCAAGCACAAACGGCGTGACTGAACTTCTGGGATTCGAGCAGCAACTCCCGGCATTGATTGCTTACCAAGAAGCCCCGACTGCAAATCAAGGGACTTCCGGGTCAGATCTGATGAGTCCTGGCAAAGGAGGGGGTCCTTTTGGATGGTCGTTGACAGGGAATCGACCATTGGCGGGGATCTCCGATGAAGGAAACACCTAAAAAAAATACCTCCTACTTGGAAGGTCAGGCAACTTAAGAAGTAGGTCATAACCAGAGTCGTAACTGAGGTAACTGGGGCTATAACTCACTAGGTAGCTTGAAGTTCCAAGTGGCGGCTCCCTCAATAGATGGCGGACAACCAACAAAAAAGAGCACAAATGTACATCAGGACGAATGCAACATAGATAATCCTCAACATGGGGCTCCTTGAGACAATACCTTCATTAAACGCTGGGCAAAGCCTTACTGCAAAACAAATATGTGCTTTGCTTAGGGAACCCAAGTGGGGTGGGCACGCGCCCAGCAAACATGACACCCACCAGAAGGCCCTTCGAGCAAAATGCTTCGAAGCTGAGACTTTCATGTGGGAGGACAATGTGACAAGTCGTGTTCCGTTCGGCCAAAGAAAGATGCACATAAAGATGACCCCCCCATCTCAGTTGCCAAAGGACCTAGACATAAACGGTTAACCTTTTGGGGCCTTGACTAAACATGGGAACCAAAAATGGTGAAACCGAAAGGTCAAACGGTCAATTCGCTTCGGGCAACTGAAACATTTCAGATTAAGGACTACGTGTAAACGAAGAAAGATCCATATTTTAGTATGACACCCTAGCTATTTGGTCAGTTAACCACCCATTATAGGTGAACTGCTTGTAGCCAGCCCTACATCCCCGATTTGGTTTCCTTCTACGGGGCCAAAGCCTCGGTTCATTCAACCACATTCCCTATCGCACCAGCAAGGTGCATCCCTATGAACATGAGCCCCCCAGTTCATTGGTCAATTAACCGGCTCGAAGTCCAAATCGAAACTCAAAGACTTGCAGAACCAAAGTTCATGTTACGTGGGTTTGCTCAGTGGGTTTGTTTGGATCATGCCAATCTTTTCAACCAACCACCGGTCTCTCTTCATAGGTGAACTACGGTGTAACCGGCGCCTAGGGCTTTTCAATGGCGAGGCCTTCGACGCCTTCGATCCGTGGCCCCACACGGCCCCATGGGTCAGCCAAATTGGCCATGAAAGTTTTACATTCGGGGCCCGGTGGTGGGCATGATCTAGGTCCACCAACCACTTTTTCAGGGGGTTCCCCACTAACTTTAGAACCAAATAGTCCAGAACTGGGGGTTCCTTCAAAGAAACGTGAGATTTTAGGCTGAAGTTAGAGCAGAATCAGACAGTGCTTTTCTGCGTGCAGGTGGGTCCCATCGCCTGCAGCTTGCGCCGCACCGAGCTGGGGCCGCTCAGCACCTCCGCGCTCCGCGCCTGCTCCTCACGGGAGAGGGAGGGGTCCATGGGGAAAACACAGGAACGTTCCAAGACCCTGCACTGGGTATCACACTTTTTCTTTTTCTTTTTGTTATTTTTAATAAATGAGTATCACATGTGTTTTGTACAGCTGGAACCTTCTTTGGGCTATTCTGGGGCCAATGACTGCCATTGGGCGGTTCTGGAGGTGCCAAAATAATTAGAATCGGGCTATGGGGGGGAGTGTTCCAACTCCCCTATCCGCTTTTCGGACCCCAAAACCAAAGAGGTTGGTAAAGAGTCAAAACACAGGCTGTGGGAAACAGGGGCCTGCGACCCTGGGGTTCCCTACAGTTCATTTCAACACATCACCTCTGCCCAGTGACAAACAAGTGATGCTTAAAACCACCAAAGAACAGACAAATAGGATCAACTAGGATGAAATAGGATCAAATAGGGACCCCTGCGCCCGTAAAGGAAATTGTTCGACCAGCTTTCGTGATTGCTAGTCCCTTACGATTCTCAGTTTAACTGGGTTTGGTGGCTCATTTGACCATAGCACATGAGGCACGGTCAATATTTACTGCAAATGACGGCAAATACTGACTGTTGCTCGTATGTTTTAGCCATGGGAAACAAAGAACATCTGATTCATTGTCAGTGATTATTTCCCTCCTGGTGATTTATTACCTGAACCGCCACAAGCGGGTTTGATTTGCCAAACTTATTGCAAATCAGTTTGGCTGATTGAAGTCAACTTTACAGTTGAACCTCCAGTTGGAACAGTCACTGGATGTATTCAAACGTTGCAATTTTGGCGGATTCCGCTCAAACTGCCACTCAAGGTCCACAAATTGGAAATTGGACATTGTCCTTTTGGACCTTGTGCAACAGGGAAACCAAAGCGAACCCGTTTATTCTGGGCTGTCCTCACATGCCCTGCTAAAAGTTCAACTTTTAAAGCGGATGAGTGGAAGATACCAGACGTGGGCGTGTCTTTCTTTAGACCCCCAAAACGATCGTTACCTTTTAAACCAACCTCAGAATGGCAACCCTCAACAAAAAGATGGACCCATGTTTGACTCAAACTGTTTGACCAGAGGGAAACCGTGGCTCTAACCTCAGAATGGGAACCCTTAACAAGAAACCATGGCTCCAATTCCAAAAACCACATCGCTTGGCCTTCGCCAGCTGATCCCGAGGTCCGCCCACCGACCCCGCGGGAAGCCGTCGCCGACTGCCTCCGCCAGCTCCGCGGCGCCCGCGGCGAAACGGCGCCGGAGACTTCCCACCCCGGCGGTGAGCTGCGCCAGGCGCGCGGTGAGGCGCCCGTGCCGCGCCTGGGGGCTTAAAGGTCCGGGACCTCAACGAAGGTAGCAACCAAAAGACACACGTCACACACACGCAAAGCTACATCTAGATTTTCCATATGATGGGACACACACACACACACATCTACAGCTACAGCTACATCTATATGTTTCCCATATTTAGATGGTGCTAGTTAAATTGTAAAACCTACCTTGAAGGGCACCCTGCCAGTCCAGCCCGCTCCGAACTGCTCGTCGCCTATCTGGGATCGACCCCAAAGCTGTAGCTCAGGGGGAAAACACATCTCCATTTGGGGGCACATCTTTTTGAGGCAACTCTTCTAGGTCCTCCAGTAGAGAGGTTAGAGCAAGGGTACCAACTTTTTTCTGTAGTCTATTTTAGTAGGTTTGAACCCTCCCAACCAAAAAAGAAACGGTCAAAGTTGGCACCTAGCTGGGGGGACCTAGTCTTCTTAGACCAGTCCGCCGGGAAGCCAAAAGGGACGCCTCCAGCTCCTGCTGCGTGGCACAGGCCGACTGCTCCGAGGCACTGGCCGCCTCAAGGGGGCGAAGCCTTTAGCACGAGCCACCTGGGACCACACCAAAAGGGGCAGAGTTGCTTTTGGCTTTGTGAATATGTAATAATAGTTCGTCTACCCTAAATAATAAATAGTTATAGTCTACAATCAAATTTTGCCTGAAGTATAAATATAGGTATAATCTATAACATAATTTTGGAGGAGACTCCAGTAGGTAGTGTGGAAGGGGGGCAGGCGTCTTCTCTGCCTGGTAAGGGACATCAAGTATGAAGCTGGGGCACAACTGTGCAACATTTCCTGCAGAAGTTGGTTGGCTCATCCCAGTATTCAGAGGGCTTCATACATTTGTCGTGCCTGGTGTGGACTTCTTTTCCATCAGTCCGGTCTTCCTAAGATGGGCGACTTCTTTTTGGGGACCCCCACCGGCAAAACAAATAAATAAATAAATAAATAGATACATGTCCTTTTGAGTTCCCTTTCAACCCACCACACAGGGTAGGTTCCCAACAATCGACACAAGCCAAATGGGGACCCCCCCGCTTTTGTGAGGGTACAAGACTTGCAAGCCTCAATAACAAGTATCCAGATCCCATGACATGAAAGGCTCCAGGTCCTGCCCCGCATGAAGCTACAACGAGTGTGGTGAACGTGTCTCCGGTCAAGATGTTGGCACTGGCCAATCTCTACGTGCTGATCAGGGCTGATGTCGTGAAAGTTTAGCCGTGTGTGCGTGTGTGTGTGTGAGGGAAGGGAAGTTTTTTCAGGTTGAATTGTTTCTTGTACCATTTGAAGATGACTGGGAAGTAGATTCATCAGCACCCCTTTTTGAGCTGTGGGTTTCGTTGATCAAGATCGTGGTACAAGGAAGGTCCGCGTTAATTGACACCCCGATTTCAGCCACAACACAGCTGCATGAAGAAGGATGGCTCTGCGTCCACAAGTCCTTCAGGTTCTTCACACATTCTTGGAATACGGGGACCCCGAGTAAAAGGGCCTTCCTGGGTTAGCGTGTCCTAGTTGCAAGCAAAAGGGTGGCAAAAGGATGCAAAAGGAACCAATTCTTTGGGGTTGGATACCCTGAACATCCATTTTTAGCGTGAATTCGCCATGGTGGGTGCCTGAAAGTCTGTTTCGTTTAATAGCCGTAAATACATCGATCTATATATGTATATATATATATACACATACATATATATATATGTATATATATATACATAAATATATATAAATATACACACATGAAGTCACTTCAGGATCAGGCATGCTTAGACCCCAGCCAAAAACGTTGCAACTGCATCAACATATGAACTTATACTGCGGGCAAAAAAGAACACGCGGGGGTTGGTCAGAAGGCCCTTTACACGGGAACTCCATTGGGAAAAATCACTAAAACAACGATATGTCCAACTAAATGGGAAAAGTGGCCCTCGCCCATTTCAGGGCCAAGAATATTCATCGACCCCTGCGTATCAAACGTATTCACAAGTAACAGAAACAACCGCGAAACTCGGTTGCTGTTGACCCCTCTGCAATAACAAGGTAAACTTTGTGCAGGCTCAATGGGAATCCCTTGGATTTCAGCCAAAGTGAATGTCTGGGTTGGGCTTTTGGGCTTTCACGCCTGCAGCCTGCGCCGCGCATGCTGCACTCGCGCCTAGCCGTGAAGGCCGTAGATCCACATGTTGATTTGCAGCGGAGTGTGGGTCTGCCGTTTTTTGTTGTTGTTGTTTGGGGAGGTGAGCTGCCTTTTCGTTGGCTTTCAGTGCAGTGCCGAATTTCGTTTCTTCCGGCACCAACCCAAATTGCGACCATTTTTGCTGGAGCTAAGCCCGACCCTGGCTTCAAATTACGCTGGGTGCAAAATTTGGGGGTCTAGAAAATTCAGAAGATTATCCATCCCTCTTGATTTCCACTTGGCACATCAGAAACTAAATGGCCTAGTGCTACATTCAACGTCTACCGTCATTTTACCCCACACTTCTGATTGTCCAGACTTCTCCAGGTAGCAACCAAATCCCTGTTTTGACGAGCCATACCCATTTAAGCAGCCTGTCCGGAAAAGGGATGCCTTCGCCAAAGCACAGCAACGCCTGTTCGTCTCCTGCCCGCGAAGCCCCCTTTGCAGCTGCACTCGGGCGCACCTCTGCGGCCTGGCCCATGAGGCGCTCCTCTTCTGCAGCTGCCTGGCGAGGCCCGAAGTGACAACGGTTTCTCGGTTGCGAAATCTGCTCCCCTGCTAAAAGTTTAACTTTTAGTGGCTTTATGGAAAACCCATGAGTTGGCAAAAAGTTAAAGTCCTAACATCCCTTGGCAAAATGCCCCAAAGGAGTTTCCCATGCCCAGGCAAACAAGGCACCGAAACTGACCGAGACGGACCCTGCTCGACGTGTGTCTATATGCTTATATAAACATATGTAATATACCAAAATATGTTGTTAAAAATCATATGTATATGGTCACACCCCCCCCTTGATCCGCCTTCCCTCTGCCTCCTTCTTAACCGCTATTAAACCAGTATTGTTTGTGGCAAGAATCACATTGTGTTTGACCAAAGTACAAGCAGATCAAAAAAAAACAAGAACTTACGGCCGCGCTTTTTGGAACAGGCTCACAATGTGGGCAGGCTCTCCCCTGCCAAGATTTCACTTGCGAAGCGTGGGGAAAGCTGGCGCCCTTCTCTACCCATCAAATGTTGTACGGACACTCCCCAACGATGCGTGCCCGGGCGCCTCATCATCTTCCTTGCGTAAGCATAGCGTTTTGTGTTGAAGTCAAAACAAATCGAGCTGAGCCACGGCGACTGCTGACAAGGAGATGATGACTACTGAAAGTAAGTCACGACTATCCACACGCCAGTGCCTTACAAAGCGAGTTTCACGTGTAGCAAGATGAGCAAAGACAATCACCCCGCCTTAACATGGCTTGCTCTTTCCAATGCCAAAACTGATTCATGAGACATGGGCAACATGCTCTAGCCCCGTGCCCTGCCACGTGCGGGCGCAAAGTGAGCCAGGGGCGCAAATGCGCTCATCTCCGTTTTGCATGTCCTTCCGCATTGCCATTTCTGACCCGTTTGCAGCTGATTTTGTGAAATAATTTTCTGGGGGCTGAAATGTAGCACGCGTCGGGCGCCTTAAAATCGTTCGCGTCGGAGCACAGGAACTTCACATTCGCATATGCTGAATTGCTGTGTGGTCTGAAGTCTTCCTTCTTTGCAGGCGCGTTCATTTTAACAGTCATTGAAGCTCATCCGCGCACATGAGTGCTCTTTCGTGCCATCAGTCCTGCTATTCTTGGCATCTGAATCACCATGTGCTTCACCACCAAAAGATCTGGCATTGTCACCCATGCCTGAAGTCGAGTTTCTGGTTCAGGCCAAACGCTTGAACATGAGAGTGCAAGAAGTGCAAAAATCTGGCAAAGATCAATGCTGTGAATACCAAAGAACAGGAAACCATAAGCTCAAGGAAATCCATCTGATGCACACTGCCATTCATGCAGAGGCTCAAGGCTTCGGCTTCCAGAAACGCTGGGAAAATTGCCGCAAGCCGTTCTCAAACCAATCGCGCACGCCATGTCAGAAAGCTCCTTTGGAGCCCGCAAGAGGGTTTCAGCCAGTCCTGACCATTTGCACCAGTTCTTCTGGCAACAAAACCGTCCCTCCATTGTGGTCTACTTTGAAGCGGCAGTCGTTGAAGTAGAAGACCTCAGAGCCTGAGATTGACCATCGTTTTAATGGTCTCGTCGCCTCTGTAGTTTCAGCTTACCAGACATGAAAAAAACGAAAAGCAGACATGTTTACTAATTTGCTACTGCCAAGGAGCCCGACTCCAAGTAGCCAATCTTGACAGGCCAGCCCCTGCAGCCGCTTGGGCTCGATGGCCCAGGACAGTCGCACATGGCGCTGAGTTGGCGGACAACCTCCACCGGGAAAGTGCGCACGAAAGGGGCTGACAATACACTAGACAGAACAAATACGAGGAGAGAGCCAAAAGAGCTTCAAGCCGAATGTTTCTGACAAGGACTCGTGCGCATGCAAATGTAGATCGGGGGGGTGAGCATGTATATATATATATATATATATTAATATATATATATATATATAGAGCTGTGTGTGTGCGCTTTATGTCCTCTATCTATCTCTATGCATTATAGATACATATACGCATCTGTCTACCTATCCGCCTATCTACCAGCAATTCCGTCTATCCATCCATCCAACCAGCCAGCCAGCCAGCCAGCCAGCCAGCCAGCCAGCCAGCCAGCCAGCCATCCATCCATCCATCCATCCATCCATCCATCCATCCATCCATCCATCCATCCCTCTCTCTACCTCTCTCTCTCTCTCGCACACTCTCTCTGTCTCTCTACATCCATCCATCTAGCTGTCTGTCTATCTGTCGAATCCATCTATCTAGCTGTCTATCTTCATGAAAACAATTCGCATATGTCTCCGAGTGGGCTTTGCATTACAAATTGACTCAGTTTAGGCGATGCTATATATATATATAATATCTCCAGGTGTTCTTCCACAGCTTCATGTGTCAGAATTATCCTTGTTTGCATGTCCAAATTCATGTTAGGCATTACCAAACCAATTCAACACTTTGGCGTTTTGGCGTGTTCACCGGTCTTCACAGAATCGATCTTCTCGTACAAGAGGTCCCTCCACTCACTTCTACATCTTGACCTCTGCACGTACAAAGCCCCAGAGGTCTGGGGAGGCCCTGATACCGGGGGGATTCAGCTGTCTGCACATTTAGCGGGGAGTTGTTGAAGGTTCCAAGTGTTGAAGAAGTACTCCGTAGTTGAGGCACCCACTTACATTAACGACCCCCCTCCACAACTCAAGAAATCGCGGCACGCACACCCGACAAATACTCACCCCTAAAACAAACACGCATAACCCCAAAATCTCAAACTAAAGGGATCAACGTTTTGTCAATCCTAAAAGAAACGCACAAGGAACGAATCCATTCATTTAGAGCGGTTCCCAAGAAATTGCTCAGGCAGGGACTTTGGTGGTTCTGGCAAATCACGTTTGGAGGGCGACCACTCCGTTTTCGCAAGGAGATCCCGACCCAATACTCAGACCCTGAAATTAAAACGGGGGCAACTGCCAGACCAACAAAAAGGTGGCAATATCCCAAACCGCTGGGGGCAAAAAGCCTTGGTTCCGCATTCAGTGCCAGGAATGCGGCCGAGAAAAAAGAACAAAAAGAAACACGTGAATGCAGACGCCGTGGACTTGTGAAGCTCCCATTCCCTTTGCGAGTCGCCCTTTCTAAATGTTCAAGTACCCATTTGCCATCTTCATTTCTTACAACCCTTCTGGCAATAACGATTTTGTTCACATGAACAATAAATGCATGTGCCGGTTTCTATAAACATCTGGTTTGGATTTTCGTTACCACCCTTCAGTGTTGGATGACATGTGCACTTGGTCACCGGACATGACGTGCTTTGTCCCTGGATTGGGGCAAACCCGGAGCAAGCCGAAAGCCGAGCTCTGCCTCAGCCTCGGACTGCCGAAGTGTGGCGGCGCCTGAGGCCGGGAAGTCGTTACCTCGAAAGGGTTGCTATGTAGGGGCCCGACAAAAAAAAAACACATCACTCATGTTTGTTTGAACAACAGCATGGAATCTGTATATATGCACCAAAAAACACTAACAACAACTGGAAAATTATCAATGAATTACTTTTGTGTATGTGTACGTATGTAACAATGAAACAAACGTGCTTGAAGCATCCTTCAACACAATCTTAATCATTAGGGCCCCAGGAGTACCATGGGGAAAGTCCTGAAGCAGGGTTCGACCTTCAATCTGCTCCTCAAATAGAACAAGGACCTCTTGAAGAGGGCTGCTTTGGGACTCCCTTTCAGCACTTATGTAGCTTATACACACACAAGTTGTCCTGATGCACTCGTGACCACAAAATGTGGATGATGAAATTTCCGGAAGAACAGAAAAGAGCAACAGTGTTGCGTGAGTCCTTCAGTTTCCAACTTGTTGGGACCAAACGTGGCAATTCGAAATCACGATTAATTTGCTATTCAAATATTTGTTAGTCCAGGTTTATCGCGAGTAAACCAATCAGGCACCATGGCACAAGCTGGTCTTCTCAAGATTCCCAGTACTCTGCTTGCAACATTCAAGGAACCCAGCATCGGAATTCTAAAATCAAACATTGGCGATTGGCAAGGCATGCGACAAAGGCCCGCAGGCCTGGCCTGAACCGCCCGCGCTTGCAACTCTTGGCCAGAGCAAAATAAAGAGGTCTTGTGTTGAAATTACGGACCCACGCAATGCTTGGTTCCATTGCGGTTTCCCTTTAGAGCCATCCAGAAAGAGGTTTGCCACAGCGCCCCGGCTGGATTTTCTCCCAACTCGACCGGGGGCAGCTTGGCCCCACTGGGGCTCCGTGCGAAGCAGATCCTGAAGCCGGCTTGGCCCTAAGAGCTTCCCTAAGAGCTTCCCGAATCCAGCCCGCAAGAATTGTGGGTGTCTAGGTCCTCCAGTAGAGAGGTTAGAATAAGTGTACCCTATTTTTTTCTGTAGTCTATTTTAGTGGGGGAACCCTCCCCCACAAAAGGGTAGAAAAACACTACCCTTCCCTAGTTCTAGTTTGAGGTGGTGGGGATAAAGCCGACAGTAGTGTCCAGAATTGTTCGGGGGAATCGTTGCAGGCTCTCATGATGCTCGACGCTCTCTGGCAAAAGCGCTGAGACAATCCGGGAAACGCTACCAATCCCGCAGTGCAGTCCTGCAATACCCTCTCTTGGGGGCTAGGGAATGGCTACTTAAGAGTTCTGCGGCAGGACTGGCGTGCGCTATACAACCTGACAGTGGCTCACCAAAGCGCAGACACAACTTTCTTCAGTCATTGCCGCCTCACTACAAATGAAGGACACCGAAACCGAAACGGCAAACACGTGGGACTGTCGCACATCAAGATTCCGATCCCAACTGCTACGGAATCCGTTCCCATACGGGTGGCTTCCTTAAGCTTTACCCTTTACAACCCCGGGCCACCGAAAGCGGAAATCACTCGGGAGCCCTCCCAAACCAAACCCTCGCTTCCCTTCTTTAGAGCAATCAACTGGGAGTCACAATGGAACCTACCAAAGCAAACGGGGAAAAACATGGAAGCAGCCCACTGGGTGTCCGGGGAAAAACCGCCCCAAAACCGCCGAAAAAAAAGGCGCCTGCTTCTGCGTGAGCTCCTCTCTCAGCTGCCCGAGGCGCAATTGATGGGCGGCCTGGCAGACAGAATTCCGCGCTTGCGTCCTGTTGGTACCCCATGGGAGGGTCTTCCTTGTGGTTTCCCTTACCACACACCCATATTGGTTCGCAGTGGAAGGGGGATTCACACATGTATGAAGCATCCCTTGTGGCGTGAGGGGTGTTTCCTAGTTTCATTCCCTGTTGAATCCTTCAAGCTCCTTAGAGGAACCTACAACCCCCCCCAAGACCTTGGATCAATAGGCCTTCTCAGTGTGGAAGCAGCAAGTTGCGAAGTTGCGCTTGCCTGGACACCGGGATCACTAAGGGGCAACCCAAACATTGGCCACAACCCTGTACTTGATGCTGGTCGAAAGGTAAACGGTCGCATTTTAAAGAGAAACCACGCCCAAGAAACCTTCAGAGCTTCCCTGAAATCTTCATACCGGCCCATGGATGAAACCAAACTTACCACAGAGGAGAACCCAACACACCGCTGAGCAGGTTGTCCCTCGTACAATTGGCCTAGCTGAGCTGGGAGTATGAATTACTTCCATCTGTATGCTCAGGGCCAAACCCTGAAGCACGGTGAGCTCATGTTACCGTCAGAGCTCACCATGCAACAGGCAGGTCCCATTTCCATTGGGGGATCAAGCCTTAAAATGATGCACCTCTATTCATCCAAACAACTTCGACTCCGCACAAAACTAGCCAATGCAAAACCCGCCTATCCCGCGCGAAACCTGACCCGGATAGATGTTCTTCCTCCAGGGACAAAGTGGGTTCGATGTTGGTCACGGTATCGTAAACAAACCATGATTAGAGTTAGGCCCAGTTATAGCATGTATATTTTATTGTTTGCTTCACTTTGAGCCCTCGTAAAATGTAAAATGTATCCTAAGGCTACCCCAGAAACACGCTAAGAACTCAGAAGCCTCGTCACTGCTCTTCCCCAGCCTCCGCCTCAGCCTTAGCGCTTTGTGCGGGCAGCAGCTGCCGGAGACGAACCTGAGGCGCATGCTTAGCACCTGGTCCCTGGCCTGCCGGTGACCCCAGTGCACAATTCCCGGAGATTCCTTTTTGGTCTTAATTTTCCGCCTGAAGAGCTATGCTCTCCTGTATCTCAACATGGAACCACAATAACCCTCCCCAGGTTTGGGCATCTTAAAATTGGGGGACCCCATTGAAGATCATACGAATTGATGGCCAGAAATTAAATGTTCACTTCCAAGAAAGCAGGTGGCTTCAAAAAACGGGCTGGCTGTCCTCCACCGATGATGGCAACTCAACACCCAAGTCACCAAAGTGTTCCTTTCCCAAGCAACCCCTGCCGTATGGACGAGGCCCCTTCATGCATTTGGCTTTGATTGAAGTTCTTCCCTCAGCAGATCTCGTGAGGATCGGCTCCCCAACTAATACGGCCGAAAAAATCCTCACCAATGTCAAAGCCCAAAAGCCCAGAGTAAATGATGGGTGCAAAACCGGGGGGAGGCTTTCGAAAAGTCACCCATCCATGCCCTTCCTCTCGCAAATGGACGATTATGGATTTCTTCAGGCATGTCAACTCCAGAGGATCGTGCTACTTAGGACATGATCCTCTCATTCGTCCTGAAAGTGTGCCATGGTCCAAACTGCGGATCTGCAGGTCATGGTCAGGGTTCTCTTGATAAGATACAGAATCGCTCTCCCCTGCACCACTGAGCGCATCCGTGACATTGCCACGCAAACCAAGTGAAGCGCTGTGAGCCTTCTCCTGGCCGCCTCCCTCTTTTGAGGGGCCTATAGAAGCCCCCCTTTTGGCCGGTGTTTCAGGGGAAAACCCAAAGGAAAAGCCGTCGAGCCATCCCGGGGCTCCGCCCCCAGGTTGAAACAAAACTTCTCCTCGACTCGTGGACCACGCGGCCTGGCCTTCAGCGCCATGAGGTTGGTCTCCTCCGACCTCTGGGACGAGCTGTGGCGGTGGCGCAAAAAAATTCGGAAATGTCCGACATGGGTTGCCCTGGTAGGTGGAAACGTGGACCAAAGCCTGCGGTTTGCCCCCTCCTGATGAAAATTTTGAGCCACAGTTATATGTGGGAACCTCAGATTAAAAAGCCTGTCCGCCTTAGTGCACGAATATGTGACCCGCAAAGGTGACATACTATGAAAAGCACTTCTAAACCAACCCAGGACTAAAGCTATGCCGAAATAAGATTAAGCCAGCAAAACTGAATGAGATTCACTTAGGCACTAAGAGCCAAAATTATGTACTTCTCGTCCTTCGGTGAAACAGCCATAACAAATGTTCAAGGAATTGGCGAAGCAAAGCCCCATGGAGTAATGACCGAATGTGTCAGGGTTGAATGTGCCAAGAAAGGCTCCTGCTTAAGTCATATCTCGCCTTGGTGGACGATCAGGGCCAGAAACTATCGACCCATGGTTGGTTGAAAGACCTAAGCAAGACCAATGCAGTGAAACAATTCTAAGCTAGGACTGGTCAGTACGAAGCAATACTACACCAATGATCAACGTACAAAAACTAAAGACGAAACCAGTACTGAATACTAAGCAGCACTGAGCAAGCTCAGAACATTACCAAACCAATACTTGCAGCATGACTAATTACTTGGAGAAGCCCGGGATCGACCCAACTTGTTTTGGGGTGCGGAGGCGGGCTTTTTTCTATTGACACCCCAATCGTTCGGGGACGCCCTTTACTATTAGTCTAAAACAGACCACCCTGATCATGTCAAGGGTTGTAACCCCCTCCAAACGCGGCAAAAAATAGGACGAAGGTCACATACTGTGGCCAATCTCCGTGCGGCTGTCCGCCTGCTCTGTTTTAGCTTGTCCTAAACAACACACCAGTTCATAGCTGTCAGAAAAAAACAACATGTGATACCAAAGTGGAGCATCCCTCAAAGATGATTCCCTTGGAGTCACAGACGGTGGCAACGTGAAGCCACAGCAATCTGGGCAAACTACTAATGTCGGCGCATGATTTAGCTAAACGCGCCCACAAGGATTGGCCAAAAGACCTCTGTTATCCATGTTTGTGTATTTAGAATTATCTTTTTTTTGAAAGAAGGCACCTCTCAAAAACCCCTCAGAACAAAGATGTCCCTTTCCGGCAAACATGTTGTGTTGCTTTTAAACGAATCATGTTCCCCCATTATAAGTAAATAATCCTCATTGATGAGCCCCTGAGTCCCTAAGCTTGTTCTTTTCACAGTAATCACAGTATTTGTTGCAGAGCTATCACCAAATGTGGTTGATGCACATGTACTATATATATATATATACATGCATATTATGTCCAAGATGATGCAGCTGGGTGAAGACTGGCCTCTGCCTTCTGGGTGCCCAGCTGACACTCGTCTCTAACTGCGCCCAGCTCCTGCGATTCGGGTTCAATTTCGGACAGGTCGTGGAGTCGGTACAGTCGCAACCATTTTTCTAGTGTGTGTGTGTATGTTTGAACCCGCAATCAACAATTGTGGCATCCCCTTTGGTCCCCCCAAAGGTAGAAAAGGTCGGGGTGTGTTTTTGTGAGGGTACTCCTTGGGAAGCCCCAAGGAAAACCCTCAAAACCCGTCGCAATGTCCAAAACTGAAGAGAGAGCCTTGCGAACCGAGACCCGAAACCTTTCCGGAACCTTCCAAAACGAAGCTGCTCCCCACTCCATCGGATAGAGAAACCAGTCCGGACAAAGGCAAATGGCTTTCAACAGGATAGATCCTGCCCCTTGTTCTAAATGTTTAAACTTGAACCTCATTTAGTTTGCAACTTACATCATGTTGGTTTCCCGCTTGGGGGGCGGCAGGGTCTGGCCGTTCAGGACATGGAGCAGTTTTTTACCCACGCCCGACTGAAGAATGTCAAAAGGAAACACCCTCAACAAAAGGGAGCATTAGAGGTCTGGGTCGTGGAAAATAGCCGGCCTCTGTGATGCTAAAGTGGGCCCTCCCCATGACCACTTTATCACTGTAAAAAAGAGGTTCTCTTGGAATCATCCGACAACTATGCCCAAAGCCCATGCACGTGGTACCAACATTATACAGGCTTGCAGTAGGCATTTCTGCAATCCAACATCAGAACCCCCAACCTCAACTTTCCACTTTCACTTCTTCCGGCTTTCCTTGAGGAGCCCTAAGCAACCATAAACCACGAGAGAACCCCAGAAGCGATTTTCAGCAAGGCGCCGCGCATCCCTCCCGCGCGCCTGCAGCGTGCTGCCAACCCCCGAAGAGAGCTGGCGGTGCGCGGTTTGCACCGCCGCGAAGTTGGCCTGGCGCTCGAAGGAGGCCTTGTCTTTTTTTCTCATAGAAACACGCCCATGCGTTTGTCCTCTTTTTAGGGGAGGCCCCCAAAATGATGGTTTTCCTTTTGGTTTCCCTTCAAAACCGCCAAACAAAGGGTTTAAAAAGACAAGACACGCCAAAGTGTTCGTAGGCGAAACTTGACCCGACGGTATGTTTCATCTACAAACAAGCGCATCACAGTTTACGACTAAACTGAAATGGTTGCAATCGCGTCACCTAATTTTAACTGTGTCCCCAAATGAATTGGACTTAAACCCCTACTGCTGAAAGGAACCGCGTTGGTTGAATATTTGCTTTGGTGGCAATCAAACAGAAAAGGATGGTGTGAACTGCCAATTGTTCAAAAGGGGTCCGGACAAAAACAACACAATTCGCTTCAAGCAATCTCCAATCAACCCCCTGCAAACCCCAATATACATTTGTTGAAACAAGAGGGGGTGGCCGGAACCACCCTGAAAAACCCACCCAAGAAGAAACTTCCTGGAAAAAGTGCCCAGAACCACCGCAAAACACTGGTGTTTCATGCTTTAACTTTGCCCTTGTCAAACCTCTTCTAGCTGGAACATATGTGCTTCTCCTCGTTGTGGTCGGCATTTTTCCGTTGACACCCAGAAAAGAAATGAAACACAACAACCACGGGGAGAAACACTAGGTCCTCCAGTATTGAGGTTAGAATAAGGGTACCCTTTTTTTCTGTAGTCTATTCTAGTAGGGGAACCCTCCCAACCAAAAAAGAAACGGTCAAAGTTGGCACCAATTGCTGGGGGACCTGCCCCTCGCGCGGACGTTTTGGTGCCCAGAGGTCTCAACGCTGCGAACCGCGCGGAGCTCCGCTGCCTCCTCAGTGGCCAAGCCGTGGGCTCCTCGCGCGGCACGGTGCTGGAGCTGCGCTTCCTGACGGAAGCTCTCGTCGGGTGGCTGACCTCCAACTAAGGTGGGTCGTGTTTTACGGGTCCAGTGAATCGGGAGGTTTCCACTTTTGGAGGAATTCCAACAAAAGGAAAATAGAGGAACACTGGTATAAGAGAATTCGGGGAATCGGAACTCTGGATCTAAGCAGAACTGGTAAAATCAGTAGAGGGAACACCACTCTATTGATAGGACGGATTTCTGAAGCCGGGGTCAACATTGAAGGGAATTCTACACCTGATCCTTGTTTCTTGCTTCTTCTTCTTCTTCTTTTCTTGGGGAGGGGGGGTTATTTAGAAATCATTTCCTGCATAAATTCCTGTAGTCGGCTTCTATGAGGATCGTTGCCTGGTATTCCCCAGCCCCGGAACCCCAGACCCTGCTCCGAAACAACTGGAGTCCCAGGCCAGTTGCCTGACCAGCGCACACTAGACCTGTTTTTGGGAAATCCCCTGCCTCAAGTGAAGTGACACTCGTTGCATGTTCACTACACACACCTGGACTCTCCATGACCCTTCAAACACAGGCCAATGACCCCTTTTTGGGGCATACTGACCCCATTTTCTTCAAAGGGTTATGGCCCTCCTTTTGTTCAAGGGACTTACTTTTTGCGGGGGGTATCCCCAGCAAAATCCCGTTTTTGGAACCCTACCTCGCATCCAAAGCACGGCCACAACCCCAGGGTCGCGATGGAACTGCGCGCCTTCTTCTGCACCTCCGTCTTCTTGGCTTCCGCTTCCCAGCAGCCTCCACAGGATCCCTCTCCTCTTGGACACTGGAAGGGCCAAAGGTCAGAAACCATCAAATGGTTGCTTTCTGCTCCCTTGCAACAAAAAAACACACAAAACACTTTTAGTGGTTTGATGGAAAACCCATTAGTTGGCAAAAGTTAAAGTCCTAATATCCAAGCAAAATTAATCAAAGATCACTTAGCATACCCAGGATACCCACCCGCTAGCTACAAATTTCACAAGTATGGGGATTTGCAAGGCCGTAGGCAATTCTCAATGTGATTGCGGGATACTTTGAAACCAAACTTCATCACGATCAAAGGAAGCTTGCCAAATGCTTCCGCATTACTCTTTCTAAGTTTGGGTTCAAGGGAAACCAAAAGGAACACCACCAATAGGTTATTAGGGTGTGTCTTGTGTTGATGCTACCCTTTTTCATTTTGCGGGGTGTCCCTAAAACGACAAACATGACACAGGGTCCCCGAAAAATGACACACCCATCGGCGCAGCCCGTACCACTAATCGTGACACCGCCCAGCCTGCGCGCGCGGCCTCAAGCTCCCGGCTGAGGCGGAGCTGAGCCGTGCGCCGCACCTGCGCTTTGACACACCGATCGACGCCCCCCCCCACCACTGCTGTTTGGACACAACTTTTGGACACAATAAAAAAGCAGTTGTTGTTTTTTGGGTAGTGGTAGTTTGTTCTAGGTTCCAGGAAAAAGCAAACACAAACAAAAACGACGTACTCCATATGGTATGCGATTGTGGAAGACCTGTAGGTTTGTTGATCCTTGCTCAAAGTGCTCCAGTTTGCGCGGGATGTGTCTTCAATTTCTCGAAACTCTAAAACAAATAGAATAGAGGTCGAAGGGTATGGCTGGAAACTGCCAAGCAAATCGGTAGATAGAAGCCGTGGGCCTCGGAAAGGACAAGGGAACCTTCTTGCTTGGGTGGAGCTACACACGCTTCTCTTCAAGGACGAACCCCATTCTAGAGGCATCAACTTGCTTAAACACAAGGATCTAATAACTGCTTTAAAACGCCTTGTTGATGCTTCGCAAGCCACGCGATTTTTAGGGGATCTACATCGGCGTGAAGGTGTGATTCTGGTCCATATCCCACTTGTAACCATGGTTGCAAGTTACAAGCCACTTACTAAGTTGATTGAACACCAAAGTAGGTCGGGAACGGTTCCCGTGCCTTCAAACTGGACATTTGGCTGTGGGTCAAAAATTGTGCCCAAAATGGAACCCTGCCCCTGGTGGTTTAATTTTGACCCATACCATCCATACCCATTTAAGGGCCTGAAGCGATCCATTTCCCACTCCCATCCTGCTCTTCCTGCCGCAGCTCTTGCTCCTCCCGGCGAGCCGCCGCCACCTGAGCCGGGCGCGTTTTAAGGCAGACCCCGTATTTGGTCCGTGTTACCCTTTGGTTCCCTTCAAAACCGACCCCCCCCAAACCAAAGAACATGTGTTTGAATTGTTTGAAAAGAAATGAGTTCCAAGAAATCCCAGGGACCGAAGGGAAAGAAAAACAATCTGTGTCTGTCTCGCGAGGGCCTCTTGCAAGAGTTGGAGCACACCGGATGCCCCTAGGTTCGGTTTGCGACACATCCCCAAGGCATCTTTGATAGGGTTGGCTGCAACACCAAACGAGCGCCGTTCAAAGGAACAACAAAAGGAAACAAACCTTTGGCCCCAGCTAAACGAATCGACAAGTCGAAGCCAAACGGTGAACACGGGATTACTTGCGGGTGCGTTTCCCCGAAGAGAAGCATCCCATCTTAAAAGCACACCGCCCAATTAAACAAGCAAACAGCTGGTAGTCCGGGTTTCCCATTCACACATCCCCTTGAACGACTGCAATAAATAAACGTTCTGTGCAGGGCTGCAGGAACTGCAAACAGCAGGCCTTCGGCCTATGTGGCTGTGGGTCAAAAATGGGTACCCAAAATGGAACCCTGGTAAATGGAACCAAGGACTAAAACCTGCGGTCCCCTGGTGGTTAAATTTTGACCCAAGCCCATGTGTGCTAAAGTCAAGACTCATGGTCAAGGTTTTGTGAATACGAAGCTTTGCATTGAATTGGTGGTCTAAAAACCCTAGTACCAACCAAGTAAAAGGGGCGGTTGATCATGGCACGTTTTGCAGCCTCGCAGCGCAACACCAATACACGCACAGGTTTTTTTCACGTGCATGCCAAGTGCCTCCTCACCGGGCAAGGCAAAAGACATAGACGGCTACGGAGGATGCCCAAAATAATGCAAGGGAACAAGTGAAACCAAGTAATTTGCCGCAATCTAGCCGCCAAAGGGGCGGGGCTGTGGTCGGATGTGGTAATTGCACCAAAGAAAAACATTCAAAGCACTCACCTCATTGCGCTCATCTCCGCTCCAATCTTGTTCTGACTCAAGCAGTATGTCACCAATGAGCCACACTGCCATACTGGACATATCCATTTCCATCAACTCTAGTCCCGCACCGGAGTACTCATTTTGGATTAATCCCGAGGACCGAAAGGTCAGAGGAATTCCCTACAATAGCTCATGCCCTTAAACAGGGAACCACCCCTGATTCCTTGGGTCCTCCAAATCAATCCGAATGGTTGGACAGGCCCGCGTGCCCCAAACTGCCGCTGTTAAAAGAAAGCTTCTCTGCTTCACGCATGATCTGACACGATGTCCGCAAAGCTGTCATGGCATCCTTGCGGTGCACGATCACAAAGCCCTGCATCTGTGTCTGAACCCTTTCTGCCGAAAGGGGCCGCCTTTATGGCTCTCTCAGGTGGACACTGCGAGATGGCCAGGAAGAATGTCCGCGTCGCAGCCTACCTTGCGAAAGCCCTGCTCGAGTGGCACATTGCAGCACCCACCCCGCTGGCTGTCGTTCAAGATCTTCGTGGTGGTGCTCAGCAGCACCATGCCGGAGTGTCTTCTCTAATTAACGTCAGCTAACCAGACCGACTTCGTGCAGCACAGCGCACAATGGGTATATGAGCCCTTCTGACTCAACTGCGCTCGACAAGGCACTGGCAACGCTAAGGGTACAGCATGGTCTGTTACCCTTGCAATGGAAACAAACATTGTTTGCTTCCAAGAGCAAGACGCGGTTCCTCGACAAGTCGGAAAGGGGTCCCTAGCTTTTTGAGCAGCCGCCGCCAAATCCCCAAAGGAATCTCTGCACGGCAACCTAAGGACCAAAGATACAAAATGCCTGTGGCCCAGCCACAGGAAACGACTCGGTAGGGTCTTCCCTCCACGACATGATTTCTCAAACTCAAGGGACCATGTATGACATGAAACCCGGCAAAATTTGGTAAATCACAGGGTTGTCCACTTTCTTTAACACAAGGTGATACCCTTGAGAACTGAGTGCAACAAAACGGCCAAAAATGGGTTCGGCGCCCTGAATTGACTCGTTGAGTTGTAGCAGGGCCCCTTTTTTTGGCAACAGCCAACACCAACTAGGTCCTCCAGTAGAGAGGTTAGAAGAAGGGTACCCTTTTTTCTGTAGTCTATTTTAGTAGGGAACCCTCCCAACCAAAAAAGAAACGGTAAAAGGGCACTTTTGGGGGACCTAGCCAACCGCACACCACTTTGGGACCCCGGCCTCCTCCCGTAGCGCGGTACGCTCTAAGGAAGTGCTTTGCAGGCATTCCTGACGCTCAGAGCGGCCGGAGCGCGTGAGCCAAATGTGGGATACCCGGCCAAGAAACACTGCTTGGCGCAACGGTCCCTGTTGGAAGCCAACTTTCTTTTTGGGAGGAGCTCTACAAATGCAATCCCCTGCATGGTGGTTTCACTTTGATTCCTCTTTCGTGCAACACATGCCAAGAGTAGGGGACCTTTTGGGGGACGTTGTGCCAGGAAGCCAGTCGTAGGGGTCCAGCTGGGTGTGTCCTACACATACAACCCCCCCACTTTCTGAGCTTGACGACCCACATAAACACTCAAAACGATGAGCAAAGCAATCCCCGTTGACTGCGAAAACAACCCACGGTTAAAAAAACAATCTAAGTTCAAATCCAAAGCAGTTCAACCACTTACAGTCACCACCCCCCCACCCCCACCCCCCCACCACCCCTCCCCCCAAGCCCCCCCGTCCCGCCCCAAACCCCCGCCACCAGCGGCCGATCCATCCGCCTGCAAAGCCTCCGCCTCGCTCTTGGCGCCGCTGAGCAGCAGCTGCAGCTGGCCCTTCCGCGCCTCCGCGGAGAAGGCCTCCGAGCGCCGGGAGCTTTGCGAATTGTAAACCAGTTTCCCTGCAACCGCTTGGTGATAAGGAATCTCAACACCTGAGTTTACATCTTTGTGCAGGCTTTTGCGCTACCTCTGGGTTTTGGGGCACCTTCCTGGCAGCTCTTGCCAGCTTCCTTCTGATGGGTGGTTTTGGATTGGGAGGTGGGGGGATCATTACCCTCAAGATCCCAAAATTGAGGGCTATCTGACTAGACAGGACTCGATCGCTTGCAACAAAGGCCAATCATGTGTGTAGCATCCGATTTCGGATGTCATCCAACAAGCGGCTCCATTTTCCGGGACATCACCATGCCCCCTGGTTGTCTAGTCCAACGTCAAGAGAGGATATTACACCAGCTCCTAACGAAAGATGGGACTCAGAAATTCCGCACTCACAAGCTGGTGTCTTGGTGGACAGCTCTTGCCGGGACCAAAACAAAAACAGCACGAGAAAGGTTGGGGAAGCTCTCTCCTGTTCTATGCTTCTAGTCTTGGCCACAAGTCGGCAAAACAAATCATACATTTGAGGGAATTCAGATTATCTGCCCCACCCCCTGAAACAAGAAAGGAACCTTCCATCTTACGCGGGGGCGCTGTTCTCAAAACAACCACGCACTGTCTAGAGCTACACTTACCAAATACGCCCACAAAGGATTTCCTGATTGGCAGAGAAGACCAGGAGTTCAGCAGAGAACTGCAGAGAACTGATCATCCCCTTCCTGACCGGTCTTAGGCGTTGATTGCACGATACATCAGCTCGTTGCTTCCAGCTTTCGAGAACACCACTAGCATTCCAAACATTTGCTTGACATCCTGCCGTTTCAATCATTGGACCTCTGGGTCCCAGCACACTCACAAAACGACTACACAAAAACACACTCTCCTCTGTAGATTGTCACTGATCACAGAAAGAAAACTATGGGAGCTCCATCTTCATTCGTAGGCGAGGAACGTGACATGATCAAACTAAAGACGCCATCCCTCAAAAGGGTGGCAGGTGGATTCTGGTTGGGCACTTGTTTGGCACACAACTAAAAGTACAACATGTTGTTTTGGTGTCCCTTGAAATCTCCAGGGAGACCAAGGGTTAGTTGTTTTCCCCCACCTCCAACCTCCCACCCCCCCACCCCCCCCTTCCAAGGGCCTCCTCGCTGGCCCTCTGGGCATTGTGCCTCCGCAATGCCTCCGCCTCCTGCTGGGTCTCCAGGGAACCTCCAGATGCCACCGAGACGCGAGCTGCGAGCGGCTGGGCTTGGCACACGGAGCTGGGGATGGGTCCAAGGACGACCAAGTTTGAACTCAGATGCCCGGTGGATTTCCGTAGGGAAAAAAAGGGCACCCTTTTTTGTTGGTTGAGTTTGAAGGGGAACCCTTACCCAAAAAATGGAAAAAAGGGCACCACTCGGAAGCCATTTTAGGGGTTCCCCGATTTTGAGACCAACCCCGGCCAGAAAATTGCTACATGAGCTGGAACCGTTCGTTAGAACTTGTTTAGGGTCCCCTGGAACTCTTTGGGCCTTGACGAACATGAGGAACCCCACCCAAAGCTTCAAGCGCGCCAATCGAACACGTCGACTTTGTGGCGGCCTGTGGGAATCCCCCAAATTCGCCCAGTGTCCTTTCCTTGGTTGCTGTTGACCCTGCAAAAGCTTAACTTTTTGGGGGTTTAGTGGAAAACCCCTTGATTTCCCAAAAAGTTAAAAGTCTAAAGATCCAACCCAATAGCAGTCAAGTTCCTTTAGAACCAAACACATCCTTGAAAAACACAAGGTGTCGTGAACGGAATTGCCAAGTCTGCAAGCTGAAGGCCCCGTGGGCCCCTGGCCGGTCAAGACCGTTAAAAAGCACCCCTTAAAACACACACGGTGTGTGAACGAAATTGCCAAGTCTGTGACAAGCTAAAGGCTCTGTGGGTCGCTGGCTGTTCAATTCCGCTATAGGAGAGCGCCGCAGACCGCAATGCATCCGCAGGCTGGTCTAAATCCTCTCTGGTGTATGCGGAGGGGCTCTGGCCATGAATTGGAAATCCACATTGCTCCCCAGGCTCGTGGTAAACCATGAATCTGAGCACTGGCACATGGCCCCATGGCCATGTTTTCAAGCTGTCGTTTTTGTCGTCACCTGTCAGTTCGTTGTCATACTGAACACAAGTTGCACTGGAATTCTGGTCACAATGTGAAACCCAACATCTGTTCGAGCATGAACAGCCAGAGGTTGACAAGGCTCCGTTCAGCATGTCCAAGTGAGAAAGGGCCGGATCCCTCTTTCTGCCTGAACCGGGAGGTAATGTCAGCACACGACCTTGAGCAACTTCTTGTTGTTTGAACGTTCTATTTTGGTTCAAAGACTTGGCGGACTGGCTGACGTATTTGCCAAGGCCCACGTGTTGCGCTTCTTGCCAACCTGATGGTTGGAAACGGGATTGGGAGTTACTCGTACTCGAACGATCTATCATTTTGAGGAACCCCCCAAAAAACAACAAGCAAGCAAGTTCTTACCTGTCGCTCGAATTGGGTGGTTTCGCGTTGGCACCCTTGACTTACATCTCCAAAAGGGGTTCGGACATAGGAGCACTGGTAACGAACTCGAAGAAAAATCCTTTTTGAACGGGTGGCTTATTTTCTGAACAAAAGGGGTAATGTTGACCCGGGCCCAGTTTATGAGTAGGGGGGTGTCTCTGGGTTTGGTGGGGAATCATCACTTTTGGAGGGGAACAAAACCATGTTAATAAACAGGGGTTGATTTATCCGGGGTCGACATTACCAACACGAGCTCCAAGACCGCTGGCTGCTAGTCGTCCGCCGGGTCTCCCCGGCGCCGCTGCATGGCGGTGTGGGTGCGCAGTGATGCCAGGCGCGCCGCGAGGGCGCTGCCTGGCGAGCGGGCTGCGAAGAAACCCGAGGGACTGATCCCTTGGCCAATGAGAAAGGGCAAGGCAATGGGATTGGGGGTCCGGGTACTTCGGTGTGCGTTACCGGGTTGGTTAGCCACCTTGGTCAAAGCGAACGCCAAGGGGCGTATAAGTGGAGTACTAAACCCAAGCACCTGCCCCCTTGACCCTCCAGACAACAATGTTTGAATTCCGGCTCTCTTTGAGAAATTGTTCCAAGGAATGGCTACCCTTTTCCATTTTCAAATTAAATGTTGGCATCCCCGCCCAGGTAACAAGGAGCTGGTTTCCAATGCTGGTGTAGAGGATAAAGGGACGCACGTCAAGAGGAATTTCATAGAGGGTTTGTGCAACTATAGAATCCCGTGGTAGTTCAAACAAACGGATGCATTGACGTGCCCCAGGAAGGCCCTTAACAACTTGAGGACCAAATTTTTGTGGGCGTGAACAGAGACACCCATGTGTTTTACAGTTTGCCAACAGTTCGCCTCTCCCTACCCGCCAAAAAGAGCTCCACAGTGTCCAGAAGGAACAAAAGGAACAAAGGACACAATTTGCTTTTCTATTGGTTGCAGTGATTTTTAAACAAGCCCGGCGTCCCCCAAAGAACAAAAACCACAGCTCATCACCAGTCTACGTGCTACCGTAAAACCTCCGGGGCAGCACGTCGGTGGCGCGGCCCGCCTTGGGCGCGACACTCGGCCGCCTCGTGGGTTTGCTCGGCCAGCGCGGCCTGCGGATCGAGTCCAGGCTGGGGGTGGTTGCGGGGTGGGTGGAGCGTGTGGGTTGGTCGGGGACGGTTTCCCTTTGACGGGCCTTGCCAAATCATGTCACACAACTCCATGGCTCATCTGCTTCCAACATCTACTGGTGGATGTGTTTTGCTGAGTGTATGCCTTTTGAAGGGAAGCCAAGTGGAACACCCATTTGAGGGTTCCATTTAAAAACTCAATCTGGTGTTCCTGTCCTTCTCTCAATGGATCCCTCACGCCGGCGCCTGCAGGCGGCTGACTCGCTCTGTTGGCCTGGCGGAATCCATTATGAACCACAACTCACCTGAACCCCTTGCAATGGACCCCGTTTCTTTCTACGACCCACCAAACCAGGGTATAAACGCACTTTATGTCACAGTCGCAAGCTGGAATTACACGGGCCTACCCAAAAGGCGCAACGCCAAAAAGAAAAGCTGCATGGGACTGTTTCCCACCTTCACATACACAGTGTTGTGATTGTGCCGCAAAGCTCCCGATCTTGATCCCTTCAAATGGCTTTTGTTCAAGGGCCCATGAGGGGCAATTATTCGCCCTTGGCGAGCCCAGTCTCAGTGGGGGACCTGGTTTCCCCATAAAATGGAACCAACAACAACGCACACCTAGATGCACATCCCTCGATTTGTATACGAAGGTCCAATCACATGCAATTCGCTCGCAATATGTAGCCCAATCAGAGCCACCCCGGCGACAAGGGCTCTGGGGATTGTACTTAAACCTCATTGAACAGGTATGACATTTTGCAGATGTCTTTTGCGCCGATCATCACCATTAAGCTGAGTAGTTACTGGGTTGGTCTTCGATCCCTCCAACAAGTTGAACTGCTCGTGAGCTAGTGGTGACACTAGCAATTAAATTCCCAAAGAGATAACACATTGCGTATAACCTGTGTATGCTGTCAAATATGTATATATATATATATATATACATATTTACATATGTCGTGCCAAAGACCATTCCTGGGAAGTGATCATGGTTTAGAGCCCTCACAAAGCATTGCCACGGAGGCATGTTTCCCAAATCAGGGGCCTGCTTTTTGAATTTTGGATGCAACATTAAACAGCTGCGAATCAACAGGAACGCAAGGCGGCCCCCTACATGGCCTTGGGTACATGGAGGTCACAAACCTCTGCGAGATCCCTTTTAGAACCGAGGCCTGTCTTTTGAACCCCTTTCTAGGAACAACAAAGGGACTCCCTGCAAAAGAATAGCTATGTGTGGGTCAATGTCTGTTCCAAAGAGGAAATTGGCAACCAGTGCTCCCTTGATTTATTGAAAGTTGCTGCCTTCTTGAGGAAATGCCTTGCAGCAGCCCACAACGAACATTCCAGGCCCGAAGGGACAACAAAGAAAGACAGCAAAAACAACATTCGCAGGTTCTCTAACTGGTAGTTGAACAACCCCCGCCCCCCCCCCAAAAAAAAAAAAAGAAAAAAGAAAAAGAGAGAGCAAAAGCACTATCTTCAGAACCCCTCAACATCCTGGACCCCAACAAGCATTTTTTGTTCAACCTTTCACCCCAACAAACGGCAGGTTCCGCGCTTGACAGGAAGGCTTCGAGCGAGCTGACCGGGGGTGCCTGGAAGCCTCCGCGGCGGCGAGCTCCTCCTCCAGCCGGCCTCGGATTGTTTTTGTTCCATTTTTTTCTGGTGACTCACTTTCCATCTAGTGGATTGGTCAAAACAAGTCCTAAAACTTGTTATTTACAAGAAATGGTCGAAGCCCCGGAAAGTGACAAAGGTCCAGGAACTCAGGAAGTGAGGTGCACGAACCTATGGGTTGTTCTTTTTCGAGAACTTCATGGACGACATCCGGGGGCTTCCCCAAGAAAGCCGGAGGAGAGGATGGTCTCTCAAGTTGCGGGCCCCATTCTGGGACATGGGAATCTGTCAAAATAGGCGGGACGAACAACTATCTGAACAAAATGGTGGCTCTCTTTGCGTTTCCCGTTTCAACCAGCCTAAACAAGCATCAAGGGCAACAAGATTGGGGAAACTGATAGGAAACTGAAAGGTCACCGCACGCATGTGTTATTATTGGGATGGTCCTTAAGCGTCACACGTTCCCAGATTTTGATGGTTCAAGCGGACGAACTGGGCGGGGGCCGATTGTCAGCCTTAAAAGGCATTTTCTTGCACCTGAAGACACTCCCGCCTCAGGTTGCGCCTGGTTTCTGTAGAGTGGAGAGAAACCAGGAAACCAAATTCCTTAAATGAAAACTCGGCGGACTCACAGTAAGAATTGCTTTTCTTCCATGAGAGGAATCCGGCACTGCTGGCAGAATTCTCTTCAATCTGGGCAAACAAACTCATCCATCCCTTGTTGGGTACTTCGGACAACCTTGAACAGCACGCGTCTGCAAATGAGGGCTGCTCTTTCTGACGCTGTTTGGACAAAGGGACATGATTGTGAAACAACACCCCACCCCCCCAGGCCAAGCGGCCAATGACTCACGAGCTGAAGGAACTAGAGGATTCCCTTCACTCAAAAACCAATCTGAAACGAACAATCTTCCATACAGAGCCCTTGGTCACTCACAGCCCTGAAGCGAGTATGCTTCGAACTGGGCTTTGTGAAGGCTCTTCTTGAAACCGCTCAAGAACTCTCACATGCGGTTTTGCCTTGTCTCTCAAGCGAGTGGGTCCCAGGGCACACGGGGGTGTATCCTGCCCATGGCGTGCCTGTTTTTGAGGGCCGGTACCTTGTTGTAAAATGAAACCAACGGGAAACCAAAGGGACACCAAAAACGAAAATAAAACCAAACAACCAATGGATAGTTGGAGACCCCAGAAAATCTCATGGGCGATCTTGGTTCCACGGCACCCTGTTACATGACACAGAATGGGAGCCCTTTTGGTCGACTCCATTTTGGTGTCTGGAATCCATACCACGAAATGGTATACAGGCAGCCACTAACCAGTTTATGACGTCAAGGGCCAACGGACGAACTAATGGCACAGGTATACCTGGACGTTTCCCTTTCACGAACCGCAGAGTCCAGAAATTTGAGAGTGGTCAAATAACATAGGGGGTGGGTGAATGAACACTCAATTTGGTCACCATGCAAACATATTGTCAGTAATTATTCAGTCCCTCACTTGGGTGCTGAAGCTATGATAGCAGGGTAAAATCAGGGGACTAAGCTTGTCCCAGTTATAACCAGGTTGCAACCTAAGCCAAGCTGGTTGCACACCCAAGTACATCCCAAATCCCCAAACAAAGAAAAGGAACCAGGGCACCGGAGGTCGAGATATTGCGCCCTGCACGACTCTCCCCGGGGCCGCAGGCGGCACTGTGACCGGTGCTCCTCCGCTTGCACCTGCGAGGCCGCCTCATCATCCTGGGCTTTCCATGTCACTCCCCCAACAATAGACATCTTAAATGTCTTTTGGCCGGCTGAAATTCTGCCTGCTTTGTAAGGGGTCTGGAACATGTCGAAAATGATCCGTGCTCTGTTGGCTTCCCTTGGAGCGAATTAAATACTCTTTCTATTGGCTATTTAGCACCCAGCTTGGGAGCATGTACCTACGCAATGTCCATCTAACCTGCGCCCCCTTTCCCATGTTGCAGCAAGCAAGCTGCTAGAAATGATGCATAGGCGGGTTGCTTGTTGACATGCGGCCGAAGCTCCCGCAAGAATGGAACGGCGTCATGCCATGACTGTCTGAACGCCTCTCCAGTCCAGTGAATCTGGGGGGGTTGTCTCGTCAAACAGTATGTCTCTGATAAAACAGCATGATTGACTGGAAGTTGAGCTGCGGTCTGCTCATTGCGAAATGATGGATTTTGTTAAAACAATGCAAGCAACAGCAATCCCCATATGCATAGAAATCTCATGAACTCCCGACCTTTCGCCCCAAGGGCGTTGCAGTTGTAGTTGTGCCCTTGTCGTTCCCCAAACGCATCAAAGCGTTGCATGGCTCTCATTGTCTTTCGGGGGAGAGCTTGTCTGGGCGATCCGTGGGTTTCCAGAGGAGTGTGGTAGAAGCACAGCCTAGGCTGGTGGCAGCAGAGAACTTTCTGACCGTCACATCTTTGACTGGCCAATTTGAAACCCACTTTGCCGCTCAAATCAATGCACGCTTTGGGAAAATCTACAAGGAACACATAGAACCAACCTCGTAGACCTTTTAATCCTTCCAAACAACGGGGCTCCCTATGTGGAGACACACCAATGTACGCTTCCCTCACACATGTGTGGCAGTTCCGAAATTTTGTTGCAAGGTAGCAGCCAAGGCCGTTCCTGTCCTGCAGCTGTCTTTGAGCTTCTTCTTCCGCCTGCCGAAACTTGCCAAGCAGAATGAAACATTCACGTCTCCCCTACTAGCTGCCTCAAGGCGAAAGGGAGGGGCGAAGGTACCACGCATCCCAAAAATGTCCAGTCGTTTCAACGGACTGCGAACGGCATCGAAAGTGTCTGTCGCACTCCATGAGTGGATCGGCCTGGCTCAAAATCCTTGACACTCTGCCCGCTGCTTCCAGTGAATTACCACGGTATGTAACCAGCTGTGTCTGTTTGCTTGCTTGCTTGCTTGCTTGCTTGCTTGCTCGCTTGCTTGCTTGCTTGCTTGCTTGCTTGCTTGCTTGTTTCTTTGTTTCGTTGCTTGGTTCTGTGTTTATGCGCTTCTTTGTTTGTTGGTTTGTTAGTTTACTTTACCCCTACATGATGTTCGCCTCGACACCACGAGTTGTAATTGGAAGCCACGGGCTTTGAAGGGTTCTGGTAAACAATGACCAATCTCGCTCCATTGAATCCATTTCCAAGGGCTGTCAGGGTCCCCATATGTCCTTTAACCCGCACCTAGTGAGTTTCCCTTGGGGGAGTACATCTCAGTTGCCCAAAGGACCCTCAATAAAGGTTAACCTTTTGAGACATTGGCTAAAAAGGGATCAACATGCGAAAACCCAACAGGTCGAAATGGTCGAAAGGTCGGTTTTGGACAACTGAGATATAACTTGTGGCGGATTTCTCTTGAACACTAATGGATGACCCGTCGAGGGTGGATAAGCTTCAAGCTACCCGGAGCGTTTGCAGATTTTTGCATGAACCGACCCGGGATTCCGCGCGGGTTTGGAAGAAGCCACACAGGACACCAGTTTGTCTGTCCGGGTTGCTAGGTGTTCACAGAGGCCAGAAGAAAGCTCTGCAGCCACCTGGGCTGTTCAGAATCAATCACTTGTTCATTCTGCCGGATGGTGGATTCGCTTGCTTTGGGATAGCGCAGGCGGATTAGGGATCTCCCCATTTGAACATCCCGCTAAGGGTCAGGATACCAGAAATCCGCCAAAGCGCGCAAACCCCACGAAGAGCAAAGTGATTTGTTTTGCTGCATCTAACAAATCCTGCACACTTCCAAGAATCACCAATTAAAAGCCTTTTGGATTCCATCACAACTTCTAGAGCTATCCCCAACACATTCCCATGCAACCAGGCCAGGTTGCGATTTGTTGAAGCCACTATACAGAATTCGTTGGATGCCCTTTAGTTGGGTGACGACTCCCTTTGGAAGCAACTAAGTCGCATTCAGTGAGCCCAGATGCCCAGTGGCCATGGGAGAAAAAAAGGGAGCACTTTTCTCTGGTTGAGTTTAAAGGGGAACCCTCACCCGAAGAAAAATAAAAAGAACAAAAGGAAGCAACCCACTGGGCAACAGAGAGATAATCCAATGAAACGTCGTATCAACAAAGCAAACCGTTCCCCACCCCCACCAGCCCCCGCCCCTGCCGCCTGCTTCAGAAAGGCCTCCTGAGAGATCAGTTCTTGAACCTCGGCCTGGCGGAAGTGGTCTCTACCCCCACCCCACCTCAGCTTTTGCCCTGGCTGAAAGTAGTCTGGTCCACATTTCGTGAACCCCGACATGTCAAATCAGCTCAAACAGATTTCGGGAAGCACATACCAGCTCTTACTTGGCGCTCAGTTTCTGGGTAGCCTATATGCATATCTGAAAAACAAGAGGAGCCCGGGAACCCAAAAGCAAACCAGCCTAACTTCCCCATGGCATGTGGATCCCGTTGTTTTCCGGCTCAAGGGTCCGAAGGCAAACCAAGATTTAAGTTGTTCACAGTTGGGAAATCAACCCCAAAACAGATGAAGAAGGGGAACAACCGCGACTCAAGCCGGATTGGCAGCCAGCAGCCTGTGCTCTGACCAAGCACAGAGAAAAAGGCAAAGGCACGGGTGAAACATGACAGGCCCCGCACTACATGGAAGGCACGAAGTCATCCGATTCATCATGAAGAACCAATCGCAGAAATCCGAAAATGGATCCGCACAAACTACCACTCCCAAATTAGAAGCAAGGCATAAGCTCGCTCTACACCCATCTGAAACAAGTCTGAGACACGGTGTTACAACACGATCTGAGTAGACCGGGGTCAGCTGTTCGGATGTTCATGCGCCCTTATGTTGGGGCCGAGTGTGCTCAGCATATTCATGTCAACGTGCTTCCAGGCTGCTTCCAAATAAGTAGGGCGAGTCCCAAGAGGCCACAGACTCTGAAGAGAGGGTTCGTCCTAGAAACACATTGGCGCCATTTGTTCGGGTCAGGTGCGCGGCAAAAAGGACAATTTTGGCGTGCCTGGAACGCCGGGCTGTTCACATGGAGCCGTGCACGTGGCCTTCACAAACTTGCTTTGTAAGCTTGCTTGGATTCGTTAGTTTCTCCACCTATTTTCCTATCGCAACCAATGGCAACTGGTGACTTTGTGGAAAGGGCCGCGCACGTTGTCAATTGGATGCGTGTGGATGGCAAGTTAAGGTGGATTCGCCGCAGGTGTGTGGAGACGGGGCCGGCGCTGCGCTTTTGCGGGGGGCTCGGTGTGGACAAGCCTCGATCACTTGGTGGGTCTGACGCCTGTCTGAAACAAGTCTGAGACACAGTGTTACCACGATCTGCGTAGACCGGGGTCAGCTGTTCGGATGTTCATGCGCCCTTTTGTTTGGGCCGAGTGTGCTCAGCATATTCATGTCAACGTGCTTCCAGGCTGCTTCCAAATAAGTAGGGCGAACCCCAAGATTGGCACCATTTGTTCGGGTCAGGTGTGCGGCAAAAAGGGCAATTTTGGCGCACCGGGAACGCCGGGCTGTTCACATGCAGCCGTGCACGTGGCCTTCACAAACTTGCTTCGTACGCTTGCTTGGATTCGTTAGTTTCTCCACCTATTTTCCCATTCGCAACCAATTGCAACTGGTGACTTTGTGGAATGGGCCGCACACGTTGTCAATTGGATGCGTGTGGATGGCAAGTTGGGTGGATTCGCCGCAAGTGTGTGGAGACGGGGCCGGCGCTGCGCTTTTGCGGGGGGCTCGGTGTGGACAAGCCTCGGTCACTTGGTGGGCGAAACAAGTCTGAGACACAGTGTTACCACGATCTGCGTAGACCGGGGTCAGCTGTTCGGATGTTCATGCGCCCTTTTGTTTGGGCCGAGTGTGCTCAGCATATTCATGTCAACGTGCTTCCAGGCTGCTTCCAATTAAGTAGGGCGAACCCCAAGAGGCTACAGCTTCTGAAGAGAGGGTTCGTCCTAGAAACACATTGGCACCGTTTGTTCGGGTCAGGTGTGCGGCAAAAAGGACAATTATGGCGTGCCTGGAGCGCCGGGCTGTTCACATGGAGCCGCGCACGTGGCGGTTGCCGCATGTCACGAGCGTCCACCACGCCAGTCTCGCTCGCGAGCGGTTTCCGCATGTCACGAGCGTCCACCGCGCCAGTCTCGCTCGCGGGCGGTTTCCGCATGTCACGAGCGTCCACCGCGCCAGTCTCGCTCGCGGGCGGTTTCCGCATGTCACGAGCGTCCACCGCGCCAGTCTCGCTCGCGGGCGGTTTCCGCATGTCGCGCCAGTCTCGCTCGCGGGCGCCATGTCACGCGTCCACCGCGCCAGTCTCGCTCGCGGGCGGTTTCCGCCTGTCACGAGCGTCCACCGCGCCAGTCTCGCTCGCGGGCGGTTTCCGCATGTCACGAGCGTCCACCGCGCCAGTCTCGCTCGCGGGCGGTTTCCGCATGTCACGAGCGTCCACCGCGCCAGTCTCGCTCGCGGGCGGTTTCCGCATGTCACGAGCGTCCACCGCGCCAGTCTCGCTCGCGGGCTCCGCTCAGGGGCGGTTTCCGCATGTCACGAGCGGCCACTGCGCCAGTCTCGCTCGCGGGCGGTTTCCGCATGTCACGAGCGTCCACCGCGCCAGTCTCGCTCGCGGGCGGTTTCCGCATGTCACGAGCGCCCACCGCGCCAGTCTCGCTCGCGGGCGGTTTCCGCATGTCACGAGCGTCCGCCGCGCTCACGGGCGGTAACCCCGCGTGTCACGAGCGTCGTCCACCGCGCCAGTCTCGTCCACGGGCGGTTTCCGCATGTCACGAGCGTCCACCGCGCCAGTCTCGCTCGCGGGCGGTTTCCGCATGTCACGAGCGTCCACCACGCCAGTCTCGCTCGCAGGCGGTTTCCGCATGTCACGAGCGTCCACCGCGCCAGTCTCGCTCGCGGGCGGTTTGCGAATGTCACGAGCGTCCACCGCGCCGGTTTGCGCATGTCACGAGCGTCCACCGCGCCAGTCTCCTCGCTTGCGGGCGGTCTCCGCATGTCACGAGCGCAGTCTCGCTCGCGGGCGTTTTCCGCATGTCACGAGCGTCCACCGCGCCGGTCTCGCTCGCGGGCAGTTTCCGCATGTCACGAGCATCCACCGCGCCAGTCTCGCTCGCGGGCAGTTTCCCCATGTCCCGAGCGTCCACCGCGCCATCTCGCTCGCGGGCGGTTTCCGCCTGTCACGAGCGTCCACCGCGCCAGTCTCGCTCGCGGGCGGTTTCCGCATGTCACGAGCGTCCACCGCGCCAGTCTCGCTCGCGGGCGGTTTCCGCATTTCACGAGCGTCCACCGCGCCAGTCTCGCTCGCGGGCGGTTTCCGCCTGTCACGAGCGTCCACCGCGCCAGTCTCGCTCGCGGGCGGGTTCCGCGTGTCACGAGCGTCCACCGCGCCAGTCTTGCTCACGGGCGGGCGCCAGTCTCGCTCGCGGGCGGTTTCGGCATGTCACGAGCGTCCACCGCGCCAGTCTCGCTCGCGCGCGCCTGTCACGAGCGTCCACCGCGCAGTCTCGCTCGCGGGCGGTTTCCGCATGTCACGAGCGTCCACCGCGCCAGTGTCGCATGTCACGAGCGTCCACCGCGCCAGTCCAGTCTCGCTCGCGGGCGGTGTCCGCATGTCACGAGGGTCCACCGCGCCAGTCTCGCTCGCGGGCGGTGTCACGAGCGTCCATGTCACGCCAGCGTCCACCGCGCCATGTCACGAGCGTCTCGCTCGCGGGCGCCGCCAGCTCGCGGGCGGTTTCCGCATGTCACGAGCGTCCACCGCGCCAGTCTCGCTCGCGGGCGGTTTCCGCATGTCACGAGCGTCCACCGCGCCAGTCTCGCTCGCGGGCGGTTTCCGCATGTCACGAGCCAGTCTCGCTCGCATGTCACGAGCGTCCACCGCGCCAGTCTCGCTCGCGGGCGGTTTCCGCATGTCACGAGCGTCCACCGCGCCAGTCTCGCTCGCGGGCGGTTTCCGCATGTCACGAGCGTCCACCGCGCCAGTCTCGCTCGCGGGCGGTTTCCGCATGTCACGAGCGTCCACCGCGCCAGTCTCGCTCGCGGGCGGTTTCCGCATGTCACGAGCGTCCACCGCGCCAGTCTCGCTCGCGGGCGGTTTCCGCATGTCACGAGCGTCCACCGCGCCAGTCTCAACGAGCGTCCGCCGCGCCAGTCCAGTCTCGCTCGCGGGCGGTGTCCGCATGTCACGAGGGTCCACCTTTCCAGTCTCGCTCGCGGGCGGTGCCCGCATGTCACCAGGGTCCACCGCGCCAGTCTCGCTCGCGGGCGGTTTCTCCACCACGCCAGTCTCGCTCGCGGGCGGTTTCCGCATGTCACGAGCGTCCACCGCGCCAGTCTCGCTCGCGGGCGGTTTCCGCATGTTCCACCGCGCCAGTCTCGCTCGCGGGCGGTTTCCGAATGTCACGAGCGTCCACCGCGCCAGTCTCGCTCGCGGGCGGTTTCTGCATGTCACCATTTTTCGCTCGCGGGCGGTTTCCGCATGTCACGAGCGTCCACCGCGCCAGTCTCGCTCGCGGGCGGTTTCCGCATGTCACGAGCGTCCACCGCGCCAGTCTCGCTCGCGGGCGGTTTCAGCATGTCACGAGCGTCCGCCACGCCAGTCTCGCTCGCGGGCGGTTTCGGCATGTCACGAGCGTCCACCGCGCCAGTCTCGCTCGCGGGCGGTCACGAGCGTCCACCGCGCCAGTCTCGCTCGCGGGCGGTTTCCGCATGTCACGAGCGTCCACCGCGCCAGTCTCGCATGTCACGAGCGTCCACCGCGCCAGTCCAGTCTCGCTCGCGGGCGGTGTCCGCATGTCACGAGGGTCCACCGCGCCAGTCTTGCGAGCGGTTTCTCCATGTCACGAGCGTCCACCACGCCAGTCTCGCTCGCGGGAGGTTTCCGCAGGTCACGAGCGTCCACCGCGCCAGTCTCGCTCGCGGGCGGTTTCCGCATGTTCCACCGCGCCAGTCTCGCTCGCGGGCGGTTTCCGCATGTCACGAGCGTCCACCGCGCCAGTCTCGCTCCATTTTTCGCTCGCGGGCGGTTTCCGCATGTCACGAGCGTCCACCGCGCCAGTCTCTCTCGCTCGCGGGCCAGCCTCGCGCACCCAGTCTGCACCACACCGCTGTCCCCCCAGCCAGCCCCACACCGCCGTCCCCCCAGCCAGCCTCGTATACGCCCGGTCTGCACCCCCAGCCGGCATCGCACGCCCGGTCTGCAGCACAACGAAATGGAAATCCCTTCTTATCTCCGTCGTCACAGCTTGTATCGCTCCCAGGCACCTTAAGAGAAAACCTAAAGCAGAACCCAAGCATCAGAGATGCTTTTGGGAAAAATGGAGGCTTACGCAAGGGTGTTCCCATGACATGTGAAATCCAAAATATGTCTCGCAGCGATGCCAGAAGATCACTATGGTTATGTTCGTTGAGGTTCAAGCAAACTAAGAGGCAGGGACTCGGTGTCTTACAGTGAATGGGCGGATACTCCCGGCCTAGCTAGTCAGTCCCAAGTCTGCCCATCTGCGCCCCTCAAGCTTCTTTTCTCGGAGTTGCCACTGGGGCTGCTTAGAACCAGAAACCAAAGGACAACAAAGAAAACACACATTTCGGAGGCAATGAGTTCAGTCAAATCCACGAATAGACGTGGTAAAACCAGCCTGTGTTCCTGGCTAATCATCCCACATCTACTTCAGCTCCCCCCCCGGCAATCAACAAGATTTCTTCGTGAACTTTAAAATGTAAAGGTGACTACTGCTCTTTTCGCTGATTGTTTCCCGCCAGCACACATGTCGGGTGTGTGTCTAAATTAGAGAGCCTTCCCTTGGTATGCCGGAGTGGTCCTCAAACCATACTGTCCACAACCATGACCCCTAAAGTTCTAGGGGTTTCTTTTCAGGGATTCTTTTTTCTAGAAAATCACCAAAAACCCTGGGACAATTGCTGGTTTTTGAAAAGAACGATGGCTGAGAAGAATGGGGAATCAACCCGTAGAAAAGTGGTCTGATTTCCAGTGGTGCCGCTTCAACACCAGCTCAATCCGGGCGCCCTCCCAAAATGACACATCTAGCTGTAAACAAAGTCTGTGCTTCTGAACAAAGAGCAACAATGGGTGTGTCCTAAAGAAAGCAACCCCAAATGGTGGTTTCCTTTTGAATCTCCAAAACGGGGATCCCACAATCGCATGATTCCCTGCCAACGGTCTCCCCGGTTGAGATTTGTCTCAGCCCTAAAGAATCAATGCGCACTTCAAATGGGCAAGCGTTGGTTTATGAACTCCAATGTCAGAAATCCCCCATCCATCCTGGAGAAAAACACGCTCTGGAAACCTCCCGCGGTCTCCCGGATCTCGGTGTGCCTGCAGCTCAGGGGATTCTTCCTCTCGCGCCTTGGCAAGCGATGGGCTCGAGCCACCGCCCGAAAAAGAGGTTGGACGTGAATCCTAGCAGTACTGCGGGTGGACGGAATCCGTTCGCACCACTTTGAAACCATGGGAATTGTTTGTTGGCATGTACAGGGGAATCATCGTTCTAGGGTTTCTTCGGTGGTGCAGGATTTCGTCCACCCACAGCATGATGCCCACCAACAAAAATCCCTGATTCAAGTTCGTGCCCATGTTGTCCGTATCTACTACACCTCGTGCGGGTGCATCCGAAGGACCGTACGAAACAAGCATGGCTCCCCTGTTCGTAAACAAGTCGAGTGTTTTCCCGGGGTTCCTGTGGCTAGAGATCCGGAGGACCCAAAGTTCATAACAACTTACCCTCCGTCCAACTAACATGGTACCTCACAGGGAGTCCCTCCAAGAGAGGTACCCTCCCACAGGTGCCATGGTAGTGGGAGGAAGGGTATCCATTTCCTCGTGTGTTGTCAGAAAGAGCCAGCCACAAAGGTCGCTCAAGCTTCCGGCCGGTGTCCGTAGAGCAGCTTGCTTGGCCTTGAGACAGCAACGTGCCAGAGGGAGAGGGAAAAAAACAAAGCGAAACCCAAGGCCAAATATTGGATTGCGCAAAGCGTTCTCATTACTTCTGTGGGTGGTGTCCACTTGAAACCAACAGTGGAGCACAGTTTGGAGGATGTCACCTTGACGAACCCGGAATTCAAAGGGAGCCAGCAGGCAAAGACTGGCTGAGCACCAGGCCCCTCGCTCCCTTTCCCAAGTGTCTCTTGGGGTAGGGTCCTTGACAAAAAAGACAAGCTAGGTACCGTCGTGGATTCTCAATAGTGACCCAACTAAATAGCGTGGTGAACACTTGCAGGCTTCCTTGTTCCCGATTAGGCATTCCCCCGAAATTGTGTGCACCTTTAACAGCTTCAAGACGGAGCAGCCCGTTTAAGCAGCTCAGTCTCAGAAGGGCTAAGTCTTCAAATGCAGACCAAAACTTACTCGGCCATTGCCTCACCCCCCCACTCTGCTTTCAGTGAACAGTGTGAAAGCACACGTAGAGTTTTTCGTCTGTAGGCAACTAGGGGTCCCTGTTCAGACCGCTTACGGTGTCATTTCGTGCCTCGCTCAACTGCACAAGGTCGCCAACCATGCCTGTGGCAGGGGTGAAAGTATGGCTGAATACCAAGCATCTCCCGGGATCAAAGCAAGAGGAAAGATCCATGACTTCTGTCAGAGACGGCTCCCACGGAAGCAACTAGGCGTGTGCGGGGCTGACTCGGCTTCTGCGTGAAAGACAAAGAAATGAACAGTACCCTACACACACACGCACACCCATCATCTTGAACAGAACTTCCGCCTGCCCCACGCAGAGGGGACATGATTGAACACAGTTCCTGCAGAACATGTTCTCACTACCTTCTTACAGAATGGGTTACCTTTCTTGGGGCCAGGGTCCTCATACCTCTCCTGACTTGCAATGGTTGGAGCAAGTGCTTCCATTAGGGCTTGGCAACGTGCATTCGAAGAAATGAGCCATGGCCCCCTTAAAGGGAAACAATTAAGTTGGTGGCTTGAACGCTTGAACCACAGTGATTTGAACATGCTTCAACAAGGGGCTGGCTGGCCCCATCCTGGCAGTGCCTCACGGTGGCCCGCTAGGGCGCCATGCCACCAACAAGCGCTGCTGGGCGCTGCTCACTTGGCCTCAGTCGCAAGCTGGCTGCTGATACGGCAGCCAAAAGGTGAGATGCAAACCAGCAATCCAGGGAGATATTGTTCCCTTCCTTGCCTTTGTGTACTTTTTGCCTCGCTACAAGTGTCCGCGTTGCACGATGGAATCTGGGCGATTGATGATATGAACTACGCTTGAAAGCAAAGGACTCCCAAGAAAGGAACCTTCGCAACAAAATCGCAACTCATCTTTGAAGTTACAATAAGCTGCCCAAATTGGAAACACAATACGTAAACGGTTGGCCTGTTCCTGGTGATTAGTGTCTCAGAACACGACATGAAACGGCTAGAAACTGGGCGGGGCCCTGCCCCTACGTGCCCAGCCGCGTACCGAGCTAAGCAAACACACACACACACACACGTCTCACGCAGTTTCTTGCCTACTGCCCGCACGCACTTACAAAAACAACATGCAACTACACGCGCCACCGCTGAAGCACACGCATGCAACAGCAAATGAACCAGCAAGAACACCAGGCAAACACGGTCACAAGCATGTGTTGTTTGACAGACAAACAAACAAACAAGCCAAGCCTAGCTAAGCCAAGCCAAACCAACCAAACACACAAGCAACAAACAAACCACCAAACAAAAGCCAACAGCCAATCAATCATTCCATTAAACAATCAACCAAGCAATCACTCAAGCATTCAAATCAATCAAATTAATCAAACCAATCAAACCAATCAAATCAATCAAATCAATCGAATCGAATCGAATCGAATCAAATCAAATCAAATCAAACCAAACCAATCAATCAACCAATCAGTCAAACAATCGACCAAG